TTAACAGCTGACAGAATTTAAACAGTGATTATAATCTTTGAGAATGTAAAAAAATATATTTTTTATTAACAGATACGACGCCTTCTTATACATCAAGTCCAGGTAAAATTAATATCTAAGATATGAACTGATCGATAAAATTTAATCCAAAAAAGGCCACACGCCTCGAGTCGCCGTCAATTTATTTACCTGGCAGCGATAAGCAAAGGATAATAAACCTAATAGTCTTTAACCTGATCAATGATAAGTCAATTGTGTTTTTGAGTCGCGTAATTTGACATGTCAAAGACCTGGTCGACGTCAGCAGCTGGTCGTATGAGGGACATAATTGAAATGAAGTAATTTATTCATATTGGGACAATTTAGCTGTTATAGTGCGCTGTGTTAATTGAGACATTCGTTAACATGTAACAATATCTATATTACTATTACTGGCATTTCAAGGAGCTAAGAATATGAAAAATATTTCGACATTAATTCAGTGGCGTAACTAGATTGAAATTTGCGGGGTTAGTATTCATGTATTTAATGCTGCCAGACGGATTACACTTGCAAGTGCGATAGCTTAAAATACAGCTCCGTCGGGTAGAACTGAATATATGAATATTCACCTCCCCTACGCCGCTGCATAAATTACATAAAATAAAATAAAGAGGAATTTCGTTTTCTCTTTACAGGCACCAATCCACCCACTACTAACCCAGGTAATAAATAATTGATACTCAATGTTGATGTTTCACTACCTAGTCCCGGTTATTCGACGAATGGCGCTATCCACCGAATAGCAAGTTTTTCGATCGATCTATAAATTATTTTTGTTGATTAATATCTAAACTTTTATTAATTTTTAAACAATTTTGTGCTGCTTGAAAAATTCAATATCTATCTAGAAGACAGAGGCCACGGAAGATCGTTATAGGAGGACAGATATTTATATAGCGTAAAAACAATCAATTTCATAATAAACTAATATTGCCAAACGTTAATATATAAATAATAGCCCCCCCCCCAAACTAACGACACCAGAGGAATCTTGTCCGAAATCCGAAATAGATAAAAAAAATGTCACGCTGAGAGATTGTCAAGATCGGTCAAGAAATTGTCAGAACAACAGAAACAACCTAGGAAAGGGAAAATAATTTGCTCCTAACAGGACGCAGAACAATTTCTGAAACAAACTGCTATATTCTCTAACAATTTCATTTTATTTGTCCTTCTTTGCCATTTCTTATCTCGTTTCAAAATTTATTTGCAGCCAGTTACACTTATGGCTTAAAGCAAAAGACAATCCGTGGTTCGTGCATTGAGAGAGAAGGTCGAAAAACAGTTACCAATTTGTAGACGTAAAAATTTCCGTTTTTTGTTTTTTTTGTAGGCAACGTGACAAGACCTTCAAATACATCTGATCCAGGTAAAATCATCAATCTTTTTCTTGAAAGTTTAACTGAGCCGACTTTTAGCTTTTAAAAACGGCCGTCTTTGTATATTATGCTGTTAAGTCGTTTCACTGTCTAGTTTGGCAAATTAGCATATGACGAAAATTAAGCGGTGATTAAAATCTCTGAAAATGTGCAAAAACTTATTTTTTATTAACAGATACGACGCCCTCTTATACATCAAGTCGAGGTAAAATTAATATCTAAGATATGAACTGATTGATAAAATTTGATCGAAAAAAGGCAACACTTATTTTGTTTGAACTGATTTCAAACGCTTGCAATATAATTGTACCGCGGTTGCAGTATATACTGGCAGCGATGAGCAAAGGGATAATAAACTTAATGGTCTTCAACCCGACCAAGATGCTATAAGGCACTTGTGTATTTGAGTTACGTAATTTGACATTTCATGCAATGACCTGGTCGACGTCAGCAGCGGGTCGTATGAGGACCATAATTGAAATGAAATAATCCATAGGTTAATTGAGTTATTCGTTAACAAGTAATCTCTATCATTATTACTGGCCTTTCAAGGAGCTAAGCATAAGAAAAATATTTTGACATAAATTCAGTGGCGTAACTAGAACGAAATTTGTGGGGTGAGCTTCAGTCGGGTATAGAACTGAATATATAAATATTCACCTCCCCTACGCCGCCGCATAAATTAAAAAATACATGGATGAATTTCCTTTTCTCTTAACAGGCACCATTCCACCCACTACTAATCCAGGTAATAAATAATTGGTATTCAATGTTGATATTTCACTGCCCAGATGCGGTTATCCGACGAATAGCAGGTTTTTCAATCGATCAAATCGATTCAAATTAACCCTTTGCATGATTGTCAGAAACAAACCATGCTTTCAATAAGGCTTTAGGTCCGTTTCGCATTGCAACGAATCGCGCGTAAAATGAATCGATGAGATATAAAGATTAAAGATTCACCACGTTTTGCTACGATACTTAAACAAGGAAATACGCCACATCTCGCTACGATACGACTGCAGATTTGTAAAACAGTTTTTAGAAGAATATTCGTTGTCGAAAAGATTGTACAAACTAACATTATTAATTAGGTGTAGTTGATACAAAAATTAAGTTTGACAGCTCTTCGCTTCTTTAACATAATCTTTTCGGCCCTTGTTTGCCGTTTTTTATCCCGTTTCAAAATTTATTTGCAGCCAGTTACATTTATGGCACATATTTACATTTACATACATTTATTTTCTTTATAGGCAACGCGACAAGATCTTCTAATACATCTAATCCAGGTAAAATCATCAATCTTTTTCTTGAAAATTAAGCTGAGCGAACTGCGAATTTTTAGCGTTTAAAAATATGGTCTTCTTTGTACACTAAGCTGTTAAGTTGTTTCACTTGCTTGGCTAATTAACAGCTGAAAGAATTTAAACAGTGATTATAATCTTTGAGAATGTGAAAAATATATATATTTTTATTAACAGATACGACGCCTTCTTATACATCAAGTCGAGGTAAAATTAATATCTAAGATATGAACTGATCGATAAAATTTGATCTAAAAAAGGCAACACTTATTTTGTTTGAACTGATTTCAAACGCTTGCAATATAATTATAACGGTTGCAGTATATACTGGCAGCGATGAGCAAAGGGATAATAAACTTAATGGTCTTCAACCCGACCAAGATGCTATAAGGCACTTGTGTATTTGAGTTACGTAATTTGACATTTCATGCAATGACCTGGTCGACGTCAGCAGCGGGTCGTATGAGGGACATAATTGAAATGAAATAATCCATAGGTTAATTGAGTTATTCGTTAACATGTAATCTTTATCATTATCACTGGCCTTTCAAGGAGCTAAGCATAAGAAAAATATTTCGACATAAATTCAGTGGCGTAACTTGAACGAAATTTGTGGGGTGAGCTATTGTCGGGTACAGAACTGAATATATAAATATTCACCTCCGCTACGCCGCCGCATAAATTACATTAAAAAAATACATGGATGAATTTCCTTTTCTCTTAACAGGCACCATTCCACCCACTACTAATCCAGGTAATAACTAATTGGTACTCAATGTTGATATTTCATTGCCCAGATGCGGTTATCCGACGAATAGCAGGTTTTTCAATCGATCAAATGGATTCAAATGAACCCTTAGCATGAATTGCAGAAAGAAACCATGCATTCAATAAGGCTTTAGGTCCGTTCCGCATTGCAACGAATCGCGCGTAAAATGAATCGATGAGATATAAAGATTAAAGATTCACCACGTTTTGCTACGATACTTAAACAAGGAAATACGCCACATCTCGCTACGATACGACTGCAGATGTGTAAAACAGTTTTTAGAAGAATATTCGTTGTCGAAAAGATTGTACAAACTAACATTATTAATTATAGGTGTAGTTGATACAAAAATTAAGTTTGACAGCTCTTCGCTTCTTTAACATAATCTTTTCGGTCCTTGTTTGCCGTTTTTTATCCCGTTTCAAAATTTATTTGCAGCCAGTTACATTTATGGCACACATTTACATTTACATACATTTATTTTCTTTATAGTCAACGCGACAAGATCTTCTAATACATCTAATCCAGGTAAAATCATCAATCTTTTTCTTGAAAATTAAGCTGAGCGAACTGCGAATTTTTAGCGTTTAAAAATATGGTCTTTTTTGTACACTAAGCTGTTAAGTTGTTTCACTTGCTTGGCTAATTAACAGCTGAAAGAATTTAAACAGTGATTATAATCTTTGAGAATGTGAAAAATATATATATTTTTATTAACAGATACGACGCCTTCTTATACATCAAGTCCAGGTAAAATTAATATCTAAGATATGAACTGATCGATAAAATTTGATTCAAAAAAGGCAACACTTATTTTGTTTGAACTGATTTCAAACGCTTGCAATATAATTATACCGGTTGCAGTATATACTGGCAGCGATGAGCAAAGGGATAATAAACTTAATGGTCTTCAACCCGACCAAGATGCTATAAGGCACTGTGTATTTGAGTTACGTAATTTGACATTTCATGCAATGACCTGGTCGACGTCAGCAGCGGGTCGTATGAGGGACATAATTGAAATGAAATAATCCATAGGTTAATTGAGTTATTCGTTAACATGTAATCTATATCATTATTACTGGCCTTTCAAGGAGCTAAGCATAAGAAAAATATTTCGACATAAATTCAGTGGCGTAACTTGAACGAAATTTGTGGGGTGAGCTACCGTCGGGTATAGAACTGAATATATAAATATTCACCTCCCCTACGCCGCCGCATAAATTACATAAAAAAAATACATTCAAGAATTTCCTTTTCTCTTTACAGGCACCATTCCACCCACTACTAATCCAGGTAATAAATAATTGGTACTTGTAATATACGCGTGTTGACAACAACCAGAAGCTTTTTATTTGGCGCCAAGATACGCACTAACATTAAATAACATACACTAAAAGGAGATTAGGCAATAACATAACATCTTCCCACTAAAGGAATGTACAATGTAGCGAAGCGAATATTGTTCAGCGATAGCAAATATTGTTCAGCGATATCAAATATTGTTCAGCGATATCTTACGGGTTTATTTACAACTCGTCCGGATCTTGTTACAGTACTTGATCTGGGCAGGCCCTCAATAGACTGACATGCAGGCAATGAGGTCTTCGGTTTCGGTTGTTGGATGTTTGAGGGAGGCAGCTCAGCGTAATCGTCCTGGTCATACTGAATACGGAATTTGTCCTTGCAAGGTAATAACTGACGGCGATTCCGTCTGACGACGTTTCCTTTGCTGTTAAGGATACGATATGCGCGAGGCTCCTGGCATTTCGCAACCACCTTTCCAACTTCATTCCATCGCTTTTCCCCGTGAATGCGCATGCGGACAACAGTACCTGGTTCTATGTCCGGCAGATCCTTGGCGTGTTGATTGAAGGCCTTTTTGACGTTCGCTGGGGTGGTTTTCGGTGGACTTGAAATGTTAGTTAGATTCAAGGACGGTAGGGTGGTGCGGGGTTGGTGCTTAAAGAGGCGCATTGCTGGAGACACACCGTCAGATGCTGGCGTCGTATTTAAGATCAACAGGGTGAGGTATGGATCCTCGTTCGCATCATGTGCCTTCTTGAATGACTTTTTCACCGTTTGGATCGCTCTCTCGACAAACCCATTTGACTGGGCGAAGTGGGGGCTTGATGTTACGTGTTTAAAGTCCCACTCTTTTGCAAACTGTTTGAATGCTTGGGCAGTATATTCTGGTCCGTTATCTGTGTAAACTTCCTTAGGTATACCATGACGAGTGAAGATTTTCTTTATTTTGTTGATGACGCTTTGGGAAGATTTGTCGGTGAGACGTTCGATCTCGATGTACTTTGAGGTGTAGTCGGTGATGATAACATAGTTATGTCCGTACAGCGTGAACAAGTCTGATGCAACTTTTGTCCAGGGTACTTCAGGCACATTGTGTTGGATGAGGGTCTCTTTTTGTTGCTGGTTTCGGTGTGTTAAACAGTGTGGGCAACTAGAGACAAGATCATCGATCTCGGAATTCATGCCTGGCCAATATATGGACTGTCGAGCTCGACTTTTGCATCTGGCAATTCCATTGTGACCTTGGTGGATGATTTCTTTCATTGTGGGGCGTAGTGAGGCAGGAATAATAATGCGTTGGCCCTTTAGTAGTAGACCTTCGTTGTGGGTAATCTCTTCTCGGATGCTATAGTACGGTTTGACTGCTGGAGGAATTTGTTGGGGTTGTTGTGGCCAACCAGTTAGAGTAAACTGTTTGAGCTGTTGGAGAACTGGGTCAGCAGCAGTCTCGTTTTGGAGTTGGGTCAGTCTTGCTGTGCTAATTGGTAAGCAGTCGATGACTGAGTGGACATGGTGGATTAAATCTGATTCTTCTATCTCTGGAGAGGAATGACTTTTAAGGTAATAATAATATAATAATAATGTTTAATTGATCAATTTTTGCAGTCTTACGACTGAATTGCAATTGAATTTACAGGCAAAGAATTTTAGATAAAATATGGAATATGTTTACTATATTTACAACATGTTGCTATAAAATTCTATTAAATTTAAGATTACTGTAAAATGTTCCGCTACGATAAAGTATTAATACTAAGACTATACTAATATGCTTAAAGTTTTGATTTTTTCGCATAATTTGGGATAAAAGAGTTCAATAACCTATTCGTATTAATAATGGGAAGATTAAATCTTCTCAGTTCTCTAAAATTATGTGTTGGTAAGTTTTCTTTAGGTAGTAAATGGCGTAATTTATGATCATCTTTTGTTTCGATGGACGAGAATAGCTTTTGTGATAACTTTTCTCTTCTGTCCTTCAGTGTTAATAATTTTGCTTCCTTTAATGCGACTTTTGGACTTGATTCCGGGTAGATTATCCGCAAGGCTCGATTTTGGACACGTTCCATATCCACCGACAAATAATCAGGAAGGCCTGAGTGGAAAACTTGGCAACCGTATTCTAAGATGGATCTAATGCATGCACAGTAGAATTGAATCAAGGAATAATGATCTACACCTGCACGTTTTAACTGCCTTAATAAGTATAGTCGTTTTGATGCTTTTAATACAATATTTTCGATATGACTGTTCCATTTTAAGTCTTCCGTGATGGTCATACCAGTAGTTTAGCTGATTTAACAAGTTCAAAGCGTTCGCCATTTAGAATCAAACCATCATCAGTAAAGGGTCTTCTAGTAAAGTCAATTCGGAGCTCTTTACACTTTATCGGATTTAACTGAAATTTATTTTCATTGGACCATTTAGCAACTTGGTCTATTGTATCTTGTAATCTACTTTCCATGTTCCTTAAGATGACTTCAGAAATGGTCGTGTCGTCTGCAAATTTCCATATACTATTTGTGGGGGAACCATTGATACGTAGATCGTTAATCATGGCTAAGAACAGCCATGGACCAATCCTGGTTCCTTGTGGAACGCCCGCTGGAACTTGTAGGAAGTCGGATACACCTTCGGTTGATATCTTTACTCGCTGTAATCTATTTCGTAGAAAGTCCGTAATCCAATTTACGATTGTGGGTTTTAAACCATAACTGAGTAATTTTGCAATTAGCAAATTATGATCAACCAAGTCGAAGGCTTTCCTGTAATCGAGTAAGGCTACTCTTATCGCTGAGCCTGTGCCATCGGTTTCAGTTAGCCATTTGTGTAACATTGAGATAAGAGCAAACGTTGTACACGAGCCTGGTACAAAACCAAATTGTGATGGATCCAAGGATCTAAGCAAAGTCGGCCTCAGTCCTCTGTCAATGATGAATTTTTCTGCCACTTTTGATAAGGTTGACGTCAGAGAAATTGGCCTTAGATCTTTATTAAAGTCCGTGATCTTTGATTGTTTAGGGATGGGGGGAACGTCAGCCATCTTCCATGCTTGTGGGACTTTGCACGTTTGGAATGAGCAGTTGATAATATCAGCAACGGCAGGTGCTAATATATCGGCGTATGTCTTCAGTACCCAGTTTGGTAACTTGTCCGGGCCATTTGCTTTTGTGGCGCTTAATTCACGTAAAGTTTTTGCGACCACCATTTCGGTAACTTGTATTGGTTCGTCGTCGTCTTCCTTCAAGACACATACGTCATTAGTCAGCGGATTGTAGTCTGCCATAACACTGATAAAGGCTTCATTGATCTTATTTGCTAGTTCGTAATCGTTGCAATTTAAGTTCGTAGTCAAGCTTGATCGAAAATCTGGGTTATGCTTTTCCGAAGAGCCACATAACAGTTTGATTTCGTGCCACCATCTGTGCGGTTTAATTTCCTTTAGTCCACGGACTTTAGATAGATAATAACTTTTTCGGCATCGCTTCCTTTCACGGTTTACTTTGTTCCTTAAATGCCTGAATAAACCATCCTTTCCTCGTGAAAACGCCTTTTGCCTTTGAATAATGAGCCGTTTAAGCTGGTTAGTCATCCATGGACGATCAGACACATGAACTTTTATCGAACGTTCCGGCATCAGGATATCTAATCCACAATGGATAAGTTCGGTAAAAATTTCTAATTTCTCATCAACAGTCGGGGCGGTTGATAGCACGTCTTCCCAAGCTATGTTTGACAGAAATCTCCCAAGACTTCCAACTTTACTTGGTCTTCTATCCCGTACTTTGATTAATCTTTTATGGCACCCGGTTCTTTGTCGCCTTGTTGGAAATATTAAGATAGTTATATGATCGGATAAGCCAAATGGAGGGCTAGGAATAGGTTCAGTGTAGAATTTATGTAAGTTAGTAAACACTTGATCCAGGGTATTTGCACCTCTTGTGGGAAAGGTCACCATGTGTTTAAGCTGGAAGCACCTGGCAGTTGATTTAAACTCTAGTTGGTTGAAGTCTCCAGCCAAAATGATCGCACTATTAGTGTGTATGGTTTCAACGCGTTCTAACGAGTTTTTTAGATGATCCAGCATTGCTTTATTATCCGAATTGGGTGGATGGTAAATAACCGCTACAACTATATTATGGAATCCACGGGGCAGCCTTTCTGGACGAAGTAGTAGCCATAGTATTTCGTATTCGTCCGCTTGGAGATCTAACAGAATTTTACTTTCAATAGAGTCTTTAATGTATGCACAAACTCCCCCATGTGAACTGTTAATGCGGTCACGTCGAAATAATTGGTATCCGTTTATTTTAATTGACTGGTCTGGTATCGATTCTTTAAGCCAAGTCTCTGTAAAAAAGGCTATATCAGGGTTTTCCAGGCTAATCGTATAGGCTATTTCATCAATCTTTGGTACAATTGACATCGTATTGGACAGTAGGAGAGATGGAACGAACTGAAGATTGTTGCAAGGTGCTGACTTTTGGACAGACTTATTCATATTAGATCTATTAATATTGTTAACATCCGTCAAAGCATCATGCTTTACAATATTTACGTACTTAAGGTTAGCTATGTTCCGCGCATTTTGCCTAGATCTATGGCCATGAGCGCGAGAAGATATTCTGACTTGAATTGTGTGAGCCATTACACGTACGTTGATAAAATTCCCTTATGGGTTAAGTTTATTTCATGCTTCGCAAGATGCTCCTCCTTTGGGCGCCAAGGCTTACAAGTAACAAATTTTGGCCAGAAATTATCTTCTTGCACGAGTGAACTAGCAGCCAGGGGACATGGATCTTCGATGAAAGAGTTCCACTGCGCCGACTAGGGAAAATGGAGATATATGTTGGGACTATATTTTTCTTCTTTAGGTAAGATAAAATCTGATTTTCATTCACGTCTTGGGCGATGCCAGATAGAAAAAATTTCTTTATTTTCCTTCGCTTTTCGCTCTACTCCGATAAAACCATCGGACTCGCTAGAAGGCACCTTGTTTCTGCTTGGTGATTTCTGCAGGTTTACCTTAGGTTTATTACTCGTATCAATTGCATGAGATGACTTTACAGTGTTTGCGTAAGTTAATTTACATTCTTGCGATGAAGTCGGCTCAGCACTTGTTGTTATTATTAGGTTTTAACTGGTCGTTCTCGCTTAATTTCACGACAACAAGGCTATCATTAGTTTTCGCATGCATCATCAATAACAATGGGTTCTTGATTAGTGAGATCGTTAACAGATTCCGGCCCATTGATCATATTAGGATTTGCGAAATCGTTCAAGACAAAAGGCTTCACAATTGTTGCATCATTAATGTTATCTTGATTAATATATTCAGATTGTTCGCTCGCTTCATTCGGAGGCGCTGCCGAGTTTAAATCGTCTTGGCCGCCTTTATCTTTATCCATAAAGCTCTGGAAATGCGAAATCACCGATGTTATGTGAGAAATCGTCCCCGATAAAGCCCGAATCGCTTCCGAGTTTACCAACTGGCCTTGTTGAAGGTCATCTAGAATTACATTGACTGTAGACGATTGCATGCCCGACTGCCGAGCGTCCAAAATGGGAGCTTCGGAAGAGCATATCAGCTTACAAAACTTTTGTGTAATCTCGTTCGCTCTCGCACCATCAAGGTACAACAGATTCTTATTCTTTTTCCACAATATGGTAGATTCATCAAAAGTGAAAAGTTTTCTATCCCCACCAGGCTGCGACCATATTCCTTCGAGTTCTAGGTCGTCCTTTATGAACTGCTTTAAAGATTCGTAGTCGCCACTCCACGCAAAGCATAATTTTCCGCTTAATGTTGACGCCATAAAAGTTAACACATTTAGCTGATCAGGTTTATACCAATTATAAACGATAAAAGATCAGTTTATTTGAGAGATTTGTGGAGCTTCAAAACACACGTCTGAACTCACGAAACACGTGGCAACTAAAAATGCCCTACTGAGGGCATCGGAGACGACCATGGTCTTCCCGGGAGCGTATTCGAGGTCAAAGTCGTATTTTTGGAGCTTCATGAAGAAACGTTGTATGCGAGGAGGACACTGGCTGATAGACTTATTGAAGATGGATTTGAGGGGCTGATGGTCGTTGATAACTGTAAAGTGGCGTCCATAAAGATACTCGTGAAACCGTTCGACTCCAAAAACAATCGATAAAGTTTCCTTTTCTATCTGAGCGTAATTCTTCTCGTAAGACAACAATGCTCTTGATGCATAAGCAATTGGGAACCATCGATCACCATCTGCTGATCCATGGTTCTGCTCAAGAAGGGCCCCGAGGCCATCTTGACTTGCATCAGGCTTCAACCGGGTGGGTAAGTTTGGGTCATAAAACTTTAGGCACGGTGGAGATGTAATGAGACGTTTTATCTCGTTGATGGCATTCGGCTGCGGATGTTGGAGATGGAAAAGGACATCTTTCTTAAGTAGCTGGCGTAATGGCGCAGTGATTTGTGAGAGGTTAGGTATGAACTTCCCGACGTAGTTTACCATACCCATAAAGCGTTGAAGGTCGGCTTTGGATTCGGGAATCGGCATTTGGATAATAGCTTCAATTTTGCTTGGGTCGGGCTTGATGCCTTCCGGAGACATCGTGTGGCCAAGGAATGTGAGGGATGTTGAGGCAAACACACATTTGCGCCGGTTGAGTTTTAACCCACTGGCACGAATGCGTGTGAGTACGTCTCTTAGGCGAGAGTCGTGTTCCTCCTTTGTCGTCCCCCATACTATGATGTCATCTTGCGAATTGGCACATCCTTGGAGATTTGAAATGACAGAGGCTACTTCGGCTTGGAATACTTCGCTAGCGGAGTGAATTCCGAAAGGCAGGCGTTTGAAACGGTATCGTCCGAATGGTGTACCAAAAGTGAGTAGTTCAGAACTTTCATCGTCAACTTTGATCTGCCAATATCCAGAAGAGGCATCCATCTTTGAAAAATACTGTGCACCAGCCATTTCTGAGATGATTTCTTCGGTTGTAGGTAACCGGTGGTGTTGGCGTTTAATGGCTTTGTTGAGAGGTCGGGGATCAAGACAGACTCTGAGGTCTTCGTTTGGTTTTGACACTACGACGAGAGCATTTACCCAGTCCGTAGGTTTCTCAACTTCTTGGATGATGTCTAGGTCGACCATGCGTTGTAGTTCCTTCTTGAGTTTGGGTTTGAGTGCAAAAGGTATCTTTCTTACCGGGGCAATCACAGGTTTGACGTTATCCCTGATTTCTATGTGGTGAACGCGAGGTAAACAGCGAATTTCGCCAAAGCAGTCTGAAAACTCGTCTTGAATTGAGGTTTGAGATGGGATATTCATATTCTCAGAAACTTGGTATACTTGCTTGATGAGGTTTAGTTTGACAGATGTGTTTAGTCCGAGGATGGGAACTGAATTTGAGTCAACAACGATAAAGAGAACATTTACTGTCCGACCTTTGTGTTTCAGTCTACCAATACACTTGCCTGAAACAGGAATGGGTGTGCCATTGTAGGCAGAAAGCTTTATTGTAGCGGGTTTGAGCTTGGGTTTCGGTGACAATTTGTGCAGTAGACACTTGGGAATAACATTGCACTGAGCACCCGTGTCAATCTTGAAAGGTACATCAGCACCATTCATTTCGAGTGTGACAGACCAGTCCAGTTTCGAGTCACCAACTGTGAATACATTTGTTTCACCAGGCAAAGTTGCTGACTGGGAAGGATTTGCAGGAGATTCATTGATAGTGGGACTAGGACTGTCACTGGTGACCATATCGATGTAGAATTCATCATCGTCATCAGAAGAGCTATTGGTGGGGGAGTCCTTTTTAGCAACGCCTTTGACTTCTTTCTCCGGACAGCAGGATTCAAAGTGGTTTCTCTTCTGGCATTTGTGACATCTTTTACCATATGCAGGGCAGTTTCCACGTTGGTGGGGTCCACTGCAAAATTTGCACTTGTTGATAATGTCTGGGTGTTTAGGTTTCTTCTCAGAATTTCGTGGTTGGTTATCTCTTCGACGGTTGATTTTGTGTACATCAGAGGATTCTTGGTGTTCCTTGAGCTCTTTGGCATGACGTTTTGTTTCTTCCGCTGCGTGACCGGCAGCAATTGCTTTTTCGAGAGTGAGATCGGCATCACGAAGAAGGCGTTCACGAAGTGTGTGGTCAGTCGTGCCACAAACAATCATGTCCTTAGTTAACGAGTCTGTCAAATCACCAAACTCACATTCAGAACTGCGTTTCTTCAGCTCAGTGATGAAGTCGTTAAAGCATTGACCTTCAACTTGCTTGTACGAGAAAAATTTGTGACGCAGGATGGTAATATTCTTGCGAGGGTTGCAATACGAAGTGAACTTCTCTAAGACAGGCTTTAATTTGAGTTTATCAGTGTCTTGCTCAAATGTGAAAGTTTCATAAATATCTCTACCTTTTTGGTCCGATGCACGTAAGTAGAATGGATGTCTTGATCTTATCACTTTTTGAGTCTGATTCAGTAGCAGTAAGAAAGAACTGAAAGTGTTTTTGCCATGTTTTCCATCCGTGAGACACATTTCCTTCGAAGGAAAATGGAGGAGGCGGTCTGAGTTTGTCCATGTAGAATCGAACGAAATAGATAACCAAACAGTTCAAATCGGAGCGTGATATACTGAGAAATAAATCTGCTGTTCGCAAATAAAATTTTGATATACTATCGAGCGGTTATGACATTAAAATCCCACTATTTGACACCATGTAATATATGCGTGTTGACAACAACCAGAAGCTTTTTATTTGGCGCCAAGATACGCACTAACATTAAATAACATACACTAAAAGGAGATTAGGCAATAACATAACAGTACTCAATGTTGATATTTCACTGCCCAGATGCGGTTATCCGACGAATAGCAGGTTTTTCAATCGATCAAATCGATTCAAATTAACCCTTAGCATGATTGTCAGAAACAAACCATGCATTCAATAACGCTTTAGGTCCGTTTCGCATTGCAACGAATCGCGCGTAAAATGAATCGATGAGATATAAAGATTAAAGATTCACCACGTTTTGCTACGATACTTAAACAAGGAAATACGCCACATCTCGCTACGATACGACTGCAGATTTGTAAAACAGTTTTTAGAAGAATATTCGTTGTCGAAAAGATTGTACAAACTAACATTATTAATTAGGTGTAGTTGATACAAAAATTAAGTTTGACAGCTCTTCGCTTCTTTAACATAATCTTTTCGGCCCTTGTTTGCCGTTTTTTATCCCGTTTCAAAATTTATTTGCAGCCAGTTACATTTATGGCATATATTTACATTTACATACATTTATTTTGTTTATAGGCAACGCGACAAGATCTTCTAATACATCTAATCCAGGTAAAATCATCAATCTTTTTCTTGAAAATTAAGCTGAGCGAACTGCGAAAATTAGCGTTTAAAAATGGTCTTCTTTGTATACTAAGCTGTTAAGTTGTTTCACTTGTTTGGCTAATTAACAGCTGACAGAAATTAAACAGTGATTATAATCTTTGAGAAAGTAAAAAAATATATTTTTTATAAACAGATACGACGCCTTCTTATACATCAAGTCCAGGTAAAATTAATATCTAAGATATGAACTGATCGATAAAATTTAATCCAAAAAAGGCCACACGCCTCGAGTCACCGTCAATTTATTTACCTGGCAGCAATAAGCAAGGGATAATAAACCCAATAGTCTTCAACCAGATCAAGATGCGCTATAAGTCAATTGTGTATTTGAGTCGCGTAATTTGATATGTCAATGACCTGGTCGACGTCAGCAGCGGGTCGTATATGAGCGACATAATTGAAATGAAGTAATTTATTTGTGTAGGGGACAACTTAGCTGTTATAGTGCGCTGGGTTAATTAAACATTCGTTAACATGTAACGATTTCTATATTACTATTACTGGCATTTCAAGTAGCTAGGAATAAGAAATATATTTCGACATTAATTCAGTGGCGTAACTAGATTGAAATTTAGGGGTGATTATTCATATATTTAATTCCGCCGGACGGATTACACTTGCAAGTGCAATAGCTTAAAATACAGCTCCGTCGGGTAGAACTGAGTATATGAATATTCACCTCAACTACAACGCTGCATAAATTACACAAAATAAAATAAAGAGGAATTTCGTTTTCTCTTTACAGGCACCATTGCACCCACTACTAACCCAGGTAATAAATAATTGGTAACCCAGTCGCGGTTATTCGACAAATGCCGCTATCAACCGAATAGCAAGTTTTTCAATCGATCTATAAATTATTTTTGTTGATTAATATCTAAACTTTTATTAATCTTTTAAACATTTTTGTGCTGCTTGAAAAAGTTAATAATTATCTAGAAGACAGAGGTCACGGAAGATCGTTAACATCAGGGCAAATATTTATATAGCGTAAAAACAATCAATTTCATAAGGAATTAATATTGCCAAACATGAATATATGAATAAATGCCCCCCCCCCGACACTAACGACACCAGAGGAATCTTGTCCGAAGGTCCAAAATAGTTAAAAAGATATCACGTTGAGAGATTGTCAACATATCGGTCAAAAAATTGTCAGAGCAACAAAAAGCATCCTGGGAAAACGATAAGAATTTGTTCCAAACTGGACGCAGAAAAATTTCTGATACAAACCGCTATATTCTCTCTTTTTTATCCCGCTTCAAAATTTATTTGCAGCCATTTAGATTTATGGCGCAAATCAAAAGACAATCCGTGGTTCGTGCATGGAGAGAGAAGGTCAGAAAAATGTTACCAATTTGTAAAAAATTAAGTTTATTTGTTTTTTTTATAGCTAACGCAACAAAACCTTCTATTACATCTAGTCCAGGTAAAATCATCAATCTTTTTCTTGAAAATTGAACAGAGCTAATAAAATTTTAGCTTTTATAAATTGTCTTCTTTGTATATTATGCCGTGCCGTCGTTTCACTTGTTTGGCGAATTAACAGCTCACAAAAATTATACGGAGATTATAATCTTTGAGAGTGCAAAAATATATTTTTTATTCACAGATACGACGCCTTCTTATACATCAAGTCGAGGTAAAATTAATATCCAAGATATGAACTGATTGATAAAATTTTTCAAAAAAGGCGACACCTATTTAGTCTGAACTGATTTCAAACGCTGGCAGTATATACCGATTCCAAGAATACACGTGCGTCTAGAGTTGCCGTAATCTATATTACCATTACTGGCATTTCAAGGAGCTAAGAATAAGTAAAATATTTCGACATAAATTCAGTGGTGTAACTAGAACGAAATTTGGGGGTGAGTGTTCATTATTTAATTCAGCCGGATGGATTACACTTGAAAGTCCAACAGCTTAAAATACAGCCCCGTCGGGTAGAACTGAATATTTGCATATTCACCTCTCCTACGCCGCTGCATAAATTACATAAAATAAAAATGGAAGAACTTCGTTTTCTCTTTACAGGCACCATTCCACCCACTACTAATCCAGGTAATGAATAATTGGTAGTGAATTTTGATGTTTCACTGCCCAGCCGCGTTTATTCGACGGATATAGCGCTCTCCACCGAAAAGCGGGTTTTTCAAACGATCTAAATTATACTTGTTGGTTAATACCTAATGTTTTATTTCTTTTTTAAACATTTTTGCGCACAATCAATAATTGTCTAGTAGATGCAGGGGCCACGGAAGATTGGAAACTGGAGGCCAAATATTTATATATTCATTTCAGCTGACGATAAAAAAAACAATTTCGTAGGAAACTAATATTGCTAACCCGAAAATATGAATAATTTCCCCCCCGCGAACCTAACGATCTTTCGTGGCCCCTGCTATGTAAAGGAATATCCAGCCTTCGTACATGCATGCAATCCGCCGTAGGTGTTGGCTAATAAAGATTTAATCGTCCATAGTTGACACATTTTTCTCAGCAGTTCTTCGCTTGAATTTGATATCTTTTTTATTTCGTTGAAGTTAAGACAAAAATTAACCCTTAGCATGACTGTTACAAGACTCACAAGGAATCCATAGTTTCCAATTGCAGTCATAATTAAATAGTATACAAACTAAACAAAATAAGTTGATGCGGGAGAATAATTATACTAATTTATTTCTTCACAGCGAAAAACATTCCACGAAATTTTACGACATCAGCGCCAGGTAACAGTACCTATTAGTAAATTATTAACGATGCATATTCGAAAACAGGGCTTTGGCATTGCGTTTTCATTATTTTTTGCATTGAGGAATAGAAACTAATATTGCCGAACATGAAGATATGAATAATTGCTCCCTACCTCAATTAATGCTCTTTTGCCCCTATATAGGTCTAGGCTAATTCAAGTTTGAACATGTTCCTATTTACTATTCTAATAATAAATAATCGGCGATAAATTCCACTTTGCTCTATCCTTCAATAAGTTTGTGTGAATAATATTTCCAGAATTATGCGGCGAAAGTCAACTGTATCCTCCTGGAAAACTCACAAGCCCTCTTTATCCCCTTTCATACCCTCACTACTTGGATTGCAGTTGGACCATTTCCAGCACCAATGGAAGAAAAATTTTACTACAGTTTACTTCATTCTTGGTAGGCTACTTTTACCTAATTTATTGCTCCTCCGGCCCTGTTTGGGCGAAAAAACCTTAGCGACATAACATGTTTTTGTTCGAATAACTTCATCGTTTTATCATTTTTATCCCGAAACACTGCTTACGCGTCAGCTAGTGTATCGTTTCTCTTTTCCCGCTCAGTCGTAAACTTTATCAATATTCTTGTACGTTTGCATAGTAACATCATGCAAATATGTTTATATCAATATTCTTTTCCTAAATATTGATCTTCATCCACTAACGTTTTTGCGATATTTCCCCCATCTTGCTTTCAGTGCGATTAACGTTCAAGTTTTGTCGAGAAAGATATGTTAATTCGCTCGCAGTTCAATTGAAAATCAAACGGTTTAACTAATACAAAGAACAGAGGCGTTGCGAGCTTTATAGGCGGGGGGGGGAGCATACTCACGTAATCGTTTTCTAAATAGCTTATTCATTTCTTTTCAAATTGATTGTTTTTACAGTCAGTGAACATAAATATATCAAAGAAAAAAATTATGCCTCGCTTATAGGTTTGGCATCAAGAAGTAGTTGATCTACTGGGCTGATAATTTTAGTACTTTAAATGTCCAGATTTTTTTATAAAAACTATTTCCTTTTCTCGAAAAGGAAAAATATTTTTTAATATCCTATTCCTAGAACAGTTCAAGATTAAAAATTTTTTTACTTTCAAATATTTACTTCTTATTAACCGAGGTGAAATCTTTACCGAGAAATATCGGACCGAGGCTTTTTGAACGGAACGAGCTCAAAGACCAAGGTTTGTTCAAAAATATCGAAGACCGATATTTCTCGCGATAAAGATCGAGCAAACGAGGTTAATAAAATATTTATTATATGGCATAAGGCATATATTTGCACTTGAAACAAACAAGAAATGCATGAATTCGTATTATTAGCCTGGCACGCAGTGATAAAAACAAAAACAAAACATTAAATTATTTGGGTTACGTAAACTCGGCCTAAACTGTCTGGGTTAAGTTGTTCTATGGTCGTTTAAGTCGTTTAGCTTAAAAGGCTTATAAGTTTAAAGTGGAAAACAAAATTATCTTTTTATTGGACAACTGCATGAGCGGAAATATTATGATATAAATAGCTGAATTTTATATGGAAGTAAATTCTTCTCAACCAAACACTTAGCTCCATTTCACCGGAAGTGACGATTCCAATATAATTATTGGATGAGGGAGCGCAGGGTATCCGGAATGTTCAGGCAGAGGTCAATGTCAGTATATCCTAGATAACTTGCGAAAGCCGACTTGAAAATTGTCTTATTATTTATTGAATTTCGAAAAAAAACAAGCCTTTTCATGGCAAATTTCATTGTGTAGAAAAGATAACAAGCTGGCGCGACAAATACCTCAACAGACAACAACGAGAACATTCAAAAATATCCGTACACTTTGAGCTAATCAGCAGACGATTGCACTATCAATTGAATATTAGCAATCTTTCATTGACTGAACTTAGAAATTCGTAGAATAGTATAGTTTAAACCTTTAAACAGTTTAAAATCAATTTAATTCGTATGTGCAAAATTGACAAATAATTTACAAAAAATGCATGACGTTTTAGCTGGAAGGTAGTTACAGTTGTGGATTTGACTATTTGGAAGTTTATGATGGAGATTCAGCAAATACGACGAAACTGGGCAGATTCTGTGGAAACCAATTACCAAGAAGCCTGGTATCATCTGGACTCAAACTCTTCATCGTGTTTCACTCGGATTATAGCGTGTCAGCACCGGGATTTGTTCTGAACTATTCAACACCATTAGGTAAGAAATAAGTTTCAAAATATATCGGCAAGAAAATATTAAAACTTATAAAAGTTTGTTCTATTTTCTGCTCGTAAGAAAATTAGGGTTAAGAACAAAACAGACTGACACTCTGAGTCAGAGTAACTGCCTGGTAGTAAAATTGAAGTATTCTAAAAATGCATGTCTATGTAAATATTATATTTTAGATGTAAATGAATGTTACTTTGGAACACACAACTGCGCTATTGGAGCGTCATGTGTCAATACGAATGAATCGTTTTACTGCATTTGTGAAAACGGTTATACCGGAGATGGCGTAACCTGCACAGGTTTACATCTTTATACTAATTATTTGCATGGTATTTGGTAATATTTTGCAAAAAAATTGACGAGGATAATTCATAATTCCCTTGCAATTTAATTTCCTCTTTTTGGTTAAAAAAACATAGATTTAACCGTTAAAATATGGGAGTTTATGTATTTTATATTGTAATATCTTAGATATCAATGAATGTGAACTTGGAATTGATAACTGTCATTCTCAAGCATCATGTCGCAATACCAATGGGTCGTTCGACTGTTCTTGCAACTTTGGCTTTAGTGGAGATGGAATAGCATGTAAAATGGCTTCATACCTAATTTGCTACAATCAGATCTAGTCATATTGGGCCTCTTTTAACATATAGATCATGAGGGGCCTTATCCTCATGTTTTCCCCGACCCCACCCCACTGGTAAAAATCCTCTGTTTAAAAAAACATTGATCAAAAACATATCGTGAACTAAAGCAAGTTATTTGTATTCAGCAACTTTTCATTTCTGTATTCTGCAAACCTTTGATGAAGGCAATTTCAGTAATATCATCTATCGAGTGCGAATACATATTTTGCATGTTATTTGAATATCAGGCGACTGATTTCCAGTTACATTTATGGCGCAAATTAAAAGACAATCCGTGGTTCGTGAAAGGAGAGAGAAGGTCAGAAAACTGTTACCAATTTTAGAAAATTTCAGTTATTTTATTTTCTTTATAGGCAACGCGACAAGACCTTCTAATACATCTAATCCAGGTAAAATCTTCAATCTTTTTCTTAAAAATTGAACTAAGGAACTTTTAGCTTTTGTAGATGGTGTTCTTTGTATAATATGCTGTTAAGTCGTTTCCATTGTTTGGCAAATTAACATATGACAAAAATTAAACGGTAATTACAATCTTTAAGGATGTGGAAAAATAAAATATTTTTTAATAACAGATACGACGCCCTCTTATACATCAAGTCAAGCAAAATTAATATCTAAGATATGAACTGATCAATAAAATTTGATCTAAAAAAGGCAACACTTATTTTGTTTGAAATGATTTCAAACGCTTGCAATATAATTATACCGGTTGCAGTATATACTGGCAGCGATGAGGAAAGGGATAATAAACTTAATGGTCTTCAACCCGACCAAGATGCTACAAGGCACTTGTGTATTTGAGTTACGTAATTTGACATTTCATGCAATCCTGGTCGACGTCAGCAGCGGGTCGTATGAGGGACATAATTGAAATGAAATAATCCATAGGTTAATTGAGTTATTCGTTAACATGTAATCTATATCATTATTACTGGCCTTTCAAGGAGCTAAGCATAAGAAAAATATTTCGACATAAATTCAGTGGCGTAACTAGAACGAAAATTTGTGGGGTGAGCTACTGCCGGGTATAGAACTGAATATATAAATATTCACCTCCCCTACGCCGCCGCATAAATTACATAAAATAATACATTCAAGAATTTCCTTTTCTCTTTTACAGGCACCATTCCACCCACTACTAATCAAGGTAATAAATAATTGGTACTCAATGTTGATGTTTCACTGCCCAGTCGCGGTTATTCGACGAATGGCGCTATCCACCGAATAGCAAGTTTTTCGATCGATCAATAAATTATTTTTGTTGATTAATATCTAAATATTTATTTTTTTAAGCATTTTTGTGTTGCTTGAAAAATTCAATATTTATCTAGAAAACAGAGGCCAGGGAAGATATAGGAGGGCAAATATTTATATAGCGTAAAAACAATCAATTTCATAATAAACTAATATTGCCAAAGGTGAATATTTGACTAATTGCCCCCCCCCCCCGACACTAACGACACTAGAGGAATCAGTGCGAAAGTCCGAAATAGTTGAAAAAATATCACGCTGAGAGATTGTCAAGATCGGTCAAGAAATTGTCAGAGCAACAAAAGCATCCTAGGAAACCGTAAAGAATTTGCTCCTAACTGGAAGAAAAAAAATTTTCTGACACAAACCGCTATATTCTCTAAAAATTTCATTTTGTTTGTCCTTCTTTACCATTTTTTATCCCGTTTCAAAAATTGTTTGCAGCCAGTCACATTTTTGGCGCAAAGCAAAAGACAATCCGTGGTTCGTGCATTGAGAGAAAAGGTCAGAAAACTGTTACCAATTTTTAAAATTTTCAGTTTTTTGTTTTTTTTGTAGGCAACGTGACAAGACCTTCAAATACATCTGATCCAGGTAAAATCATCAATCTTTTTCTTGAAAATTGAACTGAGCCGACTTTTAGGTTTTAAAAACGGCCTTCTTTGTATATTATGCTGTTAAGTCGTTTCACTGTTTAATTTGGCAAATTAACATATGACAAAATTTAAACGGTCATTACAATCTTTGAGGATGTGCAAAAATTAATATATTTCTTATTAACAGATACGACGCCTTCTAATACATCAAGTCGAGGTAAAATTAATATCTTGAATGAACTGTCGATAATTTAATCCAAAAAAAGGCGACACTTATTTTGATTTGAAACTGATTTCAAACGCTTGCAGTATAATTGTACCGATTGCAGTATATACTGGCAGCGATAAGCAAGGGATAATAAACTTAATAATCTTCAACACGACCAAGATGCTATAAGGCACTTGTCTATTTGAGCTATATAATTTGACATTTCATGCAATGACCTGGTCGACGTCAGCAGCGGCTCGTTTGAGAGACATAGTTGAAATGAAATAATCCATAGGTTAATTGAGTTATTCGTTAACATGTAATCTTTATCATTATTACTGGCCTTTCAAGGAGCTAAGCATAAGAAAAATATTTTGACATAAATTCAGTGGGGTAATTAGAACGAAATTTGTGGGGCGAGCTTCCGTCGGGTATAGAACTGAATATATAAATATTCCCCTCCCCTACGCCGCCGCATAAATTACATAAAAAAATACATGGATGAATTTCCTTTTCTCTTAACAGGCACCATTCCACCCACTACTAATCCAGGTAATAAATAATTGGTACTCAATGTTGATTTTCACTGCCCAGATGCGGTTATCCGACGAATAGCAGGTTTTTCAATCGATCAAATCGATTCAAATTAACCCTTAGCATGATTGTCAGAAACAAACCATGCATTCAATAAGGCTTTAGGTCCGTTTCGCATTGCAACGAATCGCGCGTAAAATGAATCGATGAGATATAAAGATTAAAGATTCACCACGTTTGCTACGATACTTAAACAAGGAAATACGCCACATCTCGCTACGATACGACTGCAGATGTGTAAAACAGTTTTTAGAGAATATTCGTTGTCGAAAAGATTGTACAAACTAACATTATTAATTAGGTATATAGTTGATACAAAAATTAAGTTTGACAGCTCTTCGCTTCTTTACATAATCTTTTCGGATCTTGTTTGCCGTTTTTTATCCCGTTTCAAAATTTATTTGCAGCCAGTTACGTTTATGGCACACATTTACATGCATTTACATACATTTATTTTCTTTATAGGCAACGTTACAAGATCCTCTAATACATCTAATCCAGGTAAAATCATCAATCTCAGTTTTCTTGAAAATTAAGGTGAGCGAACTGCGAAAATTAGCGTTTAAAAATGGTCTTCTTTGTATACTAAGCTGTTAAGTTGTTTCACTTGCTTGGCTAATTAACAGCTGACAGAATTTAAACAGTGATTATAATCTTTGAGAATGTAAAAAATATATTTTTTATTAACAGATACGACGCCTTCTTATACATCAAGTCCAGGTAAGATTGGTGTCTAAGATATGAACTGATCGATAAAATTTAATCCAAAAAAGGCAACACTTATTTTGTTTGAACTGATTTCAAACGCTTGCAATATAATATACCGGTTGCAGTATATACTGGCAGCGATGAGCAAAGGGATAATAAACTTAATGGTCTTCAACCCGACCAAGATGCTATAAGGCACGTGTGTATTTGAGTTAAGTAATTTGACATTTCATACATTGACCTGATCGACGTCAGCAGCGGGTCGTTTGAGGGACATAATTGAAATGAAATAATCCATAGGGTAATTGGGTTATTCGTTATCATGAAACGATATCTATATTACTATTACTGCCATTTCGAGGAGCTAAGAATAGGAAAAATATTTCGGCATAAATTCAGTGGCGTAACTAGAAAGAAATTCGGGGGTGAGTCTCCGTCTGGTAGAACTGAATATATGAATATTCACCTGCCCTACGCCGCTGCATAAATTACATAAAATAAAATATGGAAGAATTTCCTTTTCCCTTTACAGGCACCATTCCACCAACTACTAATCCAGGTAATAAATAATGGCGCTATCCACCGAATAGGAGGTTTTTCGAATTGTCTAAATTATTTTGGTTGATTAATATCTAAACTTTTATTAATTTTTTAAACATTTTTGTGCTGCTTGAAAAAGTTAATATCTATGTAGAAGACAGAGAGCACGGAAGATCGTTAACACGAGGGCAATTATTTATATAGCGTTAAAACAATCAATTTCATAAGGAACTAATATTGCCAAACATGAATATATGAATAATTTCCCCCCCCCCGACACTAACGACACCAGAGGAATCTTGTCCGAAGGTCCGAATTAGTTAAAAAGATATCACGCTGAGAGATTGTCAACATATCGGTCAAAAAATTGTCAGAGCAACAAAAAGCATTCTGGGAAAGCGATAAGAATTTGTTCCAAACTGGACGAAGAAAAATTTCTGATAGAAACCGCTATATTCTCTCTTTTTTATCCTGCTTCAAAATTTATTTGCAGCCATTTAGATTTATGGCGCAAATCAAAAGACAATCCGTGGTTCGTGCATGGAGAGAGAAGGTCAGAAAAATGTTACCAATTTGTAAAAAATTAAGTTTATTTGTTTTTTTTTATAGCTAACGCAACAAGACCTTCTAATACATCTAGTCCAGGTAAAATCATCAATCTTTTTCTTGAAAATTGAACAGAGCTAGTAAAATTTTAGCTTTTATAAATTGTCTTCTTTGTATATTATGCCGTGCCGTCGTTTCACTTGTTTGGCGAATTAACAGCTCACAAAAATTATACGGAGATTATAATCTTTGAGAGTGCAAAAATATATTTTTTATTTACAGATACGACGCCTTCTTATACATCAAGTCGAGGTAAAATTAATATCCAAGATATGAACTGATCGATAAAATTTAATCCAAAAAGGCGACACCTATTTAGTCTGAACTGATTTCAAACGCTGGCAGTATATACCGATTCCAAGAATACACGTGCGTCTAGAGTTGCCGTAATCTATATTACCATTACTGGCATTTCAAGGAGCTAAGAATAAGTAAAATATTTCGACATAAATTCAGTGGCGTAACTAGAACGAAATTTGGGGGTGAGTGTTCATTATTTAATTCAGCAGCCGGATGGATTACACTTGAAAGTCCAACAGCTTAAAATACAGCCCCGTCGGGTAGAACTGAATATTTGCATATTCACCTCTCCTACGCCGCTGCATAAATTACATAAAATAAAAATGGAAGAACTTCGTTTTCTCTTTACAGGCACCATTCCACCCACTACTAATCCAGGTAATGAATAATTGGTAGTGAATTTTGATGTTTCACTGCCCAGCCGCGTTTATTCGACGGATATAGCGCTCTCCACCGAAAAGCGGGTTTTTCAAACGATCTAAATTATACTTGTTGGTTAATACCTAATGTTTTATTTCTTTTTTAAACATTTTTGCGCACAATCAATAATTGTCTAGTAGATGCAGGGGCCACGGAAGATTGGAAACTGGAGGCCAAATATTTATATATTCATTTCAGCTGACGATAAAAAAAACAATTTCGTAGGAAACTAATATTGCTAACCCGAAAAATTGAATAATTTCCCCCCCGCGAACCTAACGATCTTTCGTGGCCCCTGCTATGTAAAGGAATATCCAGCCTTCGTACATGCATGCAATCCGCCGTAGGTGTTGGCTAATAAAGATTTAATCGTCCATAGTTGACACATTTTTCTCAGCAGTTCTTCGCTTGAATTTGATATCTTTTTTATTTCGTTGAAGTTAAGACAAAAATTAACCCTTAGCATGACTGTTACAAGACTCACAAGGAATCCATAGTTTCCAATTGCAGTCATAATTAAATAGTATACAAACAAACAAAATAAGTTGATGCGGGAGAATAATTATACTAATTTATTTCTTCACAGCGAAAAACATTCCACGAAATTTTACGACATCAGCGCCAGGTAACAGTACCTATTAGTAATTATTATTAACGATGCATATTCGAAAACAGGGCTTTGCATTGCGTTTTCATTATTTTTTGCATTGAGGAATAAAAAACTAATATTGCCGAACATGAAGATATGAATAATTGCTCCCTACCTCAATTAATGCTCTTTTGCCCATATATAGGTCTAGGCTAATTCAAGTTTGAACATGTTCCTATTTACTATTCTAATAATAAATAATCGGCGATAAATTCCACTTTGCTCTATCCTTCAATAAGTTGTGTGAATAATATTTCCAGAATTATGCGGCGAAAGTCAACTGTATCCTCCTGGAAAACTCACAAGCCCTCTTCATCCCCTTTCATACCCTCACTACTTGGATTGCAGTTGGACGATTTCCAGCACCAATGGAAGAAAAATTTTACTACAGTTTACTTCATTCTTGGTAGGCTACTTTTACCTAATTTATTGCTCCTCCGGCCCTGTTTGGGCGAAAAAACCTTAGCGACATAACATGTTTTTGTTCGAATAACTTCATCGTTTATCATTTTTATCCGGAAACACTGCTTACGCGTCAGCTAGTGTATCGTTTCTCTTTTCCCGCTCAGTCGTAAACTTTATCAATATTCTTGTACGTTTGCATAGTAACATCATGCAAATATGTTTATATCAATATCCTTTTCCTAAATATTGATCTTCATCCACTAACGTTTTTGCGATATTTCCCCCATCTTGCTTTATCAGTGCGATTAACGTTCAAGTTTTGTCGAGAAAGATATGTTAATTCGCTCGCAGTTCAATTGAAAATCAAACGGTTTAACTAATACAAAGAACAGAGGCGTTGCGAGCTTTATAGGCGGGGGGGGGGGAGCATACTCACGTAATCGTTTTTTAAATAGCTTATTCATTTCTTTTCAAATTGATTGTTTTTACAGTCAGTGAACATAAATATATCAAAGAAAAAAATTATGCCTCGCTTATAGGTTTGGCATCAAGAAGTAGTTGATCTACTGGGCTGATAATTTTAGTACTTTAAATGTCCAGATTTTTTATAAAAACTATTTCCTTTTCTCGAAAAGGAAAAATATTTTTAATATCCTATTCCTAGAACAGTTCAAGATTAAAAATTTTTTATTCTTTCTAAATATTTACTTCTTATTAACCGAGGTGAAATCTTTACCGAGAAATATCGGACCGAGGTCTTTTTGAACGGAACGAGCTCAAAGACCAAGGTTTGTTCAAAAATATCGAAGACCGATATTTCTCGCGATAAAGATCGAGCAAACGAGGTTAATAAAATATTATTATATGGCATAAGGCATATATTTGCACTTGAAACAAACAAGAAATGCATGAATTCGTATTATTAGCCTGGTACGCAGTGATAAAAACAAAAACAAAACATTAAATTATTTGGGTTACGTAAACTCGGCCTAAACTGTCTGGGTTAAGTTGTTCTATGGTCGTTTAAGTCGTTTAGCTTAAAAGGCTTATAAGTTTAAAGTGGAAAACAAAATTATCTTTTTATTGGACAACTGCATGAGCGGAAATATTATGATATAAATAGCTGAATTTTATATGGAAGTAAATTCTTCTCAACCAAACACTTAGCTCCATTTCACCGGAAGTGACGATTCCAATATAATTATTGGATGAGGGAGCGCAGGGTATCCGGAATGTTCAGGCAGAGGTCAATGTCAGTATATCCTAGATAACTTGCGAAAGCCGACTTGAATAATTGTCTTATTTTATTGAATTTCGAAAAAAAAACAAGCCTTTTCATCGCAAATTTCATTGTGTAGAAAAGATAACAAGCTGGCGCGACAAATACCCTCAACAGACAACAACGAGAACATTCAAAAATATCCGTACACTTTGAGCTAATCAGCAGACGATTGCACTATCAATTGAATATTAGCAATCTTTCATTGACTGAACTTAGAAATTCGTAGAATAGTATAGTTTAAACCTTTAAACAGTTTAAAATCAATTTAATTCGTATGTGCAAAATTGACAAATAATTTACAAAAAATGCATGACGTTTTAGCTGGAAGGTAGTTACAGTTGTGGATTTGACTATTTGGAAGTTTATGATGGAGATTCAGCAAATACGACGAAACTGGGCAGATTCTGTGGAAACCAATTACCAAGAAGCCTGGTATCATCTGGACTCAAACTCTTCATCGTGTTTCACTCGGATTATAGCGTGTCAGCACCGGGATTTGTTCTGAACTATTCAACACCATTAGGTAAGAAATAAGTTTCAAAATATATCGGCAAGAAAATATTAAAACTTATAAAAGTTTGTTCTATTTTCTGCTCGTAAGAAAATTAGGGTTAAGAACAAAACAGACTGACACTCTGAGTCAGAGTAACTGCCTGGTAGTAAAATTGAAGTATTCTAAAAATGCATGTCTATGTAAATATTATATTTTAGATGTAAATGAATGTTACTTTGGAACACACAACTGCGCTATTGGAGCGTCATGTGTCAATACGAATGAATCGTTTTACTGCATTTGTGAAAACGGTTATACCGGAGATGGCGTAACCTGCACAGGTTTACATCTTTATACTAATTATTTGCATGGTATTTGGTAATATTTTGCAAAAAAATTGACGAGGATAATTCATAATTCCCTTGCAATTTAATTTCCTCTTTTTGGTTAAAAAAACATAGATTTAACCGTTAAAAATATGGGAGTTTATGTATTTTATATTGTAATATCTTAGATATCAATGAATGTGAACTTGGAATTGATAACTGTCATTCTCAAGCATCATGTCGCAATACCAATGGGTCGTTCGACTGTTCTTGCAACTTTGGCTTTAGTGGAGATGGAATAGCATGTAAAATGGCTTCATACCTAATTTGCTACAATCAGATCTAGTCATATTGGGCCTCTTTTAACATATAGATCATGAGGGGCCTTATCCCCATGTTTTCCCCGACCCCACCCCACTGGTAAAAATCCTCTGTTTAAAAAAACATTGATCAAAAACATGTCTTGAACTAAAGCAATTTTATTTGTATTCAGTAACTTTCCATTTCTGTATTCTGTGAACCTTTGATGAAGGCAATTTCAGTAATATCATCTATCGAGTGCGAATACATATTTTGCATGTTATTTGAATATCAGGCGACTGATTTCCAGTCACATTTATGGCGCAAATTAAAAGACAATCCGTGGTTCGTGAAAGGAGAGAAGGTCAGAAAACTCTTACAATTTTAGAAAATTTCAGTTATTTTATTTTCTTTATAGGCAACGCGACAAGACCTTCTAATACATCTAATCCAGGTAAAATCATCAATCTTTTTCTTAAAAATTGAACTAAGCGAACTTTTAGCTTTTGTAGATGGTGTTCTTTGTATATATGCTGTTAAGTCGTTTCCATTGTTTGGCAAATTAACATATGACAAAAATTAAACGGTAATTACAATCTTTAAGGATGTGGAAAAATAAAATATTTTTTAATAACAGATACGACGCCCTCTTATACATCAAGTCAGGTAAAATTAATATCTAAGATATGAACTGATCGATAAAATTTGATCAAAAAAGGCAACACTTTTGTTTGAACTGATTTCAAACGCTTGCAATATAATTGTACCGGTTGCAGTATATACTGGCAGCGATGAGCAAAGGGATAATAAACTTAATGGTCTTCAACCCGACCAAGATGCTATAAGGCACTTGTGTATTTGAGTTACGTAATTTGACATTTCATGCAATGACCTGGTCGACGTCAGCAGCGGGTCGTATGAGGAACATAATTGAAATGAAATATTCCATAGGTTAATTGAGTTATTCGTTAGCATGTAATCTTTATCATTATTACTGGCCTTTCAAGGAGCTAAGCATAAGAAAATTATTTCGACATAAATTCAGTGGCGTAACTAGAACGAAATTTGTGGGGTGAGCTTCAGTCGGGTATAGAACTGAATATATAAATATTCACCTCCCCTACGCCGCCGCATAAATTACATAAAAAATACATGGATGAATTTCCTTTTCTCTTAACAGGCACCATTCCACCCACTACTAATCCAGGTAATAAATAATTGGTACTCAATGTTGATATTTCACTGCCCAGATGCGGTTATCCGACGAATAGCAGGTTTTTCAATCGATCAAATCGATTCAAATTAACCCTTAGCATGATTGTCAGAAACAAACCATGCATTCAATAAGGCTTTAGGTCCGTTTCGCATTGCAACGAATCGCGCGTAAATGAATCGATGAGATATAAAGATTAAAGATTCACCACGTTTTGCTACGATATTTAAACAAGGAAATACGCCACATCTCGCTACGATACGACTGCAGATGTGTAAAACAGTTTTTAGACGAATATTCGTTGTCGAAAAGATTGTACAAACTAACATTATTAATTAGGTATAGTTGATACAAAAATTAAGTTTGACAGCTCTTCGCTTCTTTTACATAATCTTTTCGGATCTTGTTTGCCGTTTTTTATCCCGTTTCAAAATTTATTTGCAGCCAGTTACGTTTATGGCACACATTTACATGCATTTACATACATTTATTTTCTTTATAGGCAACGACAAGATCTCTAATACATCTAATCCAGGTAAAATCATCAATCTCAGTTTTCTTGAAAATTAAGGTGAGCGAACTGCGAATTAGCGTTTTAAAAATGGTCTTCTTTGTATACTAAGCTGTTAAGTTGTTTCACTTGCTTGGCTAATTAACAGCTGACAGAATTTAAACAGTGATTATAATCTTTGAGAATGTAAAAAAAAATACATTTTTTATTAACAGATACGACGCCTTCTTATACATCAAGTCCAGGTAAGATTGGTGTCTAAGATATGAACTGATCGATAAAATTTAATCCAAAAAAGGCAACACTTATTTTGTTTGAATTGATTTCAAACGCTTGCAATATAATTATACCGGTTGCAGTATATACTGGCAGCGATGAGCAAAGGGATAATAAACTTAATGGTCTTCAACCCGACCAAGATGCTATAAGGCACGTGTGTATTTGAGTTAAGTAATTTGACATTTCATACATTGACCTGATCGACGTCAGCAGCGGGTCGTTTGAAGGGACATAATTGAAATGAAATAATCCATAGGGTAATTGGGTTATTCGTTATCATGAAACGATATCTATGTTACTATTACTGCCATTTCGAGGAGCTAAGAATAGGAAAAATATTTCGGCATAAATTCAGTGGCGTAACTAGAAAGAAATTCGGGGGTGAGTCTCCGTCTGGTAGAACTGAATATATGAATTTCACCTGCCCTACGCCGCTGCAATAAATTACATAAATAAAATATGGAAGAATTTCCTTTTCCCTTTACAGGCACCATTCCACCAACTACTAATCCAGGTAATAAATAATGGCGCTATCCACCGAATAGGAGGTTTTTCGAATTGTCTAAATTATTTTGGTTGATTAATATCTAAACTTTTATTAATTTTTTAAACATTTTTGTGCTGCTTGAAAAAGTTAATATCTATGTAGAAGACAGAGAGCACGGAAGATCGTTAACACGAGGGCAATTATTTATGTAGCGTTAAAACAATCAATTTCATAAGGAACTAATATTGCCAAACATGAATATATGAATAATTTCCCCCCCCCCGACACTAACGACACCAGAGGAATCTTGTCCGAAGGTCCGAATTAGTTAAAAAGATATCACGCTGAGAGATTGTCAACATATCGGTCAAAAAATTGTCAGAGCAACAAAAAGCATTCTGAAAAAGCGATAAGAATTTGTTCCAAACTGGACGAAGAAAAAAACCCGCTATATTCTCTCTTTTTTATCCTGCTTCAAAATTTATTTGCAGCCATTTAGATTTATGGCGCAAATCAAAAGACAATCCGTGGTTCGTGCATGGAGAGAGAAGGTCAGAAAAATGTTACCAATTTGTAAAAAATTAAGTTTATGTGTTTTTTTTTATAGCTAACGCAACAAGACCTTCTAATACATCTAGTCCAGGTAAAATCATCAATCTTTTTCTTGAAAATTGAACAGAGCTAGTAAAATTTTAGCTTTTATAAATTGTCTTCTTTGTATATTATGCTGTGCCGTCGTTTCACTTGTTTGGCGAATTAACAGCTGACAAAAATTATACGGTCATTATAATCTTTGAGAGTGCAAAAATATATTTTTTATTCACAGATACGACGCCTTCTTATACATCAAGTCGAGGTAAAATTAATATCCAAGATATGAACTGATTGATAAAATTTAATCCAAAAAGGCGACACCTATTTAGTCTGAACTGATTTCAAATTCTGGCAGTATATACCGATTACAAGAATACACGTGCGTCTAGAGTTGCCGTAATCTATATTACCATTACTGGCATTTCAAGGAGCTAAGAATAAGTAAAATATTTCGACATAAATTCAGTGGCGTAACTAGAACGAAATTTGGGGGTGAGTGTTCATTATTTAATTCAGCCGGATGGATTACACTTGAAAGTCCAACAGCTTAAAATACAGCCCCGTCGGATAGAACTGAATATTTGCATATTCACCTCTCCTACGCCGCTGCATAAATTACATAAAATAAAATATGGAAGAACTTCGTTTTCTCTTTACAGGCACCATTCCACCCACTACTAATCCAGGTAATGAATAATTGGTAGTGAATTTTGATGTTTCACTGCCCAGCCGCGTTTATTCGACGGATATAGCGCTCTCCACCGAAAAGCGGGTTTTTCAAACGATCTAAATTATACTTGTTGGTTAATACCTAATGTTTTATTTCTTTTTTAAACATTTTTGCGCACAATCAATAATTGTCTAGTAGATGCAGGGGCCACGGAAGATTGGAAACTGGAGGCCAAATATTTATATATTCATTTCAGCTGACGATAAAAAAAACAATTTCGTAGGAAACTAATATTGCTAACCCGAAAATATGAATAATTTCCCCCCCCGCGAACCTAACGATCTTTCGTGGCCCCTGCTATGTAAAGGAATATCCAGCCTTCGTACATGCATGCAATCCGCCGTAGGTGTTGGCTAATAAAGATTTAATCGTCCATAGTTGACACATTTTTCTCAGCAGTTCTTCGCTTGAATTTGATATCTTTTTTATTTCGTTGAAGTTAAGACAAAAATTAACCCTTAGCATGACTGTTACAAGACTCACAAGGAATCCATAGTTTCCAATTGCAGTCATAATTAAATAGTATACAAACTAAAACAAAATAAGTTGATGCGGGAGAATAATTATACTAATTTATTTCTTCACAGCGAAAAACATTCCACGAAATTTTACGACATCAGCGCCAGGTAACAGTACCTATTAGTAATTATTATTAACGATGCATATTCGAAAACAGGGCTTTGTCATTGCGTTTTCATTATTTTTTGCATTGAGGAATGAGAAACTAATATTGCCGAACATGAAGATATGAATATTGCTCCCTACCTCAATTAATGCTCTTTTGCCCTATATAGGTCTAGGCTAATTCAAGTTTGAACATGTTCCTATTTACTATTCTAATAATAAATAATCGGCGATAAATTCCACTTTGCTCTATCCTTCAATAAGTTTGTGTGAATAATATTTCCAGAATTATGCGGCGAAAGTCAACTGTATCCTCCTGGAAAACTCACAAGCCCTCTTTATCCCCTTTCATACCCTCACTACTTGGATTGCAGTTGGACCATTTCCAGCACCAATGGAAGAAAAATTTTACTACAGTTTACTTCATTCTTGGTAGGCTACTTTTACCTAATTTATTGCTCCTCCGGCCCTGTTTGGGCGAAAAACCTTAGCGACATAACATGTTTTTGTTCGAATAACTTCATCGTTTTATCATTTTTATCCCGAAACACTGCTTACGCGTCAGCTAGTGTATCGTTTCTCTTTTCCCGCTCAGTCGTAAACTTTATCAATATTCTTGTACGTTTGCATAGTAACATCATGCAAATATGTTTATATCAATATTCTTTTCCTAAATATTGATCTTCATCCACTAACGTTTTTGCGATATTTCCCCCATCTTGCTGTATCAGTGCGATTAACGTTCAAGTTTTGTCGAGAAAGATATGTTAATTCGCTCGCAGTTCAATTGAAAATCAAACGGTTTAACTAATACAAAGAACAGAGGCGTTGCGAGCTTTATAGGCGGGGGGGGGGAGCATACTCACGTAATCGTTTTCTAAATAGCTTATTCATTTCTTTTCAAATTGATTGTTTTTACAGTCAGTGAACATAAATATATCAAAGAAAAAAATTATGCCTCGCTTATAGGTTTGGCATCAAGAAGTAGTTGATCTACTGGGCTGATAATTTTAGTACTTTAAATGTCCAGATTTTTTTATAAAAACTATTTCCTTTTCTCGAAAAGGAAAAATATTTTTTAATATCCTATTCCTAGAACAGTTCAAGATTAAAAATTTTTTTACTCTTCCTAAATATTTACTTCTTATTAACCGAGGTGAAATCTTTACCGAGAAATATCGGACCGAGGGCTTTTTGAACGGAACGAGCTCAAAGACCAAGGTTTGTTCAAAAATATCGAAGACCGATATTTCTCGCGATAAAGATCGAGCAAACGAGGTTAATAAAATATTTATTATATGGCATAAGGCATATATTTGCACTTGAAACAAACAAGAAATGCATGAATTCGTATTATTAGCCTGGCACGCAGTGATAAAAACAAAAACAAAACATTAAATTATTTGGGTTACGTAAACTCGGCCTAAACTGTCTGGGTTAAGTTGTTCTATGGTCGTTTAAGTCGTTTAGCTTAAAAGGCTTATAAGTTTAAAGTGGAAAACAAAATTATCTTTTTATTGGAAACTGCATGAGCGGAAATATTATGATATAAATAGCTGAATTTTATATGGAAGTAAATTCTTCTCAACCAAACACTTAGCTCCATTTCACCGGAAGTGACGATTCCAATATAATTATTGGATGAGGGAGCGCAGGGTATCCGGAATGTTCAGGCAGAGGTCAATGTCAGTATATCCTAGATAACTTGCGAAAGCCGACTTGAAAATTGTCTTATTATTTATTGAATTTCGAAAAAAAACAAGCCTTTTCATGGCAAATTTCATTGTGTAGAAAAGATAACAAGCTGGCGCGACAAATACCCTCAACAGACAACAACGAGAACATTCAAAAATATCCGTACACTTTGAGCTAATCAGCAGACGATTGCACTATCAATTGAATATTAGCAATCTTTCATTGACTGAACTTAGAAATTCGTAGAATAGTATAGTTTAAACCTTTAAACAGTTTAAAATCAATTTAATTCGTATGTGCAAAATTGACAAATAATTTACAAAAAATGCATGACGTTTTAGCTGGAAGGTAGTTACAGTTGTGGATTTGACTATTTGGAAGTTTATGATGGAGATTCAGCAAATACGACGAAACTGGGCAGATTCTGTGGAAACCAATTACCAAGAAGCCTGGTATCATCTGGACTCAAACTCTTCATCGTGTTTCACTCGGATTATAGCGTGTCAGCACCGGGATTTGTTCTGAACTATTCAACACCATTAGGTAAGAAATAAGTTTCAAAATATATCGGCAAGAAAATATTAAAACTTATAAAAGTTTGTTCTATTTTCTGCTCGTAAGAAAATTAGGGTTAAGAACAAAACAGACTGACACTCTGAGTCAGAGTAACTGCCTGGTAGTAAAATTGAAGTATTCTAAAAATGCATGTCTATGTAAATATTATATTTTAGATGTAAATGAATGTTACTTTGGAACACACAACTGCGCTATTGGAGCGTCATGTGTCAATACGAATGAATCGTTTTACTGCATTTGTGAAAACGGTTATACCGGAGATGGCGTAACCTGCACAGGTTTACATCTTTATACTAATTATTTGCACGGTATTTGGTAATATTTTGCAAAAAAATTGACGAGGATAATTCATAATTCCCTTGCAATTTAATTTCCTCTATTTGGTTAAAAAAACATAGATTTAACCGTTAAAAATATGGGAGTTTATGTATTTTATATTGTAATATCTTAGATATCAATGAATGTGAACTTGGAATTGATAACTGTCATTCTCAAGCATCATGTCGCAATACCAATGGGTCGTTCGACTGTTCTTGCAACTTTGGCTTTAGTGGAGATGGAATAGCATGTAAATGGCTTCATACCTAATTTGCTAGAATCAGATCTAGTCATATTGGGCCTCTTTTAACATATAGATCATGAGGGGCCTTATCCCCATGTTTTCCCCGACCCCACGCCACTGGTAAAAATCCTCTGTTTAAAAAAACATTGATCAAAAACATGTCTTGAACTAAAGCAATTTTATTTGTATTCAGTAACTTTCCATTTCTGTATTCTGTGAACCTTTGATGAAGGCAATTTCAGTAATATCATCTATCGAGTGCGAATACATATTTTGCATGTTATTTGAATATCAGGCGACTGATTTCCAGTCACATTTATGGCGCAAATTAAAAGACAATCCGTGGTTCGTGAAAGGAGAGAGAAGGTCAGAAAACTGTTACCAATTTTAGAAAATTTCAGTTATTTTATTTTCTTTATAGGCAACGCGACAAGACCTTCTAATACATCTAATCCAGGTAAAATCTTCAATCTTTTTCTTAAAAATTGAACTAAGGGAACTTTTAGCTTTTGTAGATGGTGTTCTTTGTATAATATGCTGTTAAGTCGTTTCCATTGTTTGGCAAATTAACATATGACAAAAATTAAACGGTAATTACAATCTTTAAGGATGTGGAAAAAAAAATATTTTTTAATAACAGATACGACGCCCTCTTATACATCAAGTCAAGCAAAATTAATATCTAAGATATGAACTGATCAATAAAATTTGATCTAAAAAAGGCAACACTTATTTTGTTTGAAATGATTTCAAACGCTTGCAATATAATTATACCGGTTGCAGTATATACTGGCAGCGATGAGGAAAGGGATAATAAACTTAATGGTCTTCAACCCGACCAAGATGCTACAAGGCACTTGTGTATTTGAGTTACGTAATTTGACATTTCATGCAATCACCTGGTCGACGTCAGCAGCGGGTCGTATGAGGGACATAATTGAAATGAAATAATCCATAGGTTAATTGAGTTATTCGTTAACATGTAATCTATATCATTATTACTGGCCTTTCAAGGAGCTAAGCATAAGAAAAATATTTCGACATAAATTCAGTGGCGTAACTAGAACGAAATTTGTGGGGTGAGCTACTGCCGGGTATAGAACTGAATATATAAATATTCACCTCCCCTACGCCGCCGCATAAATTACATAAAATAATACATTCAAGAATTTCCTTTTCTCTTTTACAGGCACCATTCCACCCACTACTAATCAAGGTAATAAATAATTGGTACTCAATTTTTATGTTTCACTGCCCAGTCGCGGTTATTCGACGAATGGCGCTATCCACCGAATAGCAAGTTTTTCGATCGATCAATAAATTATTTTTGTTGATTAATATCTAAATATTTATTTTTTTTAAGCATTTTTGTGTTGCTTGAAAAATTCAATATTTATCTAGAAAACAGAGGCCACGGAAGATCGTGATAGGAGGGCAGATATTTATATAGCGTAAAAACAATCAATTTCATAATAAACTAATATTGCCAAACGTGAATATATGACTAATTGCCCCCCCCCCCTCCGACACTAACGACACTAGAGGAATCAGTGCGAAAGTCCGAAATAGTTGAAAAAATATCACGCTGAGAGATTGTCAAGATCGGTCAAGAAATTGTCAGAGCAACAAAAGCATCCTAGGAAACCGTAAAGAATTTGCTCCTAACTGGAAGAAAAAAAATTTTCTGACACAAACCGCTATATTCTCTAAAAATTTCATTTTGTTTGTCCTTCTTTACCATTTTTTATCCCGTTTCAAAAATTGTTTGCAGCCAGTCACATTTTTGGCGCAAAGCAAAAGACAATCCGTGGTTCGTGCATTGAGAGAAAAGGTCAGAACACTGTTACCAATTTTTAAAATTTTCAGTTTTTTGTTTTTTTTTGTAGGCAACGTGACAAGACCTTCAAGTACATCTGATCCAGGTAAAACCATCAATCTTTTTCTTGAAAATTGAACTGAGCCGACCAGGGGCGGATCTAGGATTTTTCAAACGTAAGTCCAAATTGGGAAATTTTGAGAAAATTTTTCAAATCGGCAGATCGGAATTTTGATTATTTCGGCTCATTTTAGGGTTCATCACAATGCCCAGGAAAGACATACTAGATTCCGCTTATTAACAGAGCTGGCGAGGGTCATATTTCAAAACACACAAGTTTCCCATATATTATCCCCTTATGATAGCAATAGTTGTTTAACACAAATTAAACAATATCCTCAAATAATATAAAGAGAAATATTTCCATTGCTTCGCGTAAGATGCAGGCGTACAAGAACTTTACAAAACCATGCTAATCATAACAAACATAATATGCTATAAATAGACGCGAATATTATAATATGCATCGCAAACTTCAGTATAATGCAAATTCTCAAACACTCTAGCGAGTGTTGAGTAAGTAGGCTTATCCATTCTAGTGCATTTTACGACAGGATACGTTTTATAACCATAATATTATGAGCATAGGAACTACTAGGAAGATTATGATATATAAACTATATATTGATAATTGATCAGGTTACACAACAAAGCGGCATGAAATCAATAACTGTGAACGAACTTGTCGCATGCATGGAACACTCCTAAATCATTATATTTTTAGGTATATTGCTTTATTTGTTATATTATATCCATGTTAAACGTTTCTCTTACCAACACAGTCTTAGTTTTCATGTTCAGCAGGGATATCGTGATTAATTCCCTCGTTTATTAAAGTCTAACATCAACACAGTTGCTCGCATGAAATCGCTGCTCCACGATAATGCTTATCAAGAGCCAGTTATCTTGTAAAATCCTGCTTCGAATGTCCGCGTATTAAAATAATTTTCTAACAATAAAGTCATAATCGTTCGTATAACAGAATATTGGAAGTGGAGAGCCTGGCTTCGTTTAATAATAAATTTTGCAATTTTATCATTCTGAAGACAGAGCGATAACCCCGTTTAAAGTTCAAGTCAGTCCGGCCACCCCGCATATCAGTCGAGATAAGTCCGGTAAATTCAAACTGACCAATCGCAATGCAAGAAATGGACTGATTTGGCCCCGTTAAGGTGCAAATCAGTCCGGCCACCCCACAAATCAGTCGAGATAAGTCCAAATGGCTTATCGACCAATCAAATGAGCCGGCTGACCCACCCGATTCTGCGAGTTTTTTGCGTTTTACCGCTGCTCTGGATGAAAGAATATTGCTTTTTTGAAACTGAACCCTTTAACTGGACTATGATTTTAATTCTTATTACAATCTTGAAGGGGTTAATTATTCATATTTCAAGATAAATTTGAATATTTAATTATCATTTTTACTGCCAAAAATACGTAAGTCGCGCGACTGACTGGACTTACCCTAGATCCGCCCCTGGAGCCGACTTTTAGCTTTTAAAAACGGCCTTCTTTGTATATTATGCTGTTAAGTCGTTTTACTGTTTAATTTGGCAAATTAACATATGACAAAATTTAAACGGTCATTACAATCTTTGAGGATGTGCAAAAATTAATATATTTCTTATTAACAGATACGACGCCTTCTAATACATCAAGTCGAGGTAAAATTAATATCTAAGATATGAACTGATCGATAAAATTTAATCCAAAAAAGGCGACACTTATTTTATTTGAACTGATTTCAAACGCTTGCAGTATAATTGTACCGATTGCAGTATATACTGGCAGCGATAAGCAAGGGATAATAAACTTAATAATCTTCAACACGACCAAGATGCTATAAGGCACTTGTCTATTTGAGCTATATAATTTGACATTTCATGCAATGACCTGGTCGACGTCAGCAGCGGCTCGTTTGAGAGACATAGTTGAAATGAAATAATCCATAGGTTAATTGAGTTATTCGTTAACATGTAATCTTTATCATTATTACTGGCCTTTCAAGGAGCTAAGCATAAGAAAAATATTTTGACATAAATTCAGTGGCGTAATTAGAACGAAATTTGTGGGGCGAGCTTCCGTCGGGTATAGAACTGAATATATAAATATTCACCTCCCCTACGCCGCCGCATAAATTACATAAAAAAATACATGGATGAATTTCCTTTTCTCTTAACAGGCACCATTCCACCCACTACTAATCCAGGTAATAAATAATTGGTACTCAATGTTGATATTTCACTGCCCAGATGCGGTTATCCGACGAATAGCAGGTTTTTCAATCGATCAAGTCGATTCAAATTAACCCTTAGCATGATTGTCAGAAACAAACCATGCATTCAATAAGGCTTTAGGTCCGTTTCGCATTGCAACGAATCGCGCGTAAAATGAATCGATGAGATATAAAGATTAAAGATTCACCACGTTTTGCTACGATACTTAAACAAGGAAATACGCCACATCTCGCTACGATACGACTGCAGATGTGTAAAACAGTTTTTAGACGAATATTTGTTGTCGAAAAGATTGTACAAACTAACATTATTAATTAGGTATATAGTTGATACAAAAATTAAGTTTGACAGCTCTTCGCTTTTTTTACATAATCTTTTCGGATCTTGTTTGCCGTTTTTTATCCCGTTTCAAAATTTATTTGCAGCCAGTTACGTTTATGGCACACATTTACATGCATTTACATACATTTATTTTCTTTATAGGCAACGTTACAAGATCCTCTAATACATCTAATCCAGGTAAAATCATCAATCTCAGTTTTCTTGAAAATTAAGGTGAGCGAACTGCGAAAATTAGCGTTTAAAATGGTCTTCTTTGTATACTAAGCTGTTAAGTTGTTTCACTTGCTTGGCTAATTAACAGCTGACAGAATTTAAACAGTGATTATAATCTTTGAGAATGTAAAAAAATATATTTTTTATTAACAGATACGACGCCTTCTTATACATCAAGTCCAGGTAAGATTGGTGTCTAAGATATGAACTGATCGATAAAATTTAATCCAAAAAAGGCAACACTTATTTTGTTTGAACTGATTTCAAACGCTTGCAATATAATTATACCGGTTGCAGTATATACTGGCAGCGATGAGCAAAGGGATAATAAACTTAATGGTCTTCAACCCGACCAAGATGCTATAAGGCACGTGTGTATTTGAGTTAAGTAATTTGACATTTCATACATTGACCTGATCGACGTCAGCAGCGGGTCGTTTGAGGGACATAATTGAAATGAAATAATCCATAGGGTAATTGGGTTGTATTGGTTATCATGAAACGATATCTATATTACTATTACTGCCATTTCGAGGAGCTAAGAATAGGAAAAATATTTCGGCATAAATTCAGTGGCGTAACTAGAAAGAAATTCGGGGTGAGTCTCCGTCTGGTAGAACTGAATATATGAATATTCACCTGCCCTACGCCGCTGCATAAATTACATAAAATAAAATATGGAAGAATTTCCTTTTCCCTTTACAGGCACCATTCCACCAACTACTAATCCAGGTAATAAATAATGGCGCTATCCACCGAATAGGAGGTTTTTCGAATTGTCTAAATTATTTTGGTTGATTAATATCTAAACTTTTATTAATTTTTTAAACATTTTTGTGCTGCTTGAAAAAGTTAATATCTATGTAGAAGACAGAGAGCACGGAAGATCGTTAACACGAGGGCAATTATTTATATAGCGTTAAAACAATCAATTTCATAAGGAACTAATATTGCCAAACATGAATATATGAATAATTTCCCCCCCCCCGACACTAACGACACCAGAGGAATCTTGTCCGAAGGTCCGAATTAGTTAAAAAGATATCACGCTGAGAGATTGTCAACATATCGGTCAAAAAATTGTCAGAGCAACAAAAAGCATTCTGGGAAAGCGATAAGAATTTGTTCCAAACTGGACGAAGAAAAATTTCTGATAGAAACCGCTATATTCTCTCTTTTTTATCCTGCTTCAAAATTTATTTGCAGCCATTTAGATTTATGGCGCAAATCAAAAGACAATCCGTGGTTCGTGCATGGAGAGAGAAGGTCAGAAAAATGTTACCAATTTGTAAAAAATTAAGTTTATTGTTTTTTTTATAGCTAACGCAACAAGACCTTCTAATACATCTAGTCCAGGTAAAATCATCAATCTTTTTCTTGAAAATTGAACAGAGCTAGTAAAATTTTAGCTTTTATAAATTGTCTTCTTTGTATATTATGCCGTGCCGTCGTTTCACTTGTTTGGCGAATTAACAGCTCACAAAAATTATACGGAGATTATAATCTTTGAGAGTGCAAAAATATATTTTTTATTTACAGATACGACGCCTTCTTATACATCAAGTCGAGGTAAAATTAATATCCAAGATATGAACTGATCGATAAAATTTAATCCAAAAAGGCGACACCTATTTAGTCTGAACTGATTTCAAACGCTGGCAGTATATACCGATTCCAAGAATACACGTGCGTCTAGAGTTGCCGTAATCTATATTACCATTACTGGCATTTCAAGGAGCTAAGAATAAGTAAAATATTTCGACATAAATTCAGTGGCGTAACTAGAACGAAATTTGGGGGTGAGTGTTCATTATTTAATTCAGCCGGATGGATACACTTGAAAGTCCAACAGCTTAAAATACAGCCCCGTCGGGTAGAACTGAATATTTGCATATTCACCTCTCCTACGCCGCAGCATAAATTACATAAAATAAAAATGGAAGAACTTCGTTTTCTCTTTACAGGCACCATTCCACCCACTACTAATCCAGGTAATGAATAATTGGTAGTGAATTTTGATGTTTCACTGCCCAGCCGCGTTTATTCGACGGATATAGCGCTCTCCACCGAAAAGCGGGTTTTTCAAACGATCTAAATTATACTTGTTGGTTAATACCTAATGTTTTATTTCTTTTTTAAACATTTTTGCGCACAATCAATAATTGTCTAGTAGATGCAGGGGCCACGGAAGATTGGAAACTGGAGGCCAAATATTTATATATTCATTTCAGCTTACGATAAAAAAAAACAATTTCGTAGGAAACTAATATTGCTAACCCGAAAATATGAATAATTCCCCCCCCCGCGAACCTAACGATCTTTCGTGGCCCCTGCTATGTAAAGGAATATCCAGCCTTCGTACATGCATGCAATCCGCCGTAGGTGTTGGCTAATAAAGATTTAATCGTCCATAGTTGACACATTTTTCTCAGCAGTTCTTCGCTTGAATTTGATATCTTTTTTATTTCGTTGAAGTTAAGACAAAAATTAACCCTTAGCATGACTGTTACAAGACTCACAAGGAATCCATAGTTTCCAATTGCAGTCATAATTAAATAGTATACAAACTCAAACAAAATAAGTTGATGCGGGAGAATAATTATACTAATTTATTTCTTCACAGCGAAAAACATTCCACGAAATTTTACGACATCAGCGCCAGGTAACAGTACCTATTAGTAATATTATTAACGATGCATATTCGAAAACAGGGCTTTGGCATTGCGTTTTCATTATTTTTTGCATTGAGGAATAAGAAACTAATATTGCCGAACATGAAGATATGAATAATTGCTCCCTACCTCAATTAATGCTCTTTTGCCCATATATAGGTCTAGGCTAATTCAAGTTTGAACATGTTCCTATTTACTATTCTAATAATAAATAATCGGCGATAAATTCCACTTTGCTCTATCCTTCAATAAGTTTGTGTGAATAATATTTCCAGAATTATGCGGCGAAAGTCAACTGTATCCTCCTGGAAAACTCACAAGCCCTCTTCATCCCCTTTCATACCCTCACTACTTGGATTGCAGTTGGACGATTTCCAGCACCAATGGAAGAAAAATTTTACTACAGTTTACTTCATTCTTGGTAGGCTACTTTTACCTAATTTATTGCTCCTCCGGCCCTGTTTGGGCGAAAAAACCTTAGCGACATAACATGTTTTTGTTCGAATAACTTCATCGTTGTATCATTTTTATCCCGAAACACTGCTTACGCGTCAGCTAGTGTATCGTTTCTCTTTTCCCGCTCAGTCGTAAACTTTATCAATATTCTTGTACGTTTGCATAGTAACATCATGCAAATATGTTTATATCAATATTCTTTTCCTAAATATTGATCTTCATCCACTAACGTTTTTGCGATATTTCCCCCATCTTGCTTTATCAGTGCGATTAACGTTCAAGTTTTGTCGAGAAAGATATGTTAATTCGCTCGCAGTTCAATTGAAAATCAAACGGTTTAACTAATACAAAGAACAGAGGCGTTGCGAGCTTTATAGGCGGGGGGGGGGAGCATACTCACGTAATCGTTTTCTAAATAGCTTATTCATTTCTTTTCAAATTGATTGTTTTTACAGTCAGTGAACATAAATATATCAAAGAAAAAAATATGCCCCGCTTATAGGTTTGGCATCAAGAAGTAGTTGATCTACTGGGCTGATAATTTTAGTACTCTAAATGTCCAGATTTTTTTATAAAAACTATTTCCTTTTCTCGAAAAGGAAAAATATTTTTTAATATCCTATTCCTAGAACAGTTCAAGATTAAAATTTTTTTATTCTTTCTAAATATTTACTTCTTATTAACCGAGGTGAAATCTTTACCGAGAAATATCGGACCGAGGTCTTTTTGAACGGAACGAGCTCAAAGACCAAGGTTTGTTCAAAAATATCGAAGACCGATATTTCTCGCGATAAAGATCGAGCAAACGAGGTTAATAAAATATTTATTATATGGCATAAGGCATATATTTGCACTTGAAACAAACAAGAAATGCATGAATTCGTATTATTAGCCTGGTACGCAGTGATAAAAACAAAAACAAAACATTAAATTATTTGGGTTACGTAAACTCGGCCTAAACTGTCTGGGTTAAGTTGTTCTATGGTCGTTTAAGTCGTTTAGCTTAAAAGGCTATAAAAATGGAAAACAAAATTATCTTTTTATTGGACAACTGCATGAGCGCAAATATTATGATATAAATAGCTGAATTTTATATGGAAGTAAATTCTTCTCAACCAAACACTTAGCTCCATTTCACCGGAAGTGACGATTCCAATATAATTATTGGATGAGGGAGCGCAGGGTATCCGGAATGTTCAGGCAGAGGTCAATGTCAGTATATCCTAGATAACTTGCGAAAGCCGACTTGAATAATTGTCTTATTATTCATTGAATTTCGAAAAAAAAACAAGCCTTTTCATGGCAAATTTCATTGTGTAGAAAAGATAACAAGCTGGCGCGACAAATACCCTCAACAGACAACAACGAGAACATTCAAAAATATCCGTACACTTTGAGCTAATCAGCAGACGATTGCACTATCAATTGAATATTAGCAATCTTTCATTGACTGAACTTAGAAATTCGTAGAATAGTATAGTTTAAACCTTTAAACAGTTTAAAATCAATTTAATTCGTATGTGCAAAATTGACAAATAATTTACAAAAAATGCATGACGTTTTAGCTGGAAGGTAGTTACGGTTGTGGATTTGACTATTTGGAAGTTTATGATGGAGATTCAGCAAATACGACGAAACTGGGCAGATTCTGTGGAAACCAATTACCAAGAAGCCTGGTATCATCTGGACTCAAACTCTTCATCGTGTTTCACTCGGATTATAGCGTGTCAGCACCGGGATTTGTTCTGAACTATTCAACACCATTAGGTAAGAAATAAGTTTCAAAATATATCGGCAAGAAAATATTAAAACTTATAAAAGTTTGTTCTATTTCTGCTCGTAAGAAAATTAGGGTTAAGAACAAAACAGACTGACACTCTGAGTCAGAGTAACTGCCTGGTAGTAAAATGAAGTATTCTAAAAATGCATGTCTATGTAAATATTATATTTAGATGTAAATGAATGTTACTTTGGAACACACAACTGCGCTATTGGAGCGTCATGTGTCAATACGAATGAATCGTTTTACTGCATTTGTGAAAACGGTATACCGGAGATGGCGTAACCTGCACAGGTTTACATCTTATACTAATTTGCATGGTATTGGTAATATTTGCAAAAAAATTGACGAGGATAATTCATAATTCCCTTGCAATTAATTTCCTCTTTTTGGTTAAAAAAACATAGATTAACCGTTAAAAATATGGGAGTTTATGTATTTATATTGTAATATCTTAGATATCAATGAATGTGAACTTGGAATTGATAACTGTCATTCTCAAGCATCAGTCGCAATACCAATGGGTCGTTCGACTGTTCTTGCAACTTTGGCTTTAGTGGAGATGGAAGCATGTAAAATGGCTTCATACCTAATTGCTACAATCAGATCTAGTCATATTGGGCCTCTTTAACATATAGATCATGAGGGGCCTTATCCCCAGTTTTCCCCGACCCCACCCCACTGGTAAAAATCCTCTGTTTAAAAAACATTGATCAAAAACATGTCTGAACTAAAGCAATTTTATTTGTATTCAGTAACTTTCCATTTCTGTATTCTGTGAACCTTTGATGAAGGCAATTTCAGTAATATCATCTATCGAGTGCGAATACATATTTTGCATGTTATTTGAATCAGGCGACTGATTTCCAGTCACATTTATGGCGCAAAAAAGACAATCCGTGGTTCGTGAAAGGAGAAGGTCAGAAACTCTTACAAATTTAGAAAATTTCAGTTATTTTATTCTTTATAGGCAACGCGACAAGACCTTCTAATACATCTAATCCAGGTAAAACATCAATCTTTTTCTTAAAATTGAACTAAGCGAACTTTAGCTTTGTAGATGGTGTTATTTGATATTATGCTGTTAAGGTCGTTTCCATGTTTGGCAAATTAACATATGACAAAAATTAAACGGTAATTACAATCTTTAAGGATGTGGAAAAATAAAATATTTTTTAATAACAGATACGACGCCCTCTTACATCAAGTCCAGGTAATTAATATCTAAGAATGAACTGATCGATAAAATTTGATCCAAAAAAGGCAACACTTATTTGTTTGAACTGATTTCAAACGCTTGCAATAAATTGTACCGGTTGCAGTATATACTGGCAACGATGAGCAAAGGGATAATAAACTTAATGGTCCAACCCGACCAAGAGCTATAAGGCACTTGTGTATTTGAGTTACGTAATTTGACATTTCATGCAATGACCTGGTCGACGTCAGCAGCGGGTCGTATGAGGAACATAATTGAAATGAAATATTCCATAGGTTAATTGAGTTATTCGTTAGCATGTAATCTTTACATTATTACTGGCCTTTCAAGGAGCTAAGCATAAGAAAATTATTTCGACATAAATTCAGTGGCGTAACTAGAACGAAATTTGTGGGGTGGACTTCCGTCGGGTATAGAACTGAATAATAAAATATTCACCCCCCTACGCCGCCGCATAAATTACATAAAAATACATGGATGAATTTCCTTTTCTCTTAACAGGCACCATTCCACCCACTACTAACCAGGTAATAAATAATTGGTACTCAATGTTGATATTTCACGGCCCAGATGCGGTTACCGACGAATAGCAGGTTTTCAATCGATCAAATCGATTCAAATTAACCCTTAGCATGATTGTCAGAAACAAATGCATTCAATAAGGCTTTAGGTCCGTTTCGCATTGCAACGAATCGCGCGTAGAATGAATCGATGAGAATAAAGATTAAAGATTCACCACGTTTTCTACGATATAAACAAGGAAATACGCCACATCTCGCTACGATACGACTGCAGATGTGTAAAACAGTTTTTAGAAGAAATCGTGTGGAAAAGATTGTACAAACTAACATTATAATTAGGTATAGTTGATACAAAAAATAAGTTTGACAGCTCTCGCTTCTTTAACATAACTTGTCGGCCCTTGTTTGCCGTTTTTTATCCCGTTTCAAAATTTATTTGCAGCCAGTTACATTTATGGCAAACATTTACATTTACATACATTTATTTTCTTTATAGGCAACGCGACAAGATCTTCTAATACATCTAATCCAGGTAAAATCATCAATCTTTTTCTTGAAATTTAAGCTGAGGGAACTGCGAATTTTGGCGTTTAAAAATGGCTTCTTGTATACTAAGCTGTTAAGTTGTTTCACTTCTTTGGCTAATTAACAGCTGACAGAATTAAACAGTGATTATAACTTTGAGAAAGTAAAAAAATATAAAAAAAAATATATTTTTTATAACAGATACGACGCCTTCATACATCAAGTCCAAGTAAAATTAATATCTAAGATATGAACTGATCGATAAAATTTAATCCAAAAAGGCCACACGCCTCGAGTCACCGTCAATTTATTACCTTGCAGCGATAAGCAAGGGATAATAAACCCAATAGTCTTCAACCAGATCAAGATGCGCTAAATAAGCAATTGTGTATTTGAGTCGCGCAATTGATATTCAATGACCTGGTCGACGTCAGCAGCGGGTCGTAGAGAAGCGACATAATTGAAAGAAGTAATATTTGTGTAGGGGACGACTTAGCTGTTATAGTGCGCTGGGTTAATTTAGACCTTCGTTAACGTGTAATGATATCTAAATTACTATTACTGGCATTTCAAGGAGCTAAGAATAAGAAAAATATTTCGACATTAATTCAGTGGCGTAACTAGATTGAAATTTGGGGGGGTGAGTATTCATATATTTAATGCTGCCGGACGGATTACACTTGCAAGTGCAATAGCTTAAAATACAGCTCCGTCGGGTAGAACTGAGTATATGAATATTCACCTCCACTACAACGCTGCATAAATTACATAAAATAAAATAAAGAGGAATTTCGTTTTCTCTTAACAGGCACCATTCCACCCACTACTAATCCAGGTAATAAATAATTGGTACTCAATGTTGATATTTCACGGCCCAGATGCGGTTATCCGACGAATAGCAGGTTTTCAATCGATCAAATCGATTCAAATTAACCCTTAGCATGATTGTCAGAAACAAACCATGCATTCAATAAGGCTTTAGGTCCGTTTCGCATTGCAACGAATCGCGCGTAGAATGAATCGATGAGATATAAAGATTAAAGATTCACCACGTTTTGCTACGATATTTAAACAAGGAAATACGCCACATCTCGCTACGATACGACTGCAGATGTGTAAAACAGTTTTTAGAAGAATATTCGTTGTGGAAAAGATTGTACAAACTAACATTATTAATTAGGTATAGTTGATACAAAAAATAAGTTTGACAGCTCTTCGCTTCTTTAACATAATCTTGTCGGCCCTTGTTTGCCGTTTTTTATCCCGTTTCAAAATTTATTTGCAGCCAGTTACATTTATGGCAAACATTTACATTTTACATACATTTATTTTCTTTATAGGCAACGCGACAAGATCTTCTAATACATCTAATCCAGGTAAAATCATCAATCTTTTTCTTGAAATTTAAGCTGAGGGAACTGCGAATTTTGGCGTTTAAAAATGGTCTTCTTTGTATACTAAGCTGTTAAGTTGTTTCACTTCTTTGGCTAATTAACAGCTGACAGAATTTAAACAGTGATTATAATCTTTGAGAATGTAAAAAAAATATATAAAAAAAATATATTTTTTATTAACAGATACGACGCCTTCTTATACATCAAGTCCAAGTAAAATTAATATCTAAGATATGAACTGATCGATAAAATTTAATCCAAAAAAGGCCACACGCCTCGAGTCACCGTCAATTTATTTACCTTGCAGCGATAAGCAAGGGATAATAAACCCAATTGTCTTCAACCAGATGAAGATGCGCTATAAGTCAATTGTGTATTTGAGTCGCGTAATTTGATATTTCAATGACCTGGTCGACGTCAGCAGCGGGTCGTATATGAGCGACATAATTGAAATGAAGTAATTTATTTGTGTAGGGGACAACTTAGCTGTCATAGTGCGCTGGGTTAATTTAGACATTCGTTAACGTGTAATGATATCTATATTACTATTACTGGCATATCAAGGAGCTAAAAATAAGAAAAATATTTCGACATTAATTCAGTGGCGTAACTAGATTGAAATTTGGGGGGGTGAGTATTCATATTTAATGCCGGACGGATTACACTTGCAAGTGCAATAGCTTAAAATACAGCTCCGTCGGGTAGAACTGAGTATATGAATATTCACCTCCACTACAACGCTGCATAAATTACATAAAAAAATAAAGAGGAATTTCGTTTTCTCTTTACAGGCACCATTGCACCCACTACTAATCCAGGTAATAAATAATTGGTACTCAATGTTGATGTTTCACTGCCCAGTCGCGGTTATTCGATAAATGGCGCTATCCACTGAATAGCAAGTTTTTCGATCGATCTATAAATTATTTTTGTTGATTAATATCTAAACTTTTATTAATGTTTTAAACTTTTTTGCTGCTTGAAAAAGTTAATAATTATCTAGAAGACAGAGGTCACGGAAGATCGTTAACATCAGGGCAAATATTTATATAGCGTAAAACAATCAATTTCATAAGGAACTAATATTGCCAAACATGAATATATGAATAAATGCCCCCCCCCGACACTAACGACACCAGAGGAATCTTGTCCGAAGGTCCGAAATAGTTAAAAAGATATCACGCTGAGAGATTGTCAACATATCGGTCAAAAAATTGTCAGAGCAACAAAAAGCATCCTGGGAAAGCGAAAAGAATTTGTTCCAAACTGGACGCAGGAAATTTCTGATACAAACCGCTATTTCTCTCTTTTTTATCCCGCTTCAAAATTTATTTGCTGCATTTAGATTTATGGCGCAAATCAAAAGACAATCCGTGGTTCGTACATGGAGAGAGAAGGTCAGAAAAATGTTACCAATTTGTAAAAAATTAAGTTTATTTGTTTTTTTTATAGCTAAGCAACAAGACCTTCTAATACATCTAGTCCAGGTAAATCATCAATCTTTTTCTTGAAAATTGAACAGAGCTAGTAAAATTTTAGCTTTTATAATTGTCTTCTTTGTATATTATGCTGTGCGGCCGCCGTTTCACTGTTTGGCGAATTAACAGCTGACAAAAATTATACGGTCATTATAATCTTTGAGAGTGCAAAAATATATTTTTTATTCACAGATACGACGCCTTCTTATACATCAAGTCGAGGTAAAATTAATATCCAAGATATGAACTGATCGATAAAATTTATCCAAAAAGGCGACACCTATTTAGTCTGAACTGATTTCAAACGCTGGCAGTATATACCGATTCCAAGAATACACGTGCGTCTAGAGTTGCCGTAATCTATATTACCATTACTGGCATTTCAAGGAGCTAAGAATAAGTAAAATATTTCGACATAAATTCAGTGGCGTAACTAGAACGAAATTTGGGGGTGAGTGTTCATTATTTAATTCAGCCGGACGGATTACACTTGAAAGTCCAACAGCTTAAAATACAGCCCCGTCGGGTAGAACTGAATATTTGCATATTCACCTCTCCTACGCCGCTGCATAAATTACATAAAATAAAATATGGAAGAACTTCGTTTTCTCTTTACAGGCACCATTCCACCCACTACTAATCCAGGTAATGAATAATTGGTAGTGAATTTTGATGTTTCACTGCCCAGCCGCGTTTATTCGACGGATATAGCGCTCTCCACCGAAAAGCGGGTTTTTCAAACGATCTAAATTATACTTGTTGGTTAATACCTAATGTTTTATTTCTTTTTTAAACATTTTTGCGCACAATCAATAATTGTCTAGTAGATGCAGGGGCCACGGAAGATTGGAAACTGGAGGCCAAATATTTATATATTCATTTCAGCTGACGATAAAAAAAACAATTTCGTAGGAAACTAATATTGCTAACCCGAAAATATGAATAATTTCCCCCCCCTCCGCGAACCTAACGATCTTTCGTGGCCCCTGCTATGTAAAGGAATATCCAGCCTTCGTACATGCATGCAATCCGCCGTAGGTGTTGGCTAATAAAGATTTAATCGTCCATAGTTGACACATTTTTCTCAGCAGTTCTTCGCTTGAATTTGATATCTTTTTTATTTCGTTGAAGTTAAGACAAAAATTAACCCTTAGCATGACTGTTACAAGACTCACAAGGAATCCATAGTTTCCAATTGCAGTCATAATTAAATAGTATACAAACTAAAACAAAATAAGTTGATGCGGGAGAATAATTATACTAATTTATTTCTTCACAGCGAAAAACATTCCACGAAATTTTACGACATCAGCGCCAGGTAACAGTACCTATTAGTAATTATTATTAACGATGCATATTCGAAAACAGGGCTTTGTCATTGCGTTTTCATTATTTTTTGCATTGAGGAATGAGAAACTAATATTGCCGAACATGAAGATATGAATATGTGCTCCCTACCTCAATTAATGCTCTTTTGCCCCTATATAGGTCTAGGCTAATTCAAGTTTGAACATGTTCCTATTTACTATTCTAATAATAAATAATCGGCGATAAATTCCACTTTGCTCTATCCTTCAATAAGTTTGTGTGAATAATATTTCCAGAATTATGCGGCGAAAGTCAACTGTATCCTCCTGGAAAACTCACAAGCCCTCTTTATCCCCTTTCATACCCTCACTACTTGGATTGCAGTTGGACCATTTCCAGCACCAATGGAAGAAAAATTTTACTACAGTTTACTTCATTCTTGGTAGGCTACTTTTACCTAATTTATTGCTCCTCCGGCCCTGTTTGGGCGAAAAAACCTTAGCGACATAACATGTTTTTGTTCGAATAACTTCATCGTTTTATCATTTTTATCCCGAAACACTGCTTACGCGTCAGCTAGTGTATCGTTTCTCTTTTCCCGCTCAGTCGTAAACTTTATCAATATTCTTGTACGTTTGCATAGTAACATCATGCAAATATGTTTATATCAATATTCTTTTCCTAAATATTGATCTTCATCCACTAACGTTTTTGCGATATTTCCCCCATCTTGCTGTATCAGTGCGATTAACGTTCAAGTTTTGTCGAGAAAGATATGTTAATTCGCTCGCAGTTCAATTGAAAATCAAACGGTTTAACTAATACAAAGAACAGAGGCGTTGCGAGCTTTATAGGCGGGGGGGGGAGCATACTCACGTAATCGTTTTCTAAATAGCTTATTCATTTCTTTTCAAATTGATTGTTTTTACAGTCAGTGAACATAAATATATCAAAGAAAAAAATTATGCCTCGCTTATAGGTTTGGCATCAAAAGTAGTTGATCTACTGGGCTGATAATTTTAGTACTTTAAATGTCCAGATTTTTTTATAAAAACTATTTCCTTTTCTCGAAAAGGAAAAATATTTTTTAATATCCTATTCCTAGAACAGTTCAAGATTAAAAATTTTTTTACTCTTCCTAAATATTTACTTCTTATTAACCGAGGTGAAATCTTTACCGAGAAATATCGGACCGAGGGCTTTTTGAACGGAACGAGCTCAAAGACCAAGGTTTGTTCAAAAATTTCGAAGACCGATATTTCTCGCGATAAAGATCGAGCAAACGAGGTTAATAAAATATTTATTATGGCATAAGGCATATATTTGCACTTGAAACAAACAAGAAATGCATGAATTCGTATTATTAGCCTGGCACGCAGTGATAAAAACAAAAACAAAACATTAAATTATTTGGGTTACGTAAACTCGGCCTAAACTGTCTGGGTTAAGTTGTTCTATGGTCGTTTAAGTCGTTTAGCTTAAAAGGCTTATAAGTTTAAAGTGGAAAACAAAATTATCTTTTTATTGGAAAACTGCATGAGCGCAAATATTATGATATAAATAGCTGAATTTTATATGGAAGTAAATTCTTCTCAACCAAACACTTAGCTCCATTTCACCGGAAGTGACGATTCCAATATAATTATTGGATGAGGGAGCGCAGGGTATCCGGAATGTTCAGGCAGAGGTCAATGTCAGTATATCCTAGATAACTTCCGAAAGCCGACTTGAAAAATTGTCTTATTATTTATTGAATTTCGAAAAAAAACAAGCCTTTTCATGGCAAATTTCATTGTGTAGAAAAGATAACAAGCTGGCGCGAACTTAGAAATTCGTAGAATAGTATAGTTTAAACCTTTAAACAGTTTAAAATCAATTTAATTCGTATGTGCAAAATTGACAAATAATTTACAAAAAATGCATGACGTTTTAGCTGGAAGGTAGTTACGGTTGTGGATTTGACTATTTGGAAGTTTATGATGGAGATTCAGCAAATACGACGAAACTGGGCAGATTTTGTGGAAACCAATTACCAAGAAGCCTGGTATCATCTGGACTCAAACTCTTCATCGTGTTTCACTCGGATTATAGCGTGTCAGCACCGGGATTTGTTCTGAACTATTCAACACCATTAGGTAAGAAATAAGTTTCAAAATATATCGGCAAGAAAATATTAAAACTTATAAAAGTTTGTTCTATTTTCTGCTCGTAAGAAAATTAGGGTTAAGAACAAAACAGACTGACACTCTGAGTCAGAGTAACTGCCTGGTAGTAAAATTGAAGTATTCTAAAAATGCATGTCTATGTAAATATTATATTTTAGATGTAAATGAATGTTACTTTGGAACACACAACTGCGCTATTGGAGCGTCATGTGTCAATACGAATGAATCGTTTTACTGCATTTGTGAAAACGGTTATACCGGAGATGGCGTAACCTGCACAGGTTTACATCTTTATACTAATTATTTGCATGGTATTTGGTAATATTTTGCAAAAAAATTGACGAGGATAATTCATAATTCCCTTGCAATTTAATTTCCTCTATTTGGTTAAAAAAACATAGATTTAACCGTTAAAAATATGGGAGTTTATGTATTTTATATTGTAATATCTTAGATATCAATGAATGTGAACTTGGAATTGATAACTGTCATTCTCAAGCATCATGTCGCAATACCAATGGGTCGTTCGACTGTTCTTGCAACTTTGGCTTTAGTGGAGATGGAATAGCATGTAAAATGGCTTCATACCTAATTTGCTACAATCAGATCTAGTCATATTGGGCCTCTTTTAACATATAGATCATGAGGGGCCTTATCCTCATGTTTTCCCGACCCCACCCCACTGGTAAAAATCCTCTGTTTAAAAAAACATTGATCAAAAACATATCGTGAACTAAAGCAATGTTATTTGTATTCAGCAACTTTTCATTTCTGTATTCTGCAAACCTTTGATGAAGGCAATTTCAGTAATATCATCTATCGAGTGCGAATACATATTTTGCATGTTATTTGAATATCAGCCGACTGATTTCCAGTCACATTTATGGCGCAAATTAAAAGACAATCCGTGGTTCGTGAAAGGAGAGAGAAGGTCAGAAAACTGTTACCAATTTTAGAAAATTTCAGTTATTTTATTTTCTTTATAGGCAACGCGACAAGACCTTCTAATACATCTAATCCAGGTAAAATCTTCAATCTTTTTCTTAAAAATTGAACTAAGGGAACTTTTAGCTTTTGTAGATGGTGTTCTTTGTATAATATGCTGTTAAGTCGTTTCCATTGTTTGGCAAATTAACATATGACAAAAATTAAACGGTAATTACAATCTTTAAGGATGTGGAAAAATAAAATATTTTTTAATAACAGATACGACGCCCTCTTATACATCAAGTCGAGCAAAATTAATATCTAAGATATGAACTGATCAATAAAATTTGATCTAAAAAAGGCAACACTTATTTTGTTTGAAATGATTTCAAACGCTTGCAGTATAATTTACCGATTGCAGTATATACTGGCAGCGATGAGGAAAGGGATAATAAACTTAATAATCTTCAACACGACCAAGATGCTATAAGGCACTTGTGTATTTGAGTTACGTAATTTGACATTTCATGCAATGACCTGGTCGACGTCAGCAGCGGGTCGCATGAGGGACATAATTGAAATAAATAATCCATAGGTTAATTGAGTTATTCGTTAACATGTAATCTATATTATTATTACTGGCCTTCCAAAAAGCTAAGCATAACAAAATATTTCGACATAAATTCAGTGGCGTAACTAGAACGAAATTTGTGGGGTGAGCTACTGCCGGCTATAGAACTGAATATATAAATATTCACCTCCCCTACGCCGCCGCATAAATTACATAAAATAATACATTCAAGAATTTCCTTTTCTCTTTTACAGGCACCATTCCACCCACTACTAATCAAGGTAATAAATAATTGGTACTCAATGTTGATGTTTCACTGCCCAGTCGCGGTTATTCGACGAATGGCGCTATCCACCGAATAGCAAGTTTTTCGATCGATCAATAAATTATTTTGTTGATTAATATCTAAATATTTATTTTTTTTAAGCATTTTTGTGTTGCTTGAAAAATTCAATATTTATCTAGAAAACAGAGGCCAGGGAAGATATAGGAGGGCAAATATTTATATAGCGTAAAAACAATCAATTTCATAATAAACTAATATTGCCAAAGGTTAATATTTGACTAATTGCCCCCCCCCCCCGACACTAACGACACTAGAGGAATCAGTGCGAAAGTCCGAAATAGTTGAAAAAATATCACGCTGAGAGATTGTCAAGATCGGTCAAGAAATTGTCAGAGCAACAAAAGCATCCTAGGAAACCGTAAAGAATTTGCTCCTAACTGGAGGAAAAAAAATTTTCTGACACAAACCGCTATATTCTCTAAAAATTTCATTTTGTTTGTCCTTCTTTACCATTTTTTATCCCGTTTCAAAAATTGTTTGCAGCCAGTCACATTTTTGGCGCAAAGCAAAAGACAATCCGTGGTTCGTGCATTGAGAGAAAAGGTCAGAAAACTGTTACCAATTTTTAAAATTTTCAGTTTTTTGGTTTTTTTTTGTAGGCAACGTGACAAGACCTTCAAATACATCTGATCCAGGTAAAATCATCAATCTTTTTCTTGAAAATTGAACTGAGCCGACTTTTAGGTTTTAAAAACGGCCTTCTTTGTATATTATGCTGTTAAGTCGTTTCACTGTTTAATTTGGCAAATTAACATATGACAAAATTTAAACGGTCATTACAATCTTTGAGGATGTGCAAAAATTAATATATTTCTTATTAACAGATACGACGCCTTCTAATACATCAAGTCGAGGTAAAATTAATATCTAAGAACTGATCTGATCTGATAAGATGAACTGATCGATAAAATTTAATCCAAAAAGGCGACACTTATTTTATTTGAACTGATTTCAAACGCTTGCAGTATAATTGTACCGATTGCAGTATATACTGGCAGCGATAAGCAAGGGATAATAAACTTAATAATCTTCAACACGACCAAGATGCTATAAGGCACTTGTCTATTTGAGCTATATAATTTGACATTTCATGCAATGACCTGGTCGACGTCAGCAGCGGCTCGTTTGAGAGACATAGTTGAAATGAAATAATCCATAGAAGTTATTCGTTAACATGTAATCTTTATCATTATTACTGGCCTTTCATTAAGAAAAATATTTTTGACATAAATTCAGTGGGGTAATTAGAACGAAATTTGTGGGGCGAGCTTCCGTCGGGTATAGAACTGAATATATAAATATTCCCCTCCCCTACGCCGCCGCATAAATTACATAAAAAAATACAATGAATTTCCTTTTCTCTTAACAGGCACCCCACCCACTACTAATCCAGGTAATAAATAATTGGTACTCAATGTTGATATTTCACTGCCCCAGATGCGGTTATCCGACGAATAGCAGGTTTTTCAATCGATCAAATCGATTCAAATTAACCCTTAGCATGATTGTCAGAAACAAACCATGCATTCAATAAGGCTTTAGGTCCGTTTCGCATTGCAACGAATCGCGCGTAAAATGAATCGATGAGATATAAAGATTAAAGATTCACCACGTTTTGCTACGATACTTAAACAAGGAAATACGCCACATCTCGCTACGATACGACTGCAGATGTGTAAAACAGTTTTTAGACGAATATTCGTTGTCGAAAAGATTGTACAAACTAACATTATTAATTAGGTATATAGTTGATACAAAAAATTAAGTTTGACAGCTCTTCGCTTCTTTTACATAATCTTTTCGGATCTTGTTTGCCGTTTTTTATCCCGTTTCAAAATTTATTTGCAGCCAGTTACGTTTATGGAACACATTTACATGCAGTTACATACATTTATTTTCTTTATAGGCAACGTTACAAGATCCTCTAATACATCTAATCCAGGTAAAATCATCAATCTCAGTTTTCTTGAAAATTAAGGTGAGCGAACTGCGAAAATTAGCGTTTAAAAATGGTCTTCTTTGTATACTAAGCTGTTAAGTTGTTTCACTTGCTTGGCTAATTAACAGCTGACAGAATTTAAACAGTGATTATAATCTTTGAGAATGTAAAAAATATATTTTTTATTAACAGATACGACGCCTTCTTATACATCAAGTCCAGGTAAGATTGGTGTCTAAGATATGAACTGATCGATAAAATTTAATCCAAAAAAGGCAACACTTATTTTGTTTGAACTGATTTCAAACGATTGCAATATAATTATACCGGTTGCAGTATATACTGGCAGCGATGAGCAAAGGGATAATAAACTTAATGGTCTTCAACCCGACCAAGATGCTATAAGGCACGTGTGTATTTGAGTTAAGTAATTTGACATTTCATACATTGACCTGATCGACGTCAGCAGCGGGTCGTTTGAGGGACATAATTGAAATGAAATAATCCATAGGGTAATTGGGTTATTCGTTATCATGAAACGATATCTATATTACTATTACTGCCATTTCGAGGAGCTAAGAATAGGAAAAATATTTCGGCATAAATTCAGTGGCGTAACTAGAAAGAAATTCGGGGGTGAGTCTCCGTCTGGTAGAACTGAATATATGAATATTCACCTGCCCTACGCCGCTGCATAAATTACATAAAATAAAATATGGAAGAATTTCCTTTTCCCTTTACAGGCACCATTCCACCAACTACTAATCCAGGTAATAAATAATGGCGCTATCCACCGAATAGGAGGTTTTTCGAATTGTCTAAATTATTTTGGTTGATTAATATCTAAACTTTTATTAATTTTTTAAACATTTTTGTGCTGCTTGAAAAAGTTAATATCTATGTAGAAGACAGAGAGCACGGAAGATCGTTAACACGAGGGCAATTATTTATATAGCGTTAAAACAATCAATTTCATAAGGAACTAATATTGCCAAACATGAATATATGAATAATTTCCCCCCCCCCGACACTAACGACACCAGAGGAATCTTGTCCGAAGGTCCGAATTAGTTAAAAAGATATCACGCTGAGAGATTGTCAACATATCGGTCAAAAAATTGTCAGAGCAACAAAAAGCATTCTGGGAAAGCGATAAGAATTTGTTCCAAACTGGACGAAGAAAAATTTCTGATAGAAACCGCTATATTCTCTCTTTTTTATCCTGCTTCAAAATTTATTTGCAGCCATTTAGATTTATGGCGCAAATCAAAAGACAATCCGTGGTTCGTGCATGGAGAGAGAAGGTCAGAAAAATGTTACCAATTTGTAAAAAATTAAGTTTATTTGTTTTTTTTATAGCTAACGCAACAAGACCTTCTAATACATCTAGTCCAGGTAAAATCATCAATCTTTTTCTTGAAAATTGAACAGAGCTAGTAAAATTTTAGCTTTTATAAATTGTCTTCTTTGTATATTATGCCGTGCCGTCGTTTCACTTGTTTGGCGAATTAACAGCTCACAAAAATTATACGGAGATTATAATCTTTGAGAGTGCAAAAATATATTTTTTATTTACAGATACGACGCCTTCTTATACATCAAGTCGAGGTAAAATTAATATCCAAGATATGAACTGATCGATAAAATTTAATCCAAAAAGGCGACACCTATTTAGTCTGAACTGATTTCAAACGCTGGCAGTATATACCGATTCCAAGAATACACGTGCGTCTAGAGTTGCCGTAATCTATATTACCATTACTGGCATTTCAAGGAGCTAAGAATAAGTAAAATATTTCGACATAAATTCAGTGGCGTAACTAGAACGAAATTTGGGGGTGAGTGTTCATTATTTAATTCAGCCGGATGGATTACACTTGAAAGTCCAACAGCTTAAAATACAGCCCCGTCGGGTAGAACTGAATATTTGCATATTCACCTCTCCTACGCCGCTGCATAAATTACATAAAATAAAAATGGAAGAACTTCGTTTTCTCTTTACAGGCACCATTCCACCCACTACTAATCCAGGTAATGAATAATTGGTAGTGAATTTTGATGTTTCACTGCCCAGCGCGTTTATTCGACGGATATAGCGCTCTCCACCGAAAAGCGGGTTTTTCAAACGATCTAAATTATACTTGTTGGTTAATACCTAATGTTTTATTTCTTTTTTAAACATTTTTGCGCACAATCAATAATTGTCTAGTAGATGCAGGGGCCACGGAAGATTGGAAACTGGAGGCCAAATATTTATATATTCATTTCAGCTGACGATAAAAAAAAACAATTTCGTAGGAAACTAATATTGCTAACCCGAAAATATGAATAATTTCCCCCCCGCGAACCTAACGATCTTTCGTGGCCCCTGCTATGTAAAGGAATATCCAGCCTTCGTACATGCATGCAATCCGCCGTAGGTGTTGGCTAATAAAGATTTATCGTCCATAGTTGACACATTTTTCTCAGCAGTTCTTCGCTTGAATTTGATATCTTTTTTATTTCGTTGAAGTTAAGACAAAAATTAACCCTTAGCATGACTGTTACAAGACTCACAAGGAATCCATAGTTTCCAATTGCAGTCATAATTAAATAGTATACAAACTAAAAAAAATAAGTTGATGCGGGAGAATAATTATACTAATTTATTTCTTCACAGCGAAAAACATTCCACGAAATTTTACGACATCAGCGCCAGGTAACAGTACCTATTAGTAATTATTATTAACGATGCATATTCGAAAACAGGGCTTTGGCATTGCGTTTTCATTATTTTTTGCATTGAGGAATAAGAAACTAATATTGCCGAACATGAAGATATGAATAATTGCTCCCTACCTCAATTAATGCTCTTTTGCCCATATATAGGTCTAGGCTAATTCAAGTTTGAACATGTTCCTATTTACTATTCTAATAATAAATAATCGGCGATAAATTCCACTTTGCTCTATCCTTCAATAAGTTTGTGTGAATAATATTTCCAGAATTATGCGGCGAAAGTCAACTGTATCCTCCTGGAAAACTCACAAGCCCTCTTCATCCCCTTTCATACCCTCACTACTTGGATTGCAGTTGGACGATTTCCAGCACCAATGGAAGAAAAATTTTACTACAGTTTACTTCATTCTTGGTAGGCTACTTTTACCTAATTTATTGCTCCTCCGGCCCTGTTTGGGCGAAAAAACCTTAGCGACATAACATGTTTTTGTTCGAATAACTTCATCGTTTTATCATTTTTATCCCGAAACACTGCTTACGCGTCAGCTAGTGTATCGTTTCTCTTTTCCCGCTCAGTCGTAAACTTTATCAATATTCTTGTACGTTTGCATAGTAACATCATGCAAATATGTTTATATCAATATCCTTTTCCTAAATATTGATCTTCATCCACTAACGTTTTTGCGATATTTCCCCCATCTTGCTTTATCAGTGCGATTAACGTTCAAGTTTTGTCGAGAAAGATATGTTAATTCGCTCGCAGTTCAATTGAAAATCAAACGGTTTAACTAATACAAAGAACAGAGGCGTTGCGAGCTTTATAGGCGGGGGGGGGGAGCATACTCACGTAATCGTTTTTAAATAGCTTATTCATTTCTTTTCAAAGTGATTGTTTTTACAGTCAGTGAACATAAATATATCAAAGAAAAAAATTATGCCTCGCTTATAGGTTTGGCATCAAGAAGTAGTTGATCTACTGGGCTGATAATTTTAGTACTTTAAATGTCCAGATTTTTTTATAAAAACTATTTCCTTTTCTCGAAAAGGAAAAATATTTTTTAATATCCTATTCCTAGAACAGTTCAAGATTAAAAATTTTTTTATTCTTTCTAAATATTTACTTCTTATTAACCGAGGTGAAATCTTTACCGAGAAATATCGGACCGAGGTCTTTTTGAACGGAACGAGCTCAAAGACCAAGGTTTGTTCAAAAATATCGAAGACCGATATTTCTCGCGATAAAGATCGAGCAAACGAGGTTAATAAAATATATTATTATGGCATAAGGCATATATTTGCACTTGAAAAAACAAGAAATGCATGAATTCGTATTATTAGCCTGGTACGCAGTGATAAAAACAAAAACAAAACATTAAATTATTTGGGTTACGTAAACTCGGCCTAAACTGTCTGGGTTAAGTTGTTCTATGGTCGTTTAAGTCGTTTAGCTTAAAAGGCTTATAAGTTTAAAGTGGAAAACAAAATTATCTTTTTATTGGACAACTGCATGAGCGGAAATATTATGATATAAATAGCTGAATTTTATATGGAAGTAAATTCTTCTCAACCAAACACTTAGCTCCATTTCACCGGAAGTGACGATTCCAATATAATTATTGGATGAGGGAGCGCAGGGTATCCGGAATGTTCAGGCAGAGGTCAATGTCAGTATATCCTAGATAACTTGCGAAAGCCGACTTGAATAATTGTCTTATTATTCATTGAATTTCGAAAAAAAAACAAGCCTTTTCATAGCAAATTTCATTGTGTAGAAAAGATAACAAGCTGGCGCGACAAATACCCTCAACAGACAACAACGAGAACATTCAAAAATATCCGTACACTTTGAGCTAATCAGCAGACGATTGCACTATCAATTGAATATTAGCAATCTTTCATTGACTGAACTTAGAAATTCGTAGAATAGTATAGTTTAAACCTTTAAACAGTTTAAAATCAATTTAATTCGTATGTGCAAAATTGACAAATAATTTACAAAAAATGCATGACGTTTTAGCTGGAAGGTAGTTACAGTTGTGGATTTGACTATTTGGAAGTTTATGATGGAGATTCAGCAAATACGACGAAACTGGGCAGATTCTGTGGAAACCAATTACCAAGAAGCCTGGTATCATCTGGACTCAAACTCTTCATCGTGTTTCACTCGGATTATAGCGTGTCAGCACCGGGATTTGTTCTGAACTATTCAACACCATTAGGTAAGAAATAAGTTTCAAAATATATCGGCAAGAAAATATTAAAACTTATAAAAGTTTGTTCTATTTTCTGCTCGTAAGAAAATTAGGGTTAAGAACAAAACAGACTGACACTCTGAGTCAGAGTAACTGCCTGGTAGTAAAATTGAAGTATTCTAAAAATGCATGTCTATGTAAATATTATATTTTAGATGTAAATGAATGTTACTTTGGAACACACAACTGCGCTATTGGAGCGTCATGTGTCAATACGAATGAATCGTTTTACTGCATTTGTGAAAACGGTTATACCGGAGATGGCGTAACCTGCACAGGTTTACATCTTTATACTAATTATTTGCATGGTATTTGGTAATATTTTGCAAAAAAATTGACGAGGATAATTCATAATTCCCTTGCAATTTAATTTCCTCTTTTTGGTTAAAAAAACATAGATTTAACCGTTAAAAATATGGGAGTTTATGTATTTTATATTGTAATATCTTAGATATCAATGAATGTGAACTTGGAATTGATAACTGTCATTCTCAAGCATCATGTCGCAATACCAATGGGTCGTTCGACTGTTCTTGCAACTTTGGCTTTAGTGGAGATGGAATAGCATGTAAAATGGCTTCATACCTAATTTGCTACAATCAGATCTAGTCATATTGGGCCTCTTTTAACATATAGATCATGAGGGGCCTTATCCCCATGTTTTCCCCGACCCCACCCCACTGGTAAAAATCCTCTGTTTAAAAAAACATTGATCAAAAACATGTCTTGAACTAAAGCAATTTTATTTGTATTCAGTAACTTTCCATTTCTGTATTCTGTGAACCTTTGATGAAGGCAATTTCAGTAATATCATCTATCGAGTGCGAATACATATTTTGCATGTTATTTGAATATCAGGCGACTGATTTCCAGTCACATTTATGGCGCAAATTAAAAGACAATCCGTGGTTCGTGAAAGGAGAAAGGTCAGAAAACTCTTACAAATTTTAGAAAATTTCAGTTATTTTATTTTCTTTATAGGCAACGCGACAAGACCTTCTAATACATCTAATCCAGGTAAAATCATCAATCTTTTTCTTAAAAATTGAACTAAGCGAACTTTTAGCTTTTGTAGATGGTGTTATTTGTATATTATGCTGTTAAGTCGTTTCCATTGTTTGGCAAATTAACATATGACAAAAATTAAACGGTAATTACAATCTTTAAGGATGTGGAAAAATAAAATATTTTTTAATAACAGATACGACGCCCTCTTATACATCAAGTCCAGGTAAAATTAATATCTAAGATATGAACTGATCGATAAAATTTGATCCAAAAAAGGCAACACTTATTTTGTTTGAACTGATTTCAAACGCTTGCAATATAATTGTACCGGTTGCAGTATATACTGGCAACGATGAGCAAAGGGATAATAAACTTAATGGTCTTCAACCCGACCAAGATGCTATAAGGCACTTGTGTATTTGAGTTACGTAATTTGACATTTCATGCAATGACCTGGTCGACGTCAGCAGCGGGTCGTATGAGGAACATAATTGAAATGAAATATTCCATAGGTTAATTGAGTTATTCGTTAGCATGTAATCTTTATCATTATTACTGGCCTTTCAAGGAGCTAAGCATAAGAAAATTATTTCGACATAAATTCAGTGGCGTAACTAGAACGAAATTTGTGGGGTGAGCTTCCGTCGGGTATAGAACTGAATATATAAATATTCACCTCCCCTACGCCGCCGCATAAATTACATAAAAAATACATGGATGAATTTCCTTTTCTCTTAACAGGCACCATTCCACCCACTACTAATCCAGGTAATAAATAATTGGTACTCAATGTTGATATTTCACTGCCCAGATGCGGTTATCCGACGAATAGCAGGTTTTCAATCGATCAAATCGATTCAAATTAACCCTTAGCATGATTGTCAGAAACAAACCATGCATTCAATAAGGCTTTAGGTCCGTTTCGCATTGCAACGAATCGCGCGTAGAATGAATCGATGAGATATAAAGATTAAAGATTCACCACGTTTTGCTACGATATTTAAACAAGGAAATACGCCACATCTCGCTACGATACGGAGATGTGTAAAACAGTTTTTAGAAGAATATTCGTTGTGGAAAAGATTGTACAAACTAACATTATTAATTATGTATAGTTGATACAAAAAATAAGTTTGACAGCTCTTCGCTTCTTTAACATAATCTTGTCGGCCCTTGTTTGCCGTTTTTTATCCCGTTTCAAAATTTATTTGCAGCCAGTTACATTTATGGCAAACATTTACATTTTACATACATTTTTTTCTTTATAGGCAACGCGACAAGATCTTCTAATACATCTAATCCAGGTAAAATCATCAATCTTTTTCTTGAAATTTAAGCTGAGGGAACTGCGAATTTTTGGCGTTTAAAAATGGTCTTCTTTGTATACTAAGCTGTTAAGTTGTTTCACTTCTTTGGCTAATTAACAGCTGACAGAATTTAAACAGTGATTATAATCTTTGAGAATGTAAAAAAATATATAAAAAAAATATATTTTTTATTAACAGATACGACGCCTTCTTATACATCAAGTCCAAGTAAAATTAATATCTAAGATATGAACTGATCGATAAAATTTAATCCAAAAAAGGCCACACGCCTCGAGTCACCGTCAATTTATTTACCTTGCAGCGATAAGCAAGGGATAATAAACCCAATAGTCTTCAACCAGATCAAGATGCGCTATAAGTCAATTGTGTATTTGAGTCGCGTAATTTGATATTTCAATGACCTGGTCGACGTCAGCAGCGGGTCGTATATGAGCGACATAATTGAAATGAAGTAATTTATTTGTGTAGGGGACGACTTAGCTGTTATAGTGCGCTGGGTTAATTTAGACATTCGTTAACGTGTAATGATATCTAAATTACTATTACTGGCATTTCAAGGAGCTAAGAATAAGAAAAATATTTCGACATTAATTCAGTGGCGTAACTAGATTGAAATTTGGGGGGGTGAGTATTCATATATTTAATGCTGCCGGACGGATTACACTTGCAAGTGCAATAGCTTAAAATACAGCTCCGTCGGGTAGAACTGAGTATATGAATATTCACCTCCACTACAACGCTGCATAAATTACATAAAATAAAATAAAGAGGAATTTCGTTTTCTCTTTACAGGCACCATTGCACCCACTACTAATCCAGGTAATAAATAATTGGTACTCAATGTTGATGTTTCACTGCCCAGTCGCGGTTATTCGATAAATGGCGCTATCCACTGAATAGCAAGTTTTTCGATCGATCTATAAATTATTTTTGTTGATTAATATCTAAACTTTTATTAATGTTTTAAACATTTTTGTGCTGCTTGAAAAAGTTAATAATTATCTAGAAGACAGAGGTCACGGAAGATCGTTAACATCAGGGCAAATATTTATAGCGTAAAAAAATCAATTTCATAAGGAACTAATATTGCCAAACATGAATATATGAATAAATGCCCCCCCCCGACACTAACGACACCAGAGGAATCTTGTCCGAAGGTCCGAAATAGTTAAAAAGATATCACGCTGAGAGATTGTCAACATATCGGTCAAAAAATTGTCAGAGCAACAAAAAGCATCCTGGGAAAGCGAAAAGAATTTGTTCCAAACTGGACGCAGAAAAATTTCTGATACAAACCGCTATATTCTCTCTTTTTTATCCCGCTTCAAAATTTATTTGCTGCCATTTAGATTTATGGCGCAAATCAAAAGACAATCCGTGGTTCGTACATGGAGAGAGAAGGTCAGAAAAATGTTACCAATTTGTAAAAAATTAAGTTTATTTGTTTTTTTTATAGCTAACGCAACAAGACCTTCTAATACATCTAGTCCAGGTAAAATCATCAATCTTTTTCTTGAAAATTGAACAGAGCTAGTAAAATTTTAGCTTTTATAAATTGTCTTCTTTGCATGTATATTATGCTGTGCCGTCGTTTCACTTGTTTGGCGAATTAACAGCTGACAAAAATTATACGGTCATTATAATCTTTGAGAGTGCAAAAATATATTTTTTATTCACAGATACGACGCCTTCTTATACATCAAGTCGAGGTAAAATTAATATCCAAGATATGAACTGATCGATAAAATTTATCCAAAAAGGCGACACCTATTTAGTCTGAACTGATTTCAAACGCTGGCAGTATATACCGATTCCAAGAATACACGTGCGTCTAGAGTTGCCGTAATCTATATTACCATTACTGGCATTTCAAGGAGCTAAGAATAAGTAAAATATTTCGACATAAATTCAGTGGCGTAACTAGAACGAAATTTGGGGGTGAGTGTTCATTATTTAATTCAGCCGGACGGATTACACTTGAAAGTCCAACAGCTTAAAATACAGCCCCGTCGGGTAGAACTGAATATTTGCATATTCACCTCTCCTCCGCTGCATAAATTACATAAAATAAAATATGGAAGAACTTCGTTTTCTCTTTACAGGCACCATTCCACCCACTACTAATCCAGGTAATGAATAATTGGTAGTGAATTTTGATGTTTCACTGCCCAGCCGCGTTTATTCGACGGATATAGCGCTCTCCACCGAAAAGCGGGTTTTTCAAACGATCTAAATTATACTTGTTGGTTAATACCTAATGTTTTATTTCTTTTTTAAACATTTTTGCGCACAATCAATAATTGTCTAGTAGATGCAGGGGCCACGGAAGATTGGAAACTGGAGGCCAAATATTTATATATTCATTTCAGCTGACGATAAAAAAAACAATTTCGTAGGAAACTAATATTGCTAACCCGAAAATATGAATAATTTCCCCCCCCCTCCGCGAACCTAACGATCTTTCGTGGCCCCTGCTATGTAAAGGAATATCCAGCCTTCGTACATGCATGCAATCCGCCGTAGGTGTTGGCTAATAAAGATTTAATCGTCCATAGTTGACACATTTTTCTCAGCAGTTCTTCGCTTGAATTTGATATCTTTTTTATTTCGTTGAAGTTAAGACAAAAATTAACCCTTAGCATGACTGTTACAAGACTCACAAGGAATCCATAGTTTCCAATTGCAGTCATAATTAAATAGTATACAAACTAAAACAAAATAAGTTGATGCGGGAGAATAATTATACTAATTTATTTCTTCACAGCGAAAAACATTCCACGAAATTTTACGACATCAGCGCCAGGTAACAGTACCTATTAGTAATTATTATTAACGATGCATATTCGAAAACAGGGCTTTGTCATTGCGTTTTCATTATTTTTTGCATTGAGGAATGAGAAACTAATATTGCCGAACATGAAGATATGAATATGTGCTCCCTACCTCAATTAATGCTCTTTTGCCCCTATATAGGTCTAGGCTAATTCAAGTTTGAACATGTTCCTATTTACTATTCTAATAATAAATAATCGGCGATAAATTCCACTTTGCTCTATCCTTCAATAAGTTTGTGTGAATAATATTTCCAGAATTATGCGGCGAAAGTCAACTGTATCCTCCTGGAAAACTCACAAGCCCTCTTTATCCCCTTTCATACCCTCACTACTTGGATTGCAGTTGGACCATTTCCAGCACCAATGGAAGAAAAATTTTACTACAGTTTACTTCATTCTTGGTAGGCTACTTTTACCTAATTTATTGCTCCTCCGGCCCTGTTTGGGCGAAAAAACCTTAGCGACATAACATGTTTTTGTTCGAATAACTTCATCGTTTTATCATTTTTATCCCGAAACACTGCTTACGCGTCAGCTAGTGTATCGTTTCTCTTTTCCCGCTCAGTCGTAAACTTTATCAATATTCTTGTACGTTTGCATAGTAACATCATGCAAATATGTTTATATCAATATTCTTTTCCTAAATATTGATCTTCATCCACTAACGTTTTTGCGATATTTCCCCCATCTTGCTGTATCAGTGCGATTAACGTTCAAGTTTTGTCGAGAAAGATATGTTAATTCGCTCGCAGTTCAATTGAAAATCAAACGGTTTAACTAATACAAAGAACAGAAGCGTTGCGAGCTTTATAGGCGGGGGGGGGGAGCACTCACGTAATCGTTTTCTAAATAGCTTATTCATTTCTTTTCAAATTGATTGTTTTTACAGTCAGTGAACATAAATATATCAAAGAAAAAAATTATGCCTCGCTTATAGGTTTGGCATCAAGAAGTAGTTGATCTACTGGGCTGATAATTTTAGTACTTTAAATGTCCAGATTTTTTTTATAAAAACTATTTCCTTTTCTCGAAAAGGAAAAATTTTTTAATATCCTATTCCTAGAACAGTTCAAGATTAAAATTTTTTTTACTCTTCCTAAATATTTACTTCTTATTAACCGAGGTGAAATCTTTACCGAGAAATATCCGACCGAGGGCTTTTTGAACGGAACGAGCTCAAAGACCAAGGTTTGTTCAAAAATATCGAAGACCGATATTTCTCGCGATAAAGATCGAGCAAACGAGGTTAATAAAATATTTATTATATGGCATAAGGCATATATTTGCACTTGAAACAAACAAGAAATGCATGAATTCGTATTATTAGCCTGGCACGCAGTGATAAAAACAAAAACAAAACATTAAATTATTTGGGTTACGTAAACTCGGCCTAAACTGTCTGGGTTAAGTTGTTCTATGGTCGTTTAAGTCGTTTAGCTTAAAAGGCTTATAAGTTTAAAGTGGAAAACAAAATTATCTTTTTGGACAACTGCATGAGCGGAAATATTATGATATAAATAGCTGAATTTTATATGGAAGTAAATTCTTCTCAAACCAAACACTTAGCTCCATTTCACCGGAAGTGACGATTCCAATATAATTATTGGATGGGAGCGCAGGGTATCCGGAATGTTCAGGCAGAGGTCAATGTCAGTATATCCTAGATAACTTGCGAAAGCCGACTTGAAAAATTGTCTTATTATTTATTGAATTTCGAAAAAAAACAAGCCTTTTCATGGCAAATTTCATTGTGTAGAAAAGATAACAAGCTGGCGCGACAAATAACCTCAACAGACAACAACGAGAACATTCAAAAATATCCGTACACTTTGAGCTAATCAGCAGACGATTGCACTATCAATTGAATATTAGCAATCTTTCATTGACTGAACTTAGAAATTCGTAGAATAGTATAGTTTAAACCTTTAAACAGTTTAAAATCAATTTAATTCGTATGTGCAAAATTGACAAATAATTTACAAAAAATGCATGACGTTTTAGCTGGAAGGTAGTTACAGTTGTGGATTTGACTATTTGGAAGTTTATGATGGAGATTCAGCAAATACGACGAAACTGGGCAGATTCTGTGGAAACCAATTACCAAGAAGCCTGGTATCATCTGGACTCAAACTCTTCATCGTGTTTCACTCGGATTATAGCGTGTCAGCACCGGGATTTGTTCTGAACTATTCAACACCATTAGGTAAGAAATAAGTTTCAAAATATATCGGCAAGAAAATATTAAAACTTATAAAAGTTTGTTCTATTTTCTGCTCGTAAGAAAATTAGGGTTAAGAACAAAACAGACTGACACTCTGAGTCAGAGTAACTGCCTGGTAGTAAAATTGAAGTATTCTAAAAATGCATGTCTATGTAAATATTATATTTTAGATGTAAATGAATGTTACTTTGGAACACACAACTGCGCTATTGGAGCGTCATGTGTCAATACGAATGAATCGTTTTACTGCATTTGTGAAAACGGTTATACCGGAGATGGCGTAACCTGCACAGGTTTACATCTTTATACTAATTATTTGCATGGTATTTGGTAATATTTTGCAAAAAAATTGACGAGGATAATTCATAATTCCCTTGCAATTTAATTTCCTCTATTTGGTTAAAAAAACATAGATTTAACCGTTAAAAATATGGGAGTTTATGTATTTTATATTGTAATATCTTAGATATCAATGAATGTGAACTTGGAATTGATAACTGTCATTCTCAAGCATCATGTCGCAATACCAATGGGTCGTTCGACTGTTCTTGCAACTTTGGCTTTAGTGGAGATGGAATAGCATGTAAAATGGCTTCATACCTAATTTGCTACAATCAGATCTAGTCATATTGGGCCTCTTTTAACATATAGATCATGAGGGGCCTTATCCTCATGTTTTCCCCGACCCCACCCCACTGGTAAAAATCCTCTGTTTAAAAAAACATTGATCAAAAACATATCGTGAACTAAAGCAATGTTATTTGTATTCAGCAACTTTTCATTTCTGTATTCTGCAAACCTTTGATGAAGGCAATTTCAGTAATATCATCTATCGAGTGCGAATACATATTTTGCATGTTATTTGAATATCAGCCGACTGATTTCCAGTCACATTTATGGCGCAAATTAAAAGACAATCCGTGGTTCGTGAAAGGAGAGAGAAGGTCAGAAAACTGTTACCAATTTTAGAAAATTTCAGTTATTTTATTTTCTTTATAGGCAACGCGACAAGACCTTCTAATACATCTAATCCAGGTAAAATCTTCAATCTTTTTCTTAAAAATTGAACTAAGGGAACTTTTAGCTTTTGTAGATGGTTTCTTTGTATAATATGCTGTTAAGTCGTTTCCATTGTTTGGCAAATTAACATATGACAAAAATTAAACGGTAATTACAATCTTTAAGGATGTGGAAAAATAAAATATTTTTTAATAACAGATACGACGCCCTCTTATACATCAAGTCAAGCAAAATTAATATCTAAGATATGAACTGATCAATAAAATTTGATCTAAAAAAGGCAACACTTATTTTTTTGAAATGATTTCAAACGCTTGCAGTATAATTGTACCGATTGCAGTATATACTGGCAGCGATGAGGAAAGGGATAATAAACTTAATAATCTTCAACACGACCAAGATGCTATAAGGCACTTGTGTATTTGAGTTACGTAATTTGACATTTCATGCAATGACCTGGTCGACGTCAGCAGCGGGTCGCATGAGGGACATAATTGAAATGAAATAATCCATAGGTTAATTGAGTTATTCGTTAACATGTAATCTATATCATTATTACTGGCCTTTCAAGGAGCTAAGCATAAGAAAAATATTTCGACATAAATTCAGTGGCGTAACTAGAACGAAATTTGTGGGGTGAGCTACTGCCGGGTATAGAACTGAATATATAAATATTCACCTCCCCTACCCGCCGCATAAATTACATAAAATAATACATTCAAGAATTTCCTTTTCTCTTTTACAGGCACCATTCCACCCACTACTAATCAAGGTAATAAATAATTGGTACTCAATGTTGATGTTTCACTGCCCAGTCGCGGTTATTCGACGAATGGCGCTATCCACCGAATAGCAAGTTTTTCGATCGATCAATAAATTTTTTTGTTGATTAATATCTAAATATTTATTTTTTTTAAGCATTTTTGTGTTGCTTGAAAAATTCAATATTTATCTAGAAAACAGAGGCCAGGGAAGATATAGGAGGGCAAATATTTATATAGCGTAAAAACAATCAATTTCATAATAAACTAATATTGCCAAAGGTGAATATTTGACTAATTCCCCCCCCCCCCGACACTAACGACACTAGAGGAATCAGTGCGAAAGTCCGAAATAGTTGAAAAAATATCACGCTGAGAGATTGTCAAGATCGGTCAAGAAATTGTCAGAGCAACAAAAGCATCCTAGGAAACCGTAAAGAATTTGCTCCTAACTGGAAGAAAAAAAATTTTCTGACACAAACCGCTATATTCTCTAAAAATTTCATTTTGTTTGTCCTTCTTTACCATTTTTTATCCCGTTTCAAAAATTGTTTGCAGCCAGTCACATTTTTGGCGCAAAGCAAAAGACAATCCGTGGTTCGTGCATTGAGAGAAAAGGTCAGAAAACTGTTACCAATTTTTAAAATTTTCAGTTTTTTGTTTTTTTTGTAGGCAACGTGACAAGACCTTCAAATACATCTGATCCAGGTAAAATCATCAATTTTTCTTGAAAATTGAACTGAGCCGACTTTTAGCTTTTAAAAACGGCCTTCTTTGTATATTATGCTGTTAAGTCGTTTACTGTTTAATTTGGCAAATTAACATATGACAAAATTTAAACGGTCATTACAATCTTTGAGGATGTGCAAAAATTAATATATTTCTTATTAACAGATACGACGCCTTTTAATACATCAAGTCGAGGTAAAATTAATATCTAAGATATGAACTGATCGATAAAATTTAATCCAAAAAAAGGCGACACTTATTTTATTTGAACTGATTTCAAACGCTTGCAGTATAATTGTACCGATTGCAGTATATACTGGCAGCGATAAGCAAGGGATAATAAACTTAATAATCTTCAACACGACCAAGATGCTATAAGGCACTTGTCTATTTGAGCTATATAATTTGACATTTCATGCAATGACCTGGTCGACGTCAGCAGCGGCTCGTTTGAGAGACATAGTTGAAATGAAATAATCCATAGGTTAATTGAGTTATTCGTTAACATGTAATCTTTATCATTATTACTGGCCTTTCAAGGAGCTAAGCATAAGAAAAATATTTTGACATAAATTCAGTGGCGTAACTAGAACGAAATTTGTGGGGCGAGCTTCCGTCGGGTATAGAACTGAATATATAAATATTCCCCTCCCCTACGCCGCCGCATAAATTACATAAAAAAATACATGGATGAATTTCCTTTTCTCTTAACAGGCACCATTCCACCCACTACTAATCAAGGTAATAAATAATTGGTACTCAATGTTGATGTTTCACTGCCCAGTCGCGGTTATTCGACGAATGGCGCTATCCACCGAATAGCAAGTTTTTCGATCGATCAATAAATTATTTTTGTTGATTAATATCTAAATATTTATTGTTTTTAAGCATTTTTGTGTTGCTTGAAAAATTCAATATTTATCTAGAAAACAGAGGCCAGGGAAGATATAGGAGGGCAAATATTTATATAGCGTAAAAACAATCAATTTCATAATAAACTAATATTGCCAAAGGTGAATATTTGACTAATTGCCCCCCCCCCCCGACACTAACGACACTAGAGGAATCAGTGCGAAAGTCCGAAATAGTTGAAAAAATATCACGCTGAGAGATTGTCAAGATCGGTCAAGAAATTGTCAGAGCAACAAAAGCATCCTAGGAAACCGTAAAGAATTTGCTCCTAACTGGAGAAAAAAAAATTTTCTGACACAAACCGCTATATTCTCTAAAAATTTCATTTTGTTTGTCCTTCTTTACCATTTTTTATCCCGTTTCAAAAATTGTTTGCAGCCAGTCACATTTTTGGCGCAAAGCAAAAGACAATCCGTGGTTCGTGCATTGAGAGAAAAGGTCAGAAAACTGTTACCAATTTTTAAAATTTTCAGTTTTTTGGTTTTTTTTGTAGGCAACGTGACAAGACCTTCAAATACATCTGATCCAGGTAAAATCATCAATCTTTTTCTTGAAAATTGAACTGAGCCGACTTTTAGGTTTTAAAAACGGCCTTCTTTGTATATTATGCTGTTAAGTCGTTTCACTGTTTAATTTGGCAAATTAACATATGACAAAATTTAAACGGTCATTACAATCTTTGAGGATGTGCAAAAATTAATATATTTCTTATTAACAGATACGACGCCTTCTAATACATCAAGTCGAGGTAAAATTAATATCTAAGAACTGATCTGATCTGATAAGATGAACTGATCGATAAAATTTAATCCAAAAAAAGGCGACACTTATTTTATTTGAACTGATTTCAAACGCTTGCAGTATAATTGTACCGATTGCAGTATATACTGGCAGCGATAAGCAAGGGATAATAAACTTAATAATCTTCAACACGACCAAGATGCTATAAGGCACTTGTCTATTTGAGCTAATAATTTGACATTTCATGCAATGACCTGGTCGACGTCAGCAGCGGCTCGTTTGAGAGACATAGTTGAAATGAAATAATCCATAGGTTAATTGAGTTATTCGTTAACATGTAATCTTTATCATTATTACTGGCCTTTCAAGGAGCTAAGCATAAGAAAAATATTTTGACATAAATTCAGTGGCGTAACTAGAACGAAATTTGTGGGGCGAGCTTCCGTCGGGTATAGAACTGAATATATAAATATTCCCCTCCCCTACGCCGCCGCATAAATTACATAAAAAATACATGGATGAATTTCCTTTTCTCTTAACAGGCACCATTCCACCCACTACTAATCCAGGTAATAAATAATTGGTACTCAATGTTGATATTTCACTGCCCAGATGCGGTTATCCGACGAATAGCAGGTTTTTCAATCGATCAAATCGATTCAAATTAACCCTTAGCATGATTGTCAGAAACAAACCATGCATTCAATAAGGCTTTAGGTCCGTTTCGCATTGCAACGAATCGCGCGTAAAATGAATCGATGAGATATAAAGATTAAAGATTCACCACGTTTTGCTACGATACTTAAACAAGGAAATACGCCACATCTCGCTACGATACGACTGCAGATGTGTAAAACAGTTTTTAGACGAATATTCGTTGTCGAAAAGATTGTACAAACTAACATTATTAATTAGGTATATAGTTGATACAAAAATTAAGTTTGACAGCTCTTCGCTTCTTTAACATAATCTTTTCGGATCTTGTTTGCCGTTTTTTATCCCGTTTCAAAATTTATTTGCAGCCAGTTACGTTTATGGCACACATTTACATGCATTTACATACATTTATTTTCTTTATAGGCAACGTTACAAGATCCTCTAATACATCTAATCCAGGTAAAATCATCAATCTCAGTTTTCTTGAAAATTAAGGTGAGCGAACTGCGAAAATTAGCGTTTAAAAATGGTCTTCTTTGTATACTAAGCTGTTAAGTTGTTTCACTTGCTTGGCTAATTAACAGCTGACAGAATTTAAACAGTGATTATAATCTTTGAGAATGTAAAAAAATATATTTTTTATTAACAGATACGACGCCTTCTTATACATCAAGTCCAGGTAAGATTGGTGTCTAAGATATGAACTGATCGATAAAATTTAATCCAAAAAAGGCAACACTTATTTTGTTTGAACTGATTTCAAACGCTTGCAATATAATTATACCGGTTGCAGTATATACTGGCAGCGATGAGCAAAGGGATAATAAACTTAATGGTCTTCAACCCGACCAAGATGCTATAAGGCACGTGTGTATTTGAGTTAAGTAATTTGACATTTCATACATTGACCTGATCGACGTCAGCAGCGGGTCGTTTGAGGGACATAATTGAAATGAAATAATCCATAGGGTAATTGGGTTATTCGTTATCATGAAACGATATCTATATTACTATTACTGCCATTTCGAGGAGCTAAGAATAGGAAAAATATTTCGGCATAAATTCAGTGGCGTAACTAGAAAGAAATTCGGGGGTGAGTCTCCGTCTGGTAGAACTGAATATATGAATATTCACCTGCCCTACGCCGCTGCATAAATTACATAAAATAAAATATGGAAGAATTTCCTTTTCCCTTTACAGGCACCATTCCACCAACTACTAATCCAGGTAATAAATAATGGCGCTATCCACCGAATAGGAGGTTTTTCGAATTGTCTAAATTATTTTGGTTGATTAATATCTAAACTTTTATTAATTTTTTAAACATTTTTTGCTGCTTGAAAAAGTTAATATCTATGTAGAAGACAGAGAGCACGGAAGATCGTTAACACGAGGGCAATTATTTATATAGCGTTAAAACAATCAATTTCATAAGGAACTAATATTGCCAAACATGAATATATGAATAATTTCCCCCCCCCCGACACTAACGACACCAGAGGAATCTTGTCCGAAGGTCCGAATTAGTTAAAAAGATATCACGCTGAGAGATTGTCAACATATCGGTCAAAAAATTGTCAGAGCAACAAAAAGCATTCTGGGAAAGCGATAAGAATTTGTTCCAAACTGGACGAAGAAAAATTTCTGATAGAAACCGCTATATTCTCTCTTTTTTATCCTGCTTCAAAATTTATTTGCAGCCATTTAGATTTATGGCGCAAATCAAAAGACAATCCGTGGTTCGTGCATGGAGAGAGAAGGTCAGAAAAATGTTACCAATTTGTAAAAAATTAAGTTTATTTGTTTTTTTTTATAGCTAACGCAACAAGACCTTCTAATACATCTAGTCCAGGTAAAATCATCAATCTTTTTCTTGAAAATTGAACAGAGCTAGTAAAATTTTAGCTTTTATAAATTGTCTTCTTTGTATATTATGCCGTGCCGTCGTTTCACTTGTTTGGCGAATTAACAGCTCACAAAAATTATACGGAGATTATAATCTTTGAGAGTGCAAAAATATATTTTTTATTTACAGATACGACGCCTTCTTATACATCAAGTCGAGGTAAAATTAATATCCAAGATATGAACTGATCGATAAAATTTAATCCAAAAAGGCGACACCTATTTAGTCTGAACTGATTTCAAACGCTGGCAGTATATACCGATTCCAAGAATACACGTGCGTCTAGAGTTGCCGTAATCTATATTACCATTACTGGCATTTCAAGGAGCTAAGAATAAGTAAAATATTTCGACATAAATTCAGTGGCGTAACTAGAACGAAATTTGGGGGTGAGTGTTCATTATTTAATTCAGCCGGATGGATTACACTTGAAAGTCCAACAGCTTAAAATACAGCCCCGTCGGGTAGAACTGAATATTTGCATATTCACCTCTCCTACGCCGCTGCATAAATTACATAAAAAAAATGGAAGAACTTCGTTTTCTCTTTACAGGCACCATTCCACCCACTACTAATCCAGGTAATGAATAATTGGTAGTGAATTTTGATGTTTCACTGCCCAGCCGCGTTTATTCGACGGATATAGCGCTCTCCACCGAAAAGCGGGTTTTTCAAACGATCTAAATTATACTTGTTGGTTAATACCTAATGTTTTATTTCTTTTTTAAACATTTTTGCGCACAATCAATAATTGTCTAGTAGATGCAGGGGCCACGGAAGATTGGAAACTGGAGGCCAAATATTTATATATTCATTTCAGCTGACGATAAAAAAAAACAATTTCGTAGGAAACTAATATTGCTAACCCGAAAATATGAATAATTTTCCCCCCCGCGAACCTAACGATCTTTCGTGGCCCCTGCTATGTAAAGGAATATCCAGCCTTCGTACATGCATGCAATCCGCCGTAGGTGTTGGCTAATAAAGATTTGATCGTGCATAGTTGACACATTTTTCTCAGCAGTTCTTCGCTTGAATTTGATATCTTTTTTATTTCGTTGAAGTTAAGACAAAAATTAACCCTTAGCATGACTGTTACAAGACTCACAAGGAATCCATAGTTTCCAATTGCAGTCATAATTAAATAGTATACAAACTAAAACAAAATAAGTTGATGCGGGAGAATAATTATACTAATTTATTTCTTCACAGCGAAAAACATTCCACGAAATTTTACGACATCAGCGCCAGGTAACAGTACCTATTAGTAATTATTATTAACGATGCATATTCGAAAACAGGGCTTTGCATTGCGTTTTCATTATTTTTTGCATTGAGGAATAAGAAACTAATATTGCCGAACATGAAGATATGAATAATTGCTCCCTACCTCAATTAATGCTCTTTTGCCCCTATATAGGTCTAGGCTAATTCAAGTTTGAACATGTTCCTATTTACTATTCTAATAATAAATAATCGGCGATAAATTCCACTTTGCTCTATCCTTCAATAAGTTTGTGTGAATAATATTTCCAGAATTATGCGGCGAAAGTCAACTGTATCCTCCTGGAAAACTCACAAGCCCTCTTATCCCCTTTCATACCCTCACTACTTGGATTGCAGTTGGACCATTTCCAGCACCAATGGAAGAAAAATTTTACTACAGTTTACTTCATTCTTGGTAGGCTACTTTTACCTAATTTATTGCTCCTCCGGCCCTGTTTGGGCGAAAAAACCTTAGCGACATAACATGTTTTTGTTCGAATAACTTCATCGTTTTATCATTTTTATCCCGAAACACTGCTTACGCGTCAGCTAGTGTATCGTTTCTCTTTTCCCGCTCAGTCGTAAACTTTATCAATATTCTTGTACGTTTGCATAGTAACATCATGCAAATATGTTTATATCAATATCTTTTCCTAAATATTGATCTTCATCCACTAACGTTTTTGCGATATTTCCCCCATCTTGCTTATCAGTGCGATTAACGTTCAAGTTTTGTCGAGAAAGATATGTTAATTCGCTCGCAGTTCAATTGAAAATCAAACGGTTTAACTAATACAAAGAACAGAGGCGTTGCGAGCTTTATAGGCGGGGGGGGGGAGCATACTCACGTAATCGTTTTCTAAATAGCTTATTCATTTCTTTTCAAATTGATTGTTTTTACAGTCAGTGAACATAAATATATCAAAAAAAAAATTATGCCTCGCTTATAGGTTTGGCATCAAGAAGTAGTTGATCTACTGGGCTGATAATTTTAGTACTTTAAATGTCCAGATTTTTTTATAAAAACTATTTCCTTTTCTCGAAAAGGAAAAATATTTTTAATATCCTATTCCTAGAACAGTTCAAGATTAAAAATTTTTTTTCTTTCTAAATATTTACTTCTTATTAACCGAGGTGAAATCTTTACCGAGAAATATCGGACCGAGGTCTTTTTGAACGGAACGAGCTCAAAGACCAAGGTTTGTTCAAAAATATCGAAGACCGATATTTCTCGCGATAAAGATCGAGCAAACGAGGTTAAAAAATATTTATTATATGGCATAAGGCATATATTTGCACTTGAAACAAACAAGAAATGCATGAATTCGTATTATTAGCCTGGCACGCAGTGATAAAAACAAAAACAAAACATTAAATTATTTGGGTTACGTAAACTCGGCCTAAACTGTCTGGGTTAAGTTGTTCTATGGTCGTTTAAGTCGTTTAGCTTAAAAGGCTTATAAGTTTAAAGTGGAAAACAAAATTATCTTTTTATTGGACAACTGCATGAGCGGAAATATTATGATATAAATAGCTGAATTTTATATGGAAGTAAATTCTTCTCAACCAAACACTTAGCTCCATTTCACCGGAAGTGACGATTCCAATATAATTATTGGATGAGGGAGCGCAGGGTATCCGGAATGCTCAGGCAGAGGTCAATGTCAGTATATCCTAGATAACTTGCGAAAGCCGACTTGAATAATTGTCTTATTATTTATTGAATTTCGAAAAAAAACAAGCCTTTTCATGGCAAATTTCATTGTGTAGAAAAGATAACAAGCTGGCGCGACAAATACCCTCAACAGACAACAACGAGAACATTCAAAAATATCCGTACACTTTGAGCTAATCAGCAGACGATTGCACTATCAATTGAATATTAGCAATCTTTCATTGACTGAACTTAGAAATTCGTAGAATAGTATAGTTTAAACCTTTAAACAGTTTAAAATCAATTTAATTCGTATGTGCAAAATTGACAAATAATTTACAAAAAATTCATGACGTTTCAGCTGGAAGGTAGTTACAGTTGTGGATTTGACTATTTGGAAGTTTATGATGGAGATTCAGCAAATACGACGAAACTTGGCAGATTCTGTGGAAACCAATTACCAAGAAGCCTGGTATCATCTGGACTCAAACTCTTCATCGTGTTTCACTCGGATTATAGCGTGTCAGCACCGGGATTTGTTCTGAACTATTCAACACCATTAGGTAAGAAATAAGTTTCAAAATATATCGGCAAGAAAATATTAAAATTTATAAAAGTCTGTTCTATTTTCTGCTCGTAAGAAAATTAGGGTTAAGAACAAAACAGACTGACATTCTGAGTCAGAGTAACTGCCTGGTAGTAAAATTGAAGTATTCTTAAAATGCATGTCTATGTAAATATTATATTTTAGATGTAAATGAATGTTACTTTGGAACACACAACTGCGCTATTGGAGCGTCATGTGTCAATACGAATGAATCGTTTTACTGCATTTGTGAAAACGGTTATACCGGAGATGGCGTAACCTGCACAGGTTTACATCTTTATACTAATTATTTGCATGGTATTTGGTAATATTTTGAAAAAAATTGACGAGGATAATTCATAATTCCTTTGCAATATAATTTCCTCTTTTTGCTTAAAAAAACCATAGATTTCACCGTTCAAAATATGGGAGTTTATATATCTTATATTGTAATATCTTAGATATCAATGAATGTGAACTTGGAATTGATAACTGTCATTCTCAAGCATCATGTCGCAATACCAATGGGTCGTTCGACTGTTCTTGCAACTTTGGCTTTAGTGGAGATGGAATAGCATGTAAAATGGCTTCATACCTAATTTGCTACAGTCAGATCTAGTCATATTGGGCCTCTTTTAACATATAGATCATGAGGGGCCTTATCCTCATGTTTTCCCCGACCCCACGCCACTGGTAAAAATCCTCTGTTTAAAAAAACATTGATCAAAAACATATCGTGAATTAAAGCAAAGTTATTTGTATTCAGCAACTTTTCATTTCTGTATTCTGCAAACCTTTGATGAAGGCAATTTCAGTAATATCATCTATCGAGTGCGAATACATATTTTGCATGTTATTTGAATATCAGGCGACTGATTTCCAGTTACATTTATGGCGCAAATTAAAAGACAATCCGTGGTTCGTGAAAGGAGAGAGAAGGTCAGAAAACTGTTACCAATTTTAGAAAATTTCAGTTATTTTATTTTCTTTATAGGCAACGCGACAAGACCTTCTATTACATCTAATCCAGGTAAAATCTTCAATCTTTTTCTTAAAAATTGAACTGAGGGAACTTTTAGCTTTTGTAGATGGTGTTCTTTGTATAATATAGTCGTTTCCATTGTTTGGCAAATTAACATATGACAAAAATTAAACGGTAATTACAATCTTTAAGGATGTGGAAAAATAAAATATTTTTTAATAACAGATACGACGCCCTCTTATACATCAAGTCGAGCAAAATTAATATCTAAGATATGAACTGATCAATAAAATTTGATCTAAAAAAGGCAACACTTATTTTGTTTGAAATGATTTCAAACGCTTGCAGTATAATTTACCGATTGCAGTATATACTGGCAGCGATGAGGAAAGGGATAATAAACTTAATAATCTTCAACACGACCAAGATGCTATAAGGCACTTGTGTATTTGAGTTACGTAATTTGACATTTCATGCAATGACCTGGTCGACGTCAGCAGCGGGTCGCATGAGGGACATAATTGAAAAAAATAATCCATAGGTTAATTGAGTTATTCGTTAACATGTAATCTATATCATTATTACTGGCCTTCAAAAAGCTAAGCATAAAAAATATTTCGACATAAATTCAGTGGCGTAACTAGAACGAAATTTGTGGGGTGAGCTACTGCCGGGTATAGAACTGAATATATAAATATTCACCTCCCCTACGCCGCCGCATAAATTACATAAAATAATACATTCAAGAATTTCCTTTTCTCTTTTACAGGCACCATTCCACCCACTACTAATCAAGGTAATAAATAATTGGTACTCAATGTTGATGTTTCACTGCCCAGTCGCGGTTATTCGACGAATGGCGCTATCCACCGAATAGCAAGTTTTTCGATCGATCAATAAATTATTTTTGTTGATTAATATCTAAATATTTATTTTTTAAGCATTTTTGTGTTGCTTGAAAAATTCAATATTTATCTAGAAAACAGAGGCCAGGGAAGATATAGGAGGGCAAATATTTATATAGCGTAAAAACAATCAATTTCATAATAAACTAATATTGCCAAAGGTGAATATTGACTAATTGCCCCCCCCCCCGACACTAACGACACTAGAGGAATCAGTGCGAAAGTCCGAAATAGTTGAAAAAATATCACGCTGAGAGATTGTCAAGATCGGTCAAGAAATTGTCAGAGCAACAAAAGCATCCTAGGAAACCGTAAAGAATTTGCTCCTAACTGGAAGAAAAAAAATTTTCTGACACAAACCGCTATATTCTCTAAAAATTTCATTTTGTTTGTCCTTCTTTACCATTTTTTATCCCGTTTCAAAAATTGTTTGCAGCCAGTCACATTTTTGGCGCAAAGCAAAAGACAATCCGTGGTTCGTGCATTGAGAGAAAAGGTCAGAAAACTGTTACCAATTTTTAAAATTTTCAGTTTTTTGGTTTTTTTTGTAGGCAACGTGACAAGACCTTCAAATACATCTGATCCAGGTAAAATCATCAATCTTTTTCTTGAAAATTGAACTGAGCCGACTTTTAGGTTTTAAAAACGGCCTTCTTTGTATATTATGCTGTTAAGTCGTTTCACTGTTTAATTTGGCAAATTAACATATGACAAAATTTAAACGGTCATTACAATCTTTGAGGATGTGCAAAAATTAATATTTCTTATTAACAGATACGACGCCTTCTAATACATCAAGTCGAGGTAAAATTAATATCTAAGAACTGATCTGATCTGATAAGATGAACTGATCGATAAAATTTAATCCAAAAAAAGGCGACACTTATTTTATTTGAACTGATTTCAAACGCTTGCAGTATAATTGTACCGATTGCAGTATATACTGGCAGCGATAAGCAAGGGATAATAAACTTAATAATCTTCAACACGACCAAGATGCTATAAGGCACTTGTCTATTTGAGCTATATAATTTGACATTTCATGCAATGACCTGGTCGACGTCAGCAGCGGCTCGTTTGAGAGACATAGTTGAAATGAAATAATCCATAGGTTAATTGAGTTATTCGTTAACATGTAATCTTTATCATTATTACTGGCCTTTCAAGGAGCTAAGCATAAGAAAAATATTTTGACATAAATTCAGTGGCGTAACTAGAACGAAATTTGTGGGGCGAGCTTCCGTCGGGTATAGAAATATATAAATATTCCCCTCCCCTACGCCGCCGCATAAATTACATAAAAAAATACATGGATGAATTTCCTTTTCTCTTAACAGGCACCATTCCACCCACTACTAATCCAGGTAATAAATAATTGGTACTCAATGTTGATATTTCACTGCCCAGATGCGGTTATCCGACGAATAGCAGGTTTTTCAATCGATCAAATCGATTCAAATTAACCCTTAGCATGATTGTCAGAAACAAACCATGCATTCAATAAGGCTTTAGGTCCGTTTCGCATTGCAACGAATCGCGCGTAAAATGAATCGATGAGATATAAAGATTAAAGATTCACCACGTTTTGCTACGATACTTAAACAAGGAAATACGCCACATCTCGCTACGATACGACTGCAGATGTGTAAAACAGTTTTTAGACGAATATTCGTTGTCGAAAAGATTGTACAAACTAACATTATTAATTAGGTATATAGTTGATACAAAAATTAAGTTTGACAGCTCTTCGCTTCTTTAACATAATCTTTTCGGATTGTTTGCCGTTTTTTATCCCGTTTCAAAATTTATTTGCAGCCAGTTACGTTTATGGCACACATTTACATGCATTTACATACATTTATTTCTTTATAGGCAACGTTACAAGATCCTCTAATACATCTAATCCAGGTAAAATCATCAATCTCATTTTCTTGAAAATTAAGGTGAGCGAACTGCGAAAATTAGCGTTTAAAAATGGTCTTCTTTGTATACTAAGCTGTTAAGTTGTTCACTTGCTTGGCTAATTAACAGCTGACAGAATTTAAACAGTGATTATAATCTTTGAGAATGTAAAAAATATATTTTTATTAACAGATACGACGCCTTCTTATACATCAAGTCCAGGTAAGATTGGTGTCTAAGATATGAACTGATCGATAAAATTTAATCCAAAAAAGGCAACACTTATTTTGTTTGAACTGATTTCAAACGCTTGCAATATAATTATACCGGTTGCAGTATATACTGGCAGCGATGAGCAAAGGGATAATAAACTTAATGGTCTTCAACCCGACCAAGATGCTATAAGGCACGTGTGTATTTGAGTTAAGTAATTTGACATTTCATACATTGACCTGATCGACGTCAGCCGGGTCGTTTGAGGGACATAATTGAAATGAAATAATCCATAGGGTAATTGGGTTATTCGTTATCATGAAACGATATCTATATTACTATTACTGCCATTTCGAGGAGCTAAGAATAGGAAAAATATTTCGGCATAAATTCAGTGGCGTAACTAGAAAGAAATTCGGGGGTGAGTCTCCGTCTGGTAGAACTGAATATATGAATATTCACCTGCCCTACGCCGCTGCATAAATTACATAAAATAAAATATGGAAGAATTTCCTTTTCCCTTTACAGGCACCATTCCACCAACTACTAATCCAGGTAATAAATAATGGCGCTATCCACCGAATAGGAGGTTTTTCGAATTGTCTAAATTATTTTGGTTGATTAATATCTAAACTTTTATTAATTTTTTAAACATTTTTGTGCTACTTGAAAAAGTTAATATCTATGTAGAAGACAGAGAGCACGGAAGATCGTTAACACGAGGGCAATTATTTATATAGCGTTAAAACAATCAATTTCATAAGGAACTAATATTGCCAAACATGAATATATGAATAATTTCCCCCCCCCCGACACTAACGACACCAGAGGAATCTTGTCCGAAGGTCCGAATTAGTTAAAAAGTATCACGCTGAGAGATTGTCAACATATCGGTCAAAAAATTGTCAGAGCAACAAAAAGCATTCTGGGAAAGCGATAAGAATTTGTTCCAAACTGGACGAAGAAAAATTTCTGATAGAAACCGCTATATTCTCTCTTTTATCCTGCTTCAAAATTTATTTGCAGCCATTTAGATTTATGGCGCAAATCAAAAGACAATCCGTGGTTCGTGCATGGAGAGAGAAGGTCAGAAAAATGTTACCAATTTGTAAAAATTAAGTTTATTTGTTTTTTTTTATAGCTAACGCAACAAGACCTTCTAATACATCTAGTCCAGGTAAAATCATCAATCTTTTTCTTGAAAATTGAACAGAGCTAGTAAAATTTTAGCTTTTATAAATTGTCTTCTTTGTATATTGCCGTGCCGTCGTTTCACTTGTTTGGCGAATTAACAGCTCACAAAATTATACGGAGATTATAATCTTTGAGAGTGCAAAAATATATTTTTTATTTACAGATACGACGCCTTCTTATACATCAAGTCGAGGTAAAATTAATATCCAAGATATGAACTGATCGATAAAATTTAATCCAAAAAGGCGACACCTATTTAGTCTGAACTGATTTCAAACGCTGGCAGTATATACCGATTCCAAGAATACACGTGCGTCTAGAGTTGCCGTAATCTATATTACCATTACTGGCATTTCAAGGAGCTAAGAATAAGTAAAATATTTCGACATAAATTCAGTGGCGTAACTAGAACGAAATTTGGGGGTGAGTGTTCATTATTTAATTCAGCCGGATGGATTACACTTGAAAGTCCAACAGCTTAAAATACAGCCCCGTCGGGTAGAACTGAATATTTGCATATTCACCTCTCCTACGCCGCTGCATAAATTACATAAAATAAAAATGGAAGAACTTCGTTTTCTCTTTACAGGCACCATTCCACCCACTACTAATCCAGGTAATGAATAATTGGTAGTGAATTTTGATGTTTCACTGCCCAGCCGCGTTTATTCGACGGATATAGCGCTCTCCACCGAAAGCGGGTTTTCAAACGATCTAAATTATACTTGTTGGTTAATACCTAATGTTTTATTTCTTTTTAAACATTTTTGCGCACAATCATAATTGTCTAGTAGATGCAGGGCCACGGAAGATTGGAAACTGGAGGCCAAATATTTATATATTCATTTCAGCTGACGATAAAAAAAACAATTTCGTAGGAAACTAATATTGCTAACCCAAAATATGAATAATTTTCCCCCCGCGAACCTAACGATCTTTCGTGGCCCCTGCTATGTAAAGGAATATCCAGCCTTCGTACATGCATGCAATCCGCCGTAGGTGTTGGCTAATAAAGATTTGATCGTGCATAGTTGACACATTTTTCTCAGCAGTTCTTCGCTTGAATTTGATATCTTTTTTATTTCGTTGAAGTTAAGACAAAAATTAACCCTTAGCATGACTGTTACAAGACTCACAAGGAATCCATAGTTTCCAATTGCAGTCATAATTAAATAGTATACAAACTAAAACAAAATAAGTTGTTGCGGAGAATAATTATACTAATTTATTTCTTCACAGCGAAAAACATTCCACGAATTTTACGACATCAGCGCCAGGTAACAGTACCTATTAGTAATTATTATTAACGATGCATATTCGAAAACAGGGCTTTGGCATTGCGTTTTCATTATTTTTTGCATTGAGAATAAAAACTAATATTGCCGAACATGAAGATATGAATAATTGCTCCCTACCTCAATTAATGCTCTTTGCCCATATATAGGTCTAGGCTAATTCAAGTTTGAACATTTCCTATTTACTATTCTAATAATAAATAATCGGCGATAAATTCCACTTTGCTCTATCCTTCAATAAGTTGTGTGAATAATATTTCCAGAATTATGCGGCGAAAGTCAACTGTATCCTCCTGGAAAACTCACAAGCCCTCTTCATCCCCTTTCATACCCTCACTACTTGGATTGCAGTTGGACGATTTCCAGCACCAATGGAAGAAAAATTTTACTACAGTTTACTTCATTCTTGGTAGGCTACTTTACTAATTTATTGCTCCCCGGCCCTGTTTGGGCGAAAAAACCTTAGCGACATAACATGTTTTTGTTCGAATAACTTCATCGTTTATCATTTTTATCCGAAACACTGCTTACGCGTCAGCTAGTGTATCGTTTCTCTTTTCCCGCTCAGTCGTAAACTTTATCAATATTCTTGTACGTTTGCATAGTAACATCATGCAAATATGTTTATATCAATATCCTTTCCTAAATATTGATCTTCATCCACTAACGTTTTTGCGATTTTCCCCCATCTTGCTTTATCAGTGCGATTAACGTTCAAGTTTTGTCGAGAAAGATATGTTAATTCGCTCGCAGTTCAATTGAAAATCAAACGGTTTAACTAATACAAAGAACAGAGGCGTTGCGAGCTTTATAGGCGGGGGGGGGGGAGCATACTCACGTAATCGTTTTTTAAATAGCTTATTCATTTCTTTTCAAATTGATTTTTTACAGTCAGTGAACATAAATATATCAAAGAAAAAAATTATGCCTCGCTTATAGGTTTGGCATCAAGAAGTAGTTGATCTACTGGGCTGATATTTAGTACTTTAAATGTCCAATTTTTTATAAAAACTATTTCCTTTTCTCGAAAAGGAAAAATATTTTTTAATATCCTATTCCTAGAACAGTTCAAGATTAAAAATTTTTTTATTCTTTCTAAATATTTACTTCTTATTAACCGAGGTGAAATCTTTACCGAGAAATATCGGACCGAGGTCTTTTGAACGGAACGAGCTCGAAGACCAAGGTTTGTTCAAAAATATCGAAGACCGATATTTCTCGCGATAAAGATCGAGCAAACGAGGTAATAAAATATCTATTATATGGCATAAGGCATATATTTGCACTTGAAAGAAACAAGAAATGCATGAATTCGTATTATTAGCCTGGTACGCAGTGATAAAAACAAAAACAAAACATTAAATTATTTGGGTTACGTAAACTCGCCAAACTGTCTGGTTAATTGTTCTATGGTCGTTTAAGTCGTTTAGCTTAAAAGGCTTATAAGTTCAAAGTGGAAAACAAAATTATCTTTTTATTGGACAACTGCATGAGCGGAAATATTATGATATAAATAGCTGAATTTATATGGAAGTAAATTCTTCTCAACCAAACCTTAGCTCCATTTCACCGGAAGTGACGATTCCAATATAATTATTGGATGAGGGAGCGCAGGGTATCCGGAATGTTCAGGCAGAGGTCAATGTCAGTATATCCTAGATAACTTGCGAAAGCCGACTTGAATAATTGTCTTATTATTCATTGAATTTCGAAAAAAAACAAGCCTTTTCATGGCAAATTTCATTGTGTAGAAAAGATAACAAGCTGGCGCGACAAATACCCTCAACAGACAACAACGAGAACATTCAAAAATATCCGTACACTTTGAGCTAATCAGCAGACGATTGCACTATCAATTGAATATTAGCAATCTTTCATTGACTGAACTTAGAAATTCGTAGAATAGTATAGTTTAAACCTTTAAACAGTTTAAAATCAATTTAATTCGTATGTGCAAAATTGACAAATAATTTACAAAAAATGCATGACGTTTTAGCTGGAAGGTAGTTACAGTTGTGGATTTGACTATTTGGAAGTTTATGATGGAGATTCAGCAAATACGACGAAACTGGGCAGATTCTGTGGAAACCAATTACCAAGAAGCCTGGTATCATCTGGACTCAAACTCTTCATCGTGTTTCACTCGGATTATAGCGTGTCAGCACCGGGATTTGTTCTGAACTATTCAACACCATTAGGTAAGAAATAAGTTTCAAAATATCGGCAAGAAAATATTAAAACTTATAAAAGTTTGTTCTATTTTCTGCTCGTAAGAAAATTAGGGTTAAGAACAAAACAGACTGACACTCTGAGTCAGAGTAACTGCCTGGTAGTAAAATTGAAGTATTCTAAAAGCATGTCTATGTAAATATTATATTTTAGATGTAAATGAATGTTACTTTGGAACACACAACTGCGCTATTGGAGCGTCATGTGTCAATACGAATGAATCGTTTTACTGCATTTGTGAAAACGGTTATACCGGAGATGGCGTAACCTGCACAGGTTTACATCTTTATACTAATTATTTGCATGGTATTTGGTAATATTTTGCAAAAAAATTGACGAGGATAATTCATAATTCCTTTGCAATATAATTTCCTCTTTTTGGTTAAAAAAACATAGATTTAACCGTTAAAAATATGGGAGTTTATGTATTTTATATTGTATTATCTTAGATATCAATGAATGTGAACTTGGAATTGATAACTGTCATTCTCAAGCATCATGTCGCAATACCAATGGGTCGTTCGACTGTTCTTGCAACTTTGGCTTTAGTGGAGATGGAATAGCATGTAAAATGGCTTCATACCTAATTTGCTACAATCAGATCTAGTCATATTGGGCCTCTTTTAACATATAGATCATGAGGGGCCTTATCCCCATGTTTTCCCCGACCCCACCCCACTGGTAAAAATCCTCTGTTTAAAAAAACATTGATGAAAAACATGTCGTGAACTAAAGCAATTTTATTTGTATTCAGTAACTTTTCATTTCTGTATTCTGTGAACCTTTGATGAAGGCAATTTCAGTAATATCATCTATCGAGTGCGAATACATATTTTGCATGTTATTTGAATATCAGGCGACTGATTTCCAGTCACATTTATGGCGCAAATTAAAAGACAATCCGTGGTTCGTGAAAGGAGAGAGAAGGTCAGAAAACTGTTACCAATTTTAGAAAATTTCAGTTATTTTATTTTCTTTATAGGCAACGCGACAAGACCTTCTAATACATCTAATCCAGGTAAAATCATCAATCTTTTTCTTAAAAATTGAACTAAGCGAACTTTTAGCTTTTGTAGATGGTGTTCTTTGTATAATATGCTGTTAAGTCGTTTCCATTGTTTGGCAAATTAACATATGACAAAAATTAAACGGTAATTACAATCTTTAAGGATGTGCAAAAATAAAATATTTCTTAATAACAGATACGACGCCCTCTTATACATCAAGTCGAGCAAAATTAATATCTAAGATATGAACTGATCGATAAAATTTGATCTAAAAAAGGCAACACTTATTTTGTTTGAGCTGATTTCAAACGCTTGCAGTATAATTGTACCGATTGCAGTATATACTGGCAGCGATAAGCAAGGGATAATATAATAATCTTCAACACGACCAAGATGCAAGGGTGTAGGAAGCATCCAGAGGTTGGGGGGGGCACCAGCTTCTAGGGCCACTTTTGGTTAATAAAAATGACGGTTAAAATGGTTAATAAAAATATATATGTAGGGACGGTTTGATTCAGGGACCGCCGACCGCATAGCATTTTTCGTATTTCTTGGGCTTCGTACGGCTAGGGGGGTCCGGGGGCATGCTCCCTTGAGAAAATTTTGAGATATATGCCTCTGAAATGGCCGCAAATCCCTCTCAATTTAAGGATTATTGGGAAATAGTAGATACTTTTTCTTTCTTTTCGCTTTCCAAAAAGGCATTTTTTTCACAAAAAGGGCATTTTTGGTCCGTTGAAAAATCTTGGGGGGGGGGCACGTTCCCCCAGTGCCCCCCCCCTTCCTACGCCACTGCCAAGATGCTATAAGGCACTTGTGTATTTGAGTTACGTAATTTGACATTTCATGCAATGACCTGGTCGACGTCAGCAGCGGGTCGTATGAGGGACATAATTGAAATGAAATAATCCATAGGTTAATTGAGTTATTCGTTAACATGTAATCTCTATCATTATTACTGGCATTTCAAGGAGCTAAGCATAAGAAAAATATTTCGACATAAATTCAGTGGTGTAACTAGAACGAAATTTGTGGGGTGAGCTACTGCCGGGTATAGAACTGAATATATAAATATTCACCTCCCCTACGCCGCCGCATAAATTACATAAAATAATACATTCAAGAATTTCCTTTTCTCTTTTACAGGCACCATTCCACCCACTACTAATCAAGGTAATAAATAATTGGTACTCAATGTTGATGTTTCACTGCCCAGTCGCGGTTATTCGACGAATGGCGCTATCCACCGAATAGCAAGTTTTTCGATCGATCTATAAATTATTTTTGTTGATTAATATCTAAATTTTTTTTTTTTTTAAGCATTTTTGAGTTGCTTGAAAAATTCAATATTTATGTAGAAAACAGAGGCCAGGGAAGATCGTTATAGGAGGGAAGATCGTTATAGGAGGGCAAATATTTATATAGCGTAAAAACAATCAATTTGATAATAAACTAATATTGCCAAACGTGAATATATGACTAATTGCCCTCCCCCCCCGACACTAACGACACCAGAGGAATCAGTGCGAAAGTCCGAAATAGTTGAAAAAATATCACGCTGAGAGATTGTAAAGATCGGTCAAGAAATTGTCACAGCAACAAAAGCATCCTAGGAAACCGTAAAGAATTTGCTCCTAACTGGAGGAAAAAAAATTTTCTGACAGAAACCGCTATATTCTCCAAAAATTTCATTTTGTTTGTCCTTCTTTGCCATTTTTTATCCCGTTTCAAAAATTATTTGCAGCCAGTCACATTTTTGGCGCAAAGCAAAAGACAATCCGCGGTTCGTGCATTGAGAGAGAAGGTCAGAAAACTGTTACCAATTTTTAAAATTTTCAGTTTTTTGTTTTTTTTGTAGGCAACGTGACAAGACCTTCAAATACATCTGATCCAGGTAAAATCATCAATCTTTTTCTTGAAAATTGAACTGAGCCGACTTTTAGCTTTTAAAAACGGCCGTCTTTGTATATTATGCTGTTAAGTCGTTTCACTGTTTAATTTGGCAAATTAACATATGACAAAATTTAAACGGTCATTACAATCTTTGAGGATGTGCAAAAATTAATATATTTCTTATTAACAGATACGACGCCTTCTTATACATCAAGTCGAGGTAAAATTAATATCTAAGATATGAACTGATCGATAAAATTTAATCCAAAAAAAGGCGACACTTATTTTATTTGAACTGATTTCAAACGCTTGCAGTATAATTTTACCGATTGCAGTATATACTGGCAGCGATAAGCAAGGGATAATAAACATAATAATCTTCAACACGACCAAGATGCTATAAGGCACTTGTGTATTTGAGTTACGTAATTTGACATTTCATGCAATGACCTGGTCGACGTCAGCAGCGGGTCGTATGAGGGACATAATTGAAATAAAATAATCCATAGGTTAATTGAGTTATTCGTTAACATGTAATCTATATCATTATTACTGGCCTTCCAAAAAGCTAAGAATAAGAAAAATATTTCGACATAAATTCAGTGGCGTAACTAGAACGAAATTTGTGGGGTGAGCTACTGCCGGGTATAGAACTTAATATATAAATATTCACCTCCCCTACGCCGCCGCATAAATTACATAAAATAATACATTCAAGAATTTCCTTTTCTCTTTTACAGGCACCATTCCACCCACTACTAATCAAGGTAATAAATAATTGGTACTCAATGTTGATGTTTCACTGCCCAGTCGCGGTTATTCGACGAATGGCGCTATCCACCGAATAGCAAGTTTTTCGATCGATCTATAAATTATTTTTGTTGATTAATATCTAAATATTTATTTTTTTTGAAGCATTTTTGTGTTGCTTGAAAAATTCAATATTTATCTAGAAAACAGAGGCCAGGGAAGATATAGGAGGGCAAATATTTATATAGCGTAAAAACAATCAATTTCATAATAAACTAATATTGCCAAAGGTGAATATTTGACTAATTGCCCCCCCCCCGACACTAACGACACTAGAGGAATCAGTGCGAAAGTCCGAAATAGTTGAAAAAATATCACGCTGAGAGATTGTAAAGATCGGTCAAGAAATTGTCAGAGCAACAAAAGCATCCTAGGAAACCGTAAAGAATTTGCTCCTAACTGGAGGAAAAAAAAATTTCTGACACAAACCGCTATATTCTCTAAAAATTTCATTTTGTTTGTCCTTCTTTGCCATTTTGTATCCCGTTTCAAAAATTATTTGGCGCAAAGCAAAAGACAATCCGTGGTTCGTGCATTTAGAGAGAAGGTCAGAAAACTGTTACCAATTTTTAAAAGTTTTCAGTTTTTTGTTTTTTTTTGTAGGCAACGTGACAAGACCTTCAAATACATCTGATCCAGGTAAAATCATCAATCTTTTTCTTGAAAATTGAACTGAGCCGACTTTTAGCTTTTAAAAACGGCCTTCTTTGTATATTATGCTGTTAAGTCGTTTCACTGTTTAATTTGGCAAATTAACATATGACAAAATTTAAACGGTCATTACAATCTTTGAGGATGTGCAAAAATTAATATATTTCTTATTAACAGATACGACGCCTTCTAATACATCAAGTCGAGGTAAAATTAATATCTAAGATATGAACTGATCGATAAAATTTAATCCAAAAAAAGGCGACACTTATTTTATTTGAACTGATTTCAAACGCTTGCAGTATAATTGTACCGATTGCAGTATATACTGGCAGCGATAAGCAAGGGATAATAAACTTAATAATCTTCAACACGACCAAGATGCTATAAGGCACTTGTCTATTTGAGCTATATAATTTGACATTTCATGCAATGACCTGGTCGACGTCAGCAGCGGCTCGTTTGAGAGACATAGTTGAAATGAAATAATCCATAATTGAGTTATTCGTTAACATGTAATCTTTATCATTATTACTGGCCTTTCAAGGAGCTAAGCATAAGAAAAATATTTTGACATAAATTCAGTAGCGTAACTAGAACGAAATTTGTGGGGCGAGTTTCCGTCGGGTATAGAACTGAATATATAAATATTCACCTCCCCTACGCCGCCGCATAAATTACATAAAAAAATACATGGATGAATTTCCTTTTCTCTTAACAGGCACCATTCCACCCACTATTAATTCAGGTAATAAATAATTGGTACTCAATGTTGATATTTCACTGCCCAGATGCGGTTATCCGACGAATAGCAGGTTTTTCAATCGATCAAATCGATTCAAATTAACCCTTAGCATGATTGTCAGAAACAAACCATGCATTCAATAAGGCTTTAGGTCCGTTTCGCATTGCAACGAATCGCGCGTAAAATGAATCGATGAGATATAAAGATTAAAGATTCACAACGTTTTGCTACGATACTTAAACAAGGAAATACGCCACATCTCGCTACGATACGACTGCAGATGTGTAAAACAGTTTTTAGACGAATATTCGTTGTCGAAAAGATTGTACAAACTAACATTATTAATTAGGTATATAGTTGATACAAAAATTAAGTTTGGCAGCTCTTCGCTTCTTTAACATAATCTTTTCGGCCCTTGTTTGCCGTTTTTTATCACGTTTCAAAATTTATTTGCAGCCAGTTACGTTTATGGCACACATTTACATTTACATACATTTATTTTCTTTATAGGCAACGTTACAAGATCCTCTAATACATCTAATCCAGGTAAAATCATGAATCTCAGTTTTCTTGAAAATTAAGGTGAGCGAACTGCGAATTTTTAGCGTTTAAAAATGGTCTTCTTTGTATACTAAGCTGTTAAGTTGTTTCACTTGCTTGGCTAATTAACAGCTGACAGAATTTAAACAGTGATTATAATCTTTGAGAATGTAAAAAAAAAAATTTTTATTAACAGATACGACGCCTTCTTATACATCAAGTCCAGGTAAAATTAATATCTAAGATATGAACTGATCGATAAAATTTAATCCAAAAAAGGCAACACTTATTTTGTTTGAACTGATTTCAAACGCTTGCAATATAATTATACCGGTTGCAGTATATACCGGCAGCGATGAGCAAAGGGATAATAAACTTAATGGTCTTCAACCCGACCAAGATGCTATAAGGCACGTGTATTATTAGAGTTAAGAAATTTGACATTAAATGCATTGACCTGATCGACGTCAGCAGCGGGTCGTTTGAGGGACATAATTGAAATGAAATAATCCATAGGGTAATTGAGTTATTCGTTAACATGAAACGATATCTATATTACTATTACTGCCATTTCGAGGAGCTAAGAATAGGAAAAATATTTCGGCATAAATTCAGTGGCGTAACTAGAAAGAAATTCGGGGGTGAGTCTCCGTCTGGTAGAACTGAATATATGAATATTCACCTGCCCTACGCCGCTGCATAATTTACATAAAATAAAATATGGAAGAATTTCCTTTTCCCTTTCCAGGCACCATTCCACCAACTACTAATCCAGGTAATAAATAATGGCGCTATCCACCGAATAGGAGGTTTTTCGAATTGTCTAAATTATTTTGGTTGATTAATATCTAAACTTTTATTAATTTTTTAAACATTTTTGTGCTGCTTGAAAAAGTTAATATCTATGTAGAAGACAGAGGTCAAGGAAGATCGTTAACATCAGGGCAATTATTTATATAGCGTAAAAACAATCAATTTCACAAGAAACTAATATTGCAAAACATCAAAAAAGGTCCGAAATAGTTTAAAAAAAGGTCACGCTGAGAGATTGTTAAGATCGGCTAAGAAATTGTCAGACCAACAAAAGTACCTAGGAAAGCGAAAAGAATTTATAACAAGTTAAAATTTAACGACTGAATTTTTTATTTGCACTGAAATGTTCGGAAATACTACAGATATATTACAGCCTATTAATAGCTTAAATATTCAAATTAACCGTTTCATCTTTGTGTAGATATCAATGAATGCGAAACAAATCCTTGTGATGAAAATGCAAATTGTACAAATGTAGATGGTTCGTATGAATGTACCTGCCATGAGGGCTATGAAGGAAACGGCAAAAATTGTACAGGTAGAGCTTAGAGATATAATTTTTTTTATTCGGGTTTATAATTATGTAATATATGTACATATACAACTCTAGTCAAAGTACTGGTGCCGAAAGTATTTTGTGCAACAACTTTTAATTCCAGTTTCCCATAAGAAAAAAAGAAACAATCTTTTCCTGATCAAAGCTAAAATAATAATTTTAACTGTCTTAAAGATGTCAATATGTGCGAAGACAATCCTTGCCATGTGAATGCAAATTGCACCACTGTTAATGGATTGTATGTATGTATTTGTCACGAAGGATATGAAGGCAATGGCACCAGCTGTACAGGTACATCATAAAAGCGTACAACTAGCCACGTTTAGGGTTCCGAATGGATATTATTTCATACATACATCAGGAGCTGCACCTGATTCGCGTCTTTGAACAAATCACAAACGTAAAAATAAGTATAAAATTAGCCAAAATAACACACTAGTCTTTAAAAAGGTACCAAGTAAAACACGAAAAAAATATAAGTGAAGGTCGAAAAAAAAAGAAATGTGGTATATTCTACCCTAAATGGAAAGGTCTAATAAACTCCAATGTGGTATATTTGGAACAATTATTTTGTTACATGGTATCTATTTTACCTCGATAAGATCGAATATGCCGAAATATATAGCTTTAGAGGTGCTGCAGCAATTCGCATTAATTTGCTATTATTATTTATGTACCAGACACAAGAAGTTAAATTTTTATTCAATTCGCGACTGTTCTAAGTTCAGTTATAACAAGTTAAAATTTAACGACTGAATTTTTAATTTGCACTGAAATGTTCGGAAATACTACAGATATATTACAGCCTATTAATAGCTTAAATATTCAAATTAACCGTTTCATCTTTTTGTAGATATCAATGAATGCGAAACAAATCCTTGTGATGAAAATGCAAATTGTACAAATGTAGATGGTTCATGAATGTACCTGCCATGAGGGCTATGAAGGAAACGGCAAAAATTGTACAGGTAGAGCTTAGAGATATAATTTTTTTATTTGGGCTTACAATTATGTAATATATATACATATACAACTCTAGTCAAAGTACTGGTGCCGAAAGTATTTTGTGCAACAACTTTTAATTCCATGCAGTTTCCCATAAGAAAAAAGAAAGAATCTTTTCCTGATAAAAGCCAAAATAATAATTTTAACTGTCTTAAAGATGTCAATAAGTGCGAAGACAATCCTTGCCATGTGAATGCAAATTGCACCACTGTTAATGGATGGTATGAATGTATTTGTCACGAAGGATATGAAGGCAATGGCACCAGCTGTACAGGTACATCATAAAAGCGTACAATTAGCCACGTTTAGGGTTCCGAATGGATATTATTTCATACATACATCAGGAGCTGCACCTGATTCGCGTCTTTGAACAAATCACAAACGTAAAAATAAGTATAAAATTAGCCAAAATAACACACTAGTCTTTGAAAAGGTACCCAGTAAAACACGACAAAAAATATTAGTGAAGGTCGAAAAAAAAAAGAAATGTGGTATATTCTACCCTGCATGGAAAGGTCTAATAAACTCCAATGTGGTATATTTGGATCAATTATTTTGTTACATGGTATTATTTTACCTCGATAAGATCGAATATGCCGAAATATATAGCTTTAGAGGTGCTGCAGCAATTCGCATTAATTTGCTATTATTATATATGTACCAGACACAAGAAGTTAAATTTCTATTCAATTCGCGACTGTTCTAAGTTCAGTTATAACAAGTTAAAATTTAACGACTGAATTTGTTATTTCCACTGAAATGTTCGGAAATACTACAGATATATTACAGCCTATTAATAGCTTAAATATTCAAATTAACCGTTTTATCTTTTTGTAGATATCAATGAATGCGAAACAAATCCTTGTAATGAAAATGCAAATTGTACAAATGTAGATGGTTCGTATGAATGTACCTGCCATGAGGGCTATGAAGGAAACGGCAAAAATTGTACAGGTAGAGCTTAGAGATATAATTTTTTTTATTCGGGCTTATAATTATGTAATATATATACATATACAACTCTAGTCAAAGTACTGGTGCCGAAAGTATTTTGTGCAACAACTTTTAATTCCATGCAGTTTCCCATAAGAAAAAAAGAAAGAATCTTTTCCTGATAAAAGCCAAAATAATAATTTTAACTGTCTTAAAGATGTCAATAAGTGCGAAGACAATCCTTGCCATGTGAATGCAAATTGCACCACTGTTAATGGATGGTATGAATGTATTTGTCACGAGGGATATGAAGGCAATGGCACCAGCTGTACAGGTACATCATAAAAGCGTACAATTAGCCACGTTTAGGGTTCCGAATGGATATTATTTCATACATACATCAGGAGCTGCACCTGATTCGCGTCTTTGAACAAATCACAAAGGTAAAAATAAGTATAAAATTAGCCAAAATAACACACTAGTCTTTAAAAGGTACCAAGTAAAACACGAAAAAAATATAAGTGAAGGTCGAAAAAAAAAGAAATGTGGTATATTCTACCCTGCATGGAAAGGTCTAATAAACTCCAATGTGGTATATTTGGAACAATTATTTTGTTACATGGTATATTTTACCTCGATAAGATCGAATATGCCGAAATATATAGCTTTAGAGGTGCTGCAGCAATTGGCATTAATTTGCTATTATTATATATGTACCAGACACAAGAAGTTAAATTTTTATTCAATTCGCGACTGTTCTAAGTTCAGTTATAACAAGTTAAAATTTAACGACTGAATTTTTATTTGCACTGAAATGTTCGGAAATACTACAGATATATTACAGCCTATTAATAGCTTAAATATTCAAATTAACCGTTTCATCTTTTGTAGATATCAATGAATGCGAAACAAATCCTTGTGATGAAAATGCAAATTGTACAAATGTAGATGGTTCGTATGAATGTACCTGCCATGAGGGCTATGAAGGAAACGGCAAAAATTGTACAGGTAGAGCTTAGAGATATAATTTTTTTATTCGGGTTTATAATTATGTAATATATATACATATACAACTCTATAGTCAAAGTACTGGTGCCGAAAGTATTTTGTGAAACAACTTTTATTTCCAGTTTCCCATAAGAAAAAAGAAAGAATCTTTTCCTGATAAAAGCCAAAATAATAATTTTAACTGTCTTAAAGATGTCAATAAGTGCGAAGACAATCCTTGCCATGTGAATGCAAATTGCACCACTGTTAATGGATGGTATGAATGTATTTGTCACGAAGGATATGAAGGCAATGGCACCAGCTGTACAGGTACATCATAAAAGCGTACAATAGCCACGTTTAGGGTTCCGAATGGATATTATTTCATACATACATCAGGAGCTGCACCTGATTCGCGTCTTTGAACAAATCACAAACGTAAAAAAAGTATAAAATTAGCCAAAATAACACACTAGTCTTTAAAAAGGTACCAAGTAAAACACGAAAAAAATATAAGTGAAGGTCGAAAAAAAAAGAAATGTGGTATATTCTACCCTAAATGGAAAGGTCTAATAAACTCCAATGTGGTATATTTGGAACAATTATTTTGTTACATGGTATATATTTTACCTCGATAAGATCGAATATGCCGAAATATATAGCTTTAGAGGTGCTGCAGCAATTGGCATTAATTTGCTATTATTATATATGTACCAGACACAAGAAGTTAAATTTCTATTCAATTCGCGACTGTTCTAAGTTCAGTTATAACAAGTTAAAATTTAACGACTGAATTTTTATTTGCACTGAAATGTTCGGAAATACTACAGATATATTACAGCCTATTAATAGCTTAAATATTCAAATTAACCGTTTCATCTTTTTGTAGATATCAATGAATGCGAAACAAATCCTTGTGATGAAAATGCAAATTGTACAAATGTAGATGGTTCGTATGAATGTACCTGCCATGAGGGCTATGAAGGAAACGGCAAAAATTGTACAGGTAGAGCTTAGAGATATAATTTTTTTTATTCGGGCTTATAATTATGTAATATATATACATATACAACTCTATAGTCAAAGTACTGGTGCCGAAAGTATTTTGTGAAACAACTTTTAATTCCAGTTTCCCATAAGAAAAAAAGAAAGAATCTTTTCCTGATAAAAGCCAAAATAATAATTTTAACTGTCTTAAAGATGTCAATAAGTGCGAAGACAATCCTTGCCATGTGAATGCAAATTGCACCACTGTTAATGGATGGTATGAATGTAACTGTCACGAAGGATATGAAGGCAATGGCACCAGCTGTACAGGTACATCATAAAAGCGTACAATAGCCACGTTTAGGGTTCCGAATGGATATTATTTCATACATACATCAGGAGCTGCACCTGATTCGCGTCTTTGAACAAATCACAAACGTAAAAATAAGTATAAAATTAGCCAAAATAACACACTAGTCTTTAAAAAGGTACCAAGTAAAACACGAAAAAAATATAAGTGAAGGTCGAAAAAAAAGAAATGTGGTATATTCTACCCTGCATGGAAAGGTCTAATAAATTCCAATGTGGTATATTTGGAACAATTATTTTGTTACATGGTATATTTTACCTCGATAAGATCGAATATGCCGAAATATATAGCTTTAGAGGTGCTGCAGCAATTCATTAATTTGCTATTATTATATATGTACCAGACACAAGAAGTTAAATTTCTATTCAATTCGCGACTGTTCTAAGTTCAGTTATAACAAGTTAAAATTTAACGACTGAATTTTTAATTTGCACTGAAATGTTCGGAAATACTACAGATATATTACAGCCTATTAATAGCTTAAATATTCAAATTAACCGTTTCATCTTTGTAGATATCAATGAATGCGAAACAAATCCTTGTGATGAAAATGCAAATTGTACAAATGTAGATGGTTCGTATGAATGTACCTGCCATGAGGGCTATGAAGGAAACGGCAAAAATTGTACAGGTAGAGCTTAGAGATATAATTTTTTTATTTGGGCTTACAATTATGTAATATATATACATATACAACTCTAGTCAAAGTACTGGTGCCGAAAGTATTTTGTGCAACAACTTTTAATTCCATGCAGTTTCCCATAAGAAAAAAGAAAGAATCTTTTCCTGATAAAAGCCAAAATAATAATTTTAACTGTCTTAAAGATGTCAATAAGTGCGAAGACAATCCTTGCCATGTGAATGCAAATTGCACCACTGTTAATGGATGGTATGAATGTATTTGTCACGAAGGATATGAAGGCAATGGCACCAGCTGTACAGGTACATCATAAAAGCGTACAATTAGCGACGTTTAGGGTTCCGAATGGATATTATTTCATACATACATCAGGAGCTGCACCTGATTCGCGTCTTTGAACAAATCACAAAGGTAAAAATAAGTATAAAATTAGCCAAAATAACACACTAGTCTTTAAAAAGGTACCAAGTAAAACACGAAAAAAATATAAGTGAAGGTCGAAAAAAAAAGAAATGTGGTATATTCTACCCTGCATGGAAAGGTCTAATAAACTCCAATGTGGTATATTTGGAACAATTATTTTGTTACATGGTATTATTTTACCTCGATAAGATCGAATATGCCGAAATATATAGCTTTAGAGGTGCTGCAGCAATTCATTAATTTGCTATTATTATATATGTACCAGACACAAGAAGTTAAATTTCTATTCAATTCGCGACTGTTCTAAGTTCAGTTATAACAAGTTAAAATTTAACGACTGAATTTTTATTTGCACTGAAATGTTCGGAAATACTACAGATATATTACAGCCTATTAATAGCTTAAATATTCAAATTAACCGTTTCATCTTTTTGTAGATATCAATGAATGCGAAACAAATCCTTGTGATGAAAATGCAAATTGTACAAATGTAGATGGTTCATGAATGTACCTGCCATGAGGGCTATGAAGGAAACGGCAAAAATTGTACAGGTAGAGCTTAGAGATATAATTTTTTTTATTCGGGCTTATAATTATGTAATATATACATATACAACTCTAGTCAAAGTACTGGTGCCGAAAGTATTTTGTGAACAACTTTTAATTCCAGTTTCCCATAAGAAAAAAGAAAGAATTTTTTCCTGATAAAAGCCAAAATAATAATTTTAACTGTCTTAAAGATGTCAATAAGTGCGAAGACAATCCTTGCCATGTGAATGCAAATTGCACCACTGTTAATGGATGGTATGAATGTATTTGTCACGAGGATATGAAGGCAATGGCACCAGCTGTACAGGTACATCATAAAAGCGTACAATTAGCCACGTTTAGGGTTCCGAATGGATATTATTTCATACATACATCAGGAGCTGCACCTGATTCGCGTCTTTGAACAAATCACAAACGTAAAAATAAGTATAAAATTAGCCAAAATAACACACTAGTCTTTAAAAAGGTACCAAGTAAAACGACAAAAAATATAAGTGAAGGTCGAAAAAAAAAGAAATGTGGTATATTCTACCCTGCATGGAAAGGTCTAATAAACTCCAATGTGGTATATTTGGAAATTATTTTGTTACATGGTATATTTTACCTCGATAAGATCGAATATGCCGAAATATATAGCTTTAGAGGTGCTGCAGCAATTGGCATTAATTTGCTATTATTATATATGTACGAGACACAAGAAGTTAAATTTCTATTCAATTCGCGACTGTTCTAAGTTCAGTTATAACAAGTTAAAATTTAACGACTGAATTTTTATTTGCACTGAAATGTTCGGAAATACTACAGATATATTACAGCCTATTAATAGCTTAAATATTCAAATTAACCGTTTCATCTTTTTGTAGATATCAATGAATGCGAAACAAATCCTTGTGATGAAAATGCAAATTGTACAAATGTAGATGGTTCGTATGAATGTACCTGCCATGAGGGCTATGAAGGAAACGGCAAAAATTGTACAGGTAGAGCTTAGAGATATAATTTTTTTTATTCGGGTTTATAATTATGTAATATATATACATATACAACTCTATAGTCAAAGTACTGGTGCCGAAAGTATTTTGTGAAACAACTTTTATTCCAGTTTCCCATAAGAAAAAAAGAAAGAATCTTTTCCTGATAAAAGCCAAAATAATAATTTTAACTGTCTTAAAGATGTCAATAAGTGCGAAGACAATCCTTGCCATGTGAATGCAAATTGCACCACTGTTAATGGATGGTATGAATGTATTTGTCACGAAGGATATGAAGGCAATGGCACCAGCTGTACAGGTACATCATAAAAGCGTACAATAGCCACGTTTAGGGTTCCGAATGGATATTATTTCATACATACCATCAGGAGCTGCACCTGATTCGCGTCTTTGAACAATCACAAAAGTAAAAATAAGTATAAAATTAGCCAAAATAACACACTAGTCTTTAAAAAGGTACCAAGTAAAACACGAAAAAAATATAAGTGAAGGTCGAAAAAAAAAGAAATGTGGTATATTCTACCCTGCATGGAAAGGTCTAATAAACTCCAATGTGGTATATTTGGAACAATTATTTTGTTACATGGTATATTTTACCTCGATAAGATCGAATATGCCGAAATATATAGCTTTAGAGGTGCTGCAGCAATTCGCATTAATTTGCTATTATTATATATGTACGAGACACAAGAAGTTAAATTTCTATTCAATTCGCGACTGTTCTAAGTTCAGTTATAACAAGTTAAAATTTAACGACTGAATTTTTATTTGCACTGAAATGTTCGGAAATACTACAGATATATTACAGCCTATTAATAGCTTAAATATTCAAATTAACCGTTTCATCTTTTTGTAGATATCAATGAATGCGAAACAAATCCTTGTGATGAAAATGCAAATTGTACAAATGTAGATGGTTCGTATGAATGTACCTGCCATGAGGGCTATGAAGGAAACGGCAAAAATTGTACAGGTAGAGCTTAGAGATATAATTTTTTTTATTCGGGCTTATAATTATGTAATATAATACATATACAACTCTAGTCAAAGTACTGGTGCCGAAAGTATTTTGTGAACAACTTTTAATTCCATGCAGTTTCCCATAAGAAAAAAGAAAGAATCTTTTCCTGATAAAAGCCAAAATAATAATTTTAACTGTCTTAAAGATGTCAATAAGTGCGAAGACAATCCTTGCCATGTGAATGCAAATTGCACCACTGTTAATGGATGGTATGAATGTATTTGTCACGAGGATATGAAGGCAATGGCACCAGCTGTACAGGTACATCATAAAAGCGTACAATTAGCCACGTTTAGGGTTCCGAATGGATATTATTTCATACATACATCAGGAGCTGCACCTGATTCGCGTCTTTGAACAAATCACAAAGTAAAAATAAGTATAAAATTAGCCAAAATAACACACTAGTCTTTAAAAAGGTACCAAGTAAAACACGAAAAAAATATAAGTGAAGGTCGAAAAAAAAAGAAATGTGGTATATTCTACCCTGCATGGAAAGGTCTAATAAACTCCAATGTGGTATATTTGGAACAATTATTTTGTTACATGGTATATTTTACCTCGATAAGATCGAATATGCCGAAATATATAGCTTTAGAGGTGCTGCAGCAATTCGCATTAATTTGCTATTATTATATATGTACCAGACACAAGAAGTTAAATTTCTATTCAATTCGCGACTGTTCTAAGTTCAGTTATAACAAGTTAAAATTTAACGACTGAATTTTTATTTGCACTGAAATGTTCGGAAATACTACAGATATATTACAGCCTATTAATAGCTTAAATATTCAAATTAACCGTTTCATCTTTTGTAGATATCAATGAATGCGAAACAAATCCTTGTGATGAAAATGCAAATTGTACAAATGTAGATGGTTCATATGAATGTACCTGCCATGAGGGCTATGAAGGAAACGGCAAAAATTGTACAGGTAGAGCTTAGAGATATAATTTTTTTTATTCGGGTTACAATTATGTAATATATATACATATACAACTCTAAGTCAAAGACTGGTGCCGAAAGTATTTTGTGCAACAACTTTTAATTCCAGCAGTTTCCCATAAGAAAAAAAGAAAGAATCTTTTCCTGATAAAAGCCAAAATAATAATTTTAACTGTCTTAAAGATGTCAATAAGTGCGAAGACAATCCTTGCCATGTGAATGCAAATTGCACCACTGTTAATGGATGGTATGAATGTATTTGTCACGAAGGATATGAAGGCAATGGCACCAGCTGTACAGGTACATCATAAAAGCGTACAATTAGCCACGTTTAGGGTTCCGAATGGATATTATTTCATACATACATCAGGAGCTGCACCTGATTCGCGTCTTTGAACAAATAACAAAGGTAAAAATAAGTATAAAATTAGCCAAAATAACACACTAGTCTTTAAAAAGGTACCAAGTAAAACACGAAAAAAATATAAGTGAAGGTCGAAAAAAAAAGAAATGTGGTATATTCTACCCTGCATGGAAAGGTCTAATAAACTCCAATGTGGTATATTTGGAACAATTATTTTGTTACATGGTATATTTTACCTCGATAAGATCGAATATGCCGAAATATATAGCTTTAGAGGTGCTGCAGCAATTGCATTAATTTGCTATTATTATATATGTACCAGACACAAGAAGTTAAATTTCTATTCAATTCGCGACTGTTCTAAGTTCAGTTATAACAAGTTAAAATTTAACGACTGAATTTTTATTTGCACTGAAATGTTCGGAAATACTACAGATATATTACAGCCTATTAATAGCTTAAATATTCAAATTAACCGTTTCATCTTTGTGTAGATATCAATGAATGCGAAACAAATCCTTGTGATGAAAATGCAAATTGTAAAATGTAGATGGTTCATATGAATGTACCTGCCATGAGGGCTATGAAGGAAACGGCAAAAATTGTACAGGTAGAGCTTAGAGATATAATTTTTTTTATTCGGGCTTATAATTATGTAATATAATACATATACAACTCTAGTCAAAGTACTGGTGCCGAAAGTATTTTGTGCAACAACTTTTAATTGCAGTTCCCCATAAGAAAAAAAGAAAGAATCTTTTCCTGATAAAAGCCAAAATAATAATTTTAACTGTCTTAAAGATCTCAATAAGTGCGAAGACAATCCTTGCCATGTGAATGCAAATTGCACCACTGTTAATGGATGGTATGAATGTATTTGTCACGAGGGATATGAAGGCAATGGCACCAGCTGTACAGGTACATCATAAAAGCGTACAATTAGCCACGTTTAGGGTTCCGAATGGATATTATTTCATACATACATCAGGAGCTGCACCTGATTCGCGTCTTTGAACAAATCACAAACGTAAAAATAAGTATAAAATTAGCCAAAATAACACACTAATCTTTAAAAAGGTACCAAGTAAAACACGAAAAAAATATAAGTGAAGGTCGAAAAAAAAATCTGGTATATTCTACCCTGCATGGTAAGGTCTAATAAACTCGAATGTGGTATTTTTGGAACAATTATTTTGTTACATGGTATATATTTTACCTCGATAAGATCGAATATGCCGAAATATATAGCTTTAGAGGTGCTGCAGCAATTGGCATTAATTTGCTATTATTATATATGTACGAGACACAAGAAGTTAAATTTCTATTCAATTCGCGACTGTTCTAAGTTCAGTTATAACAAGTTAAAATTTAACGACTGAATTTTTTATTTGCACTGAAATGTTCGGAAATACTACAGATATATTACAGCCTATTAATAGCTTAAATATTCAAATTAACCGTTTCATCTTTTTGTAGATATCAATGAATGCGAAACAAATCCTTGTGATGAAAATGCAAATTGTACAAATGTAGATGGTTCATATGAATGTACCTGCCATGAGGGCTATGAAGGAAACGGCAAAAATTGTACAGGTAGAGCTTAGAGATATAATTTTTTTTATTCGGGCTTATAATTATGTAATATATATACATATACAACTCTAGTCAAAGTACTGGCGCCGAAAGTATTTTGTGCAACAACTTTTAATTCCATGCAGTTTCCCATAAGAAAAAAGAAAGAATCTTTTCCTGATAAAAGCCAAAATAATAATTTTAACTGTCTTAAAGATGTCAATAAGTGCGAAGACAATCCTTGCCATGTGAATGCAAATTGCACCACTGTTAATGGATGGTATGAATGTATTTGTCACGAGGATATGAAGGCAATGGCACCAGCTGTACAGGTACATCATAAAAGCGTACAATTAGCCACGTTTAGGGTTCCGAATGGATATTATTTCATACATACATCAGGAGCTGCACCTGATTCGCGTCTTTGAACAAATCACAAAGGTAAAAATAAGTATAAAATTAGCCAAAATAACACACTAGTCTTTAAAAAGGTACCAAGTAAAACACGAAAAAAATATAAGTGAAGGTCGAAAAAAAAAGAAATGTGGTATATTCTACCCTGCATGGAAAGGTCTAATAAACTCCAATGTGGTATATTTGGAACAATTATTTTGTTACATGGTATATTTTACCTCGATAAGATCGAATATGCCGAAATATATAGCTTTAGAGGTGCTGCAGCAATTGCATTAATTTGCTATTATTATATATGTACGAGACACAAGAAGTTAAATTTCTATTCAATTCGCGACTGTTCTAAGTTCAGTTATAACAAGTTAAAATTTAACGACTGAATTTTTTATTTGCACTGAAATGTTCGGAAATACTACAGATATATTACAGCCTATTAATAGCTTAAATATTCAAATTAACCGTTTCATCTTTTTTGGTAGATATCAATGAATGCGAAACAAATCCTTGTGATGAAAATGCAAATTGTACAAATGTAGATGGTTCGTATGAATGTACCTGCCATGAGGGCTATGAAGGAAACGGCAAAAATTGTACAGGTAGAGCTTAGAGATATAATTTTTTTATTCGGGTTTATAATTATGTAATATATATACATATACAACTCTATAGTACAAGTACTGGTGCCGAAAGTATTTTGTGAAACAACTTTTATTTCCAGTTTCCCATAAGAAAAAAAGAAAGAATCTTTTCCTGATAAAAGCCAAAATAATAATTTTAACTGTCTTAAAGATGTCAATAAGTGCGAAGACAATCCTTGCCATGTGAATGCAAATTGCACCACTGTTAATGGATGGTATGAATGTATTTGTCACGAAGGATATGAAGGCAATGGCACCAGCTGTACAGGTACATCATAAAAGCGTACAACTAGCCACGTTTAGGGTTCCGAATGGATATTATTTCATACATACATCAGGAGCTGCACCTGATTCGCGTCTTTGAACAAATCACAAACGTAAAAATAAGTACAAAATTAGCCAAAATAACACACTAGTCTTTAAAAAGGTACCAAGTAAAACACGAAAAAAATATAAGTGAAGGTCGAAAAAAAAAGAAATGTGGTATATTCTGTTGAGTGTATTGAATGGAGAGACATCGTTTCTCTTTTTACATTTATTACACCAAAGAATAATATCAATATATTTGTAACAACAACGAGTAAAAAAATATGTATATGTGTAAAAACGTTCAACATGCGTTTATGACGTAATAGTTTAAGTATCTTATGATTCGCTAATTTAATGAAAGGTCATATCCGGTATTAAAGTTCACCGGATGTTATATGATTGTTCTCTCAACATGCCCCCGCAATCTGGAGCATCCGGACCATGCGCTCGTGTAAAGTTGTGGTCACGGGCTTCGTAAGAATGTCTGCAAGATTATTCTCTGACGGGACGTGCCGGTAGTCGATACCTTGTTGTTCACGTACGAAATGATATCGGACATCAATGTGCTTCGTACGATTATGTGATAGAGCACTCCCTTGCGTCAAGGCAATAGCTGACTGATTGTCGCAGAATAGGATAACAGGCTGCGGAATGGTGATGCCAAGCGACGAGCAAAATGATCGGAGGTACAAGAGCTCTTTTACTGCTTCTGTTATCGCCATGTATTCAGCTTCACATGATGAGAGCGCGACAGTAGGTTGTTTTCGGGTTCTCCAGCTAATTGGTGCTCCACCCAGTGTGATAATATAACCAGTCACGGAACGTCGGTCTTTCGGATCGTTCGCCCAGTCTGAGTCGGAGTAAGCTGTTAGCTGTACGTCGGTTTGCGTGAAGTTTAGCTTGTATGACTTGGTGCCTTGTATGTAGCGGAGAACTCGTTTGAGGACTGTAATATGTTGCATAGTTGGGTTTTCTAAGAATTGAGATAGCCAAGATACTGTCCAGCTAATGTCTGGTCGTGTCGCAGTCATGAGGTACATGAGGCTTCCGATTGCTTGTCGGTATGGAAAGTTGTGGTTTTGTTGATCATCAGCTGTGCTCGATTGCGTGGCCCCTTTTGTCACAGGAGTAGGAGCCGGTTTACATTCGGACATGTTGAAGCGTCGTAGTATTGCTTGTGCATATCGTTCTTGGCTCATCTGATAGCTTCCATCTTCGAGACGTTTAAAGTCAATGCCTAGGAACCATTTCAGTTCGCCGCGATCGTCCATCTTAAAGTTGCTGTTGAGCATCTCTTCACGGCTTCGATTGTATCGAGGTTGGTGCTGCCGATTATGATATCGTCCACCCAAAAACAGGATGATGATCTTTTCACCATTACTGTCGGAGCGAGTGTAAACACAAGGGTCGTTGCTATTGGGGATGAATCCCTCAGACCCAGGAAGGCGGTCAGTGTGGTATGCCAATTTTTTGCCACTCTGTTTGAGGCCGTAGAGGGACTTCTTGAGGTGGCAACTGAGCTTTAAGCCAGTACTATCGGTTTGTTCGTAGCCCGGCGGTTGCTCCACGTATATCTCCTTGTCGATCGGGGCGTTCAAATAGGCAGCTTTCACATCCATTTGATGTAAATGTAGACCTTCGTTAGCAGCTTTTTGTAGTAATGCTCGAATTGACGTGAAACGAGTTGTTGGTGAGTATGTCTCATCGTAGTCGACGCCTTGGGTTTGTGAGTACCCTTTTGCGACGTATCGAGCCTTGTATTGCACTTCACTTTCGGAGTTTCCTTGTTTGATTGTGTATACCCATCGCCCTTTTGTTTCGGTTCTACCTTGTGGCAAAGGAGAGAGGACCCATGTCTGATTTTGCTCGAGAGTCTGGATTTCGGCGTCCATGGCAGCTTTCCATAATTCGGCGTCTTCTGAGTTAACTGCTTCTTCATAAGTAGTGGGTATAATGGGCACAGCAGCATAGGCATAGTCGACGTTCGCTGTTAGATAATAGTCCGCGAAGCGTCTTGGTGGATGTATGTCACGTCGAGGGTGTTCTTCACTTGCCTGCGGATGAATTTCCCTCGGGTTCATCAGAACGTGGTTCGTTGTCACTTGTATTCGGCTCGTCATTGATCGTGGGGGTGTCAGGTGATTCGAGATGGTCTGGCTGCATCGGTGGTACTTCTCTATCTGGTTCTTCAGTGATGGTTTCTTCAATGTGAGCATTTCTTGTTGTGATCACTCCCTGGTTCTTTATGTTCAGGATGAAATAACCTTGGCTTATCGGGTTGACACCAAGGTAGATCCCAGGATATCCTCTGTTGTAATTTGGATTTATTTCCCTCTAGGAGAAGGTGCAGTGTGATCCAAAGGGGTGTACTTTCGCATGTCTGGTTTGGAATTCGTGAACAGTTCGTAGGCGGTCTTTTGGGTTCTTCTCTGAAAGCTTCTGTCCTTAGATATTGTGCGTGGCGTACAGCGTACGACCATAGTGGCTTCATGAGAGATGCATCAGCTATCAGGCATCGTGCCATCTCTAGCAGGCTGCGCCAGGTTCGCTCTGACTTGCCGTTTTGGTACGGCGAGTGTGGTGCTGTGGTAGTGTGTTTGATACCGTTATCGAGTAGGGACTTGTTGGAAGGCTTGACCCATGTATTCTCCGCCGTTATCACTGTGGATTTCCTGTGGTCGCCCAATCGTGGCCACGTCAGCAAGGAATTTTTTCAATGCTTGGAAGCTCATCTTTAGAACGTAGGAAGTAGACGAAGAGCATGCTTGAGAATTCGTCAATGAAGTTGATGATATACTTGTAGCCTTCTCGTGAAACTGGAGTGATTGGTCCACAAACGTCAGTGTGCACTCGTTCAAGTGTTCGCGTAGCGTGCACGGGAGGATCATCATGGGACTTTGGTAGCTTTGTCATCTTATGCTCATTGCATGTGTTGCACGGTTGTTTGCCTTTTGGGTCTGTGATCTTCATTCCTCGGGTGGCAGACTCTAGTTTGAGAATGTCCTCATGATTCATGTGGCCAAGAGTTTTGTGCCAGTCAGCAAGGGATCTGGTTGTGCTAGCTGTGTCATTCGTAATTGTGGGTAGGTAGTACAGGCGACCTCGTTTGTGGATGTCGAATCGAGTATGGTTGGTGATGAGTTTAGCTGTATCTTTGGTGAAGACGACCGTTGCGTTCGCATCAGTTGCTGCTCGTACTGAGAACAGACTCACTGGAAAGGTTGGTGCGAGCAATGCGTTCTTGAGCATAATGTCGATATGTTGGCCGGTGGAACTAAGGATAGTGAACTTGGCTGTACTTTCGCTGTAACGATGGTGTTGCTACGATGACCATTAGCGAGCTCGATGTAGTGTTGACTTGGATCGAAAGAATCTCGTATGCTATCATGCTATTTGGGTCGTTCACAATATGACACGTTGCGCCACAATCAACAAGTAGGGAATGAGGTCTGTGTGCGCTGCTGAACATGATTTTATCACTCAACGAGAAGAGAATGATACTTGCTGGCCGTGTTTTGTTTGTTTGCACCGTCTCTTTCTTTGAAAACAGACACTTTCTACGTGCCCTGGTTTGTCACAAAAAAGTACATTTCAATTTGGATTTTACTCTGCAGTTTCGTGATGTGTGATTTGTTTTTCCACACGAATTACAAGTTTGCTGGTTTTCGATGATTTAGTTGGACCGGATTTATTATCATTGATGAGAACATAGCAGATGATGGCGCTTGGGCTGAAGCAGAGCGGCTGGCTTCGGTGTTGGAATAGTTGTGTAGTGCGGCTTTGAATTCAGTCAGTGTTTTCTTTGGCTAACTGTGTGTGTACACAACAAATGACGTGTATGCTTCGGGTAAACCTTTCAAAAGCATGGCGATAATAAGATTGTCACTAATTGTCTCACCTGCTGATTTTAATCCTGTAGCTGCTTTTTCAGCTCTGATAATGTAATTTTCATGAAATGGGTCTTTCATGTACAGACATACGGAGTGTTGTCAACTCTTCATATAGCGTGAGTACTCGTGGTTTCTCGGCGCTGGCGTAGTGGCTGCGTAGGATTTTCAACGCTTCTCGTCCATTATTAGTAGCATCGTGCATTATTAGTTGTAGCGAACGTTCATCCAGTGTTTGTACCAACTCGGCATAGGCTCGTCTATTCTTTTCGTCGAAATCTCGGTCGTTTTCTTCCTCCTCAACTTGGGGTAAAATGGCTTTGTGTACGCCTTTGTCTAGTGTATATAAATAGTTGATGAATCGTGTCTCCCAAATTGTATAGTTGTTTGGATCTCCATTAAAGTAAAGCCTCCTGGGCCCATAACCTGTTGAGTGTATTGAATGGAGAGACATCGTTTCTCTTTTACATTTATTACACCAAGAATAATATCAAATATTGGTAACAACAACGAGTAAAAAAAATATGTATCTGTGTAAAAACGTTCAACATGCGTTTATGACGTAATAGTTCAAGTATCTTATGATTCGCTAATTTAATGAAAGGTCATATCCGGTATTAAAGTTCACCGGATGTTATATGATTGTTCTCTCAACACTTAAAATAGCCCAGCAAGAGGCTTGGCATGGCACTGAGAACTCTGCGTGACAATTATGAATCTCAACAAGATACCACCAATCTGGCATTCTCCGCAAAAACTGACCTCTATATGATCAAGAATAATTGTTTTCGGTGAGCAATTTTAGGTGCCTTTTCTCTTTTTAAGTCAAAATGATTTTTTGTTCGTTTAATCCCGCAACCATTACGAAAAATCTAAATATAAATTACGGTTCATACATATATTTTGTCAACTCGTCAATACAACATTGAGATGTCCAGTTTAATTTTAGATCAGTGTTAGGAATACAGCGTATGATTCAGTTGAAAGCATTTTTTTGCCAGCAGGGGTAAATAACTTTCAAAACATTTTTACTAACAAACCTGTATGCTTCGTGCTGGTTATTAAAATCTCAC